TTTATAAGATAGAGCAGTATTTCTTTTTTCTTCTTCTAGTATGTGTTACATACTATAATTAAAACTAGAAAGCAATTGGATATTTTTCCTATCATGATTTTTTCCTGTCTTTTCCTGCTTTGGGAAGTACTGCCTAAATACAATACATATTCTGGGAAGCACTGCCTAATGCATTATTATTATTATTATTATTATTATTATTATTATTATTATCATCATCATCATCATCAACCCATTTTGCCCATGTGAAAGCCTGTTTTTCCTGAGGCAATTTCTTCTCTGAAAATAGGGAAAAGGACATTGACAGATTTTGAAAAAAAAAAAAAAAGGAAGAATGAATGAATGAGAAAGAAAGAGAGAGAGAGAGAGAGAAAGGGAAGGAGGAAGGAAAGTTTAAGTGAACTTTTGGTATTTGTTCCTCCTTGTCCAAAAAATTGTTTACAAAACATTTTTAATTTGTGCCTTTTGAAAGGAATAAAAAGGGCCTTGCACAATGGCTCAGTGACTAAATCCTCACCTTGCATGTTCCAGGATTCCATATGGGTGCTGGTTCATGTCCCAGTTACTCCACTTCCTTTCTAGGTCCCTGACTGTTGCCTAGCAAAGCAGTAAAGGACAGTCCAAAGCCCTGGTACCCTTCATCCATACAGGAAATATACAGGAAGCTGTAAACCCCAACATACTAAAAAACCTTCACCCTCACTTTCTTTTATACAGATACTGTCTACCTTTTTATGGTCTAACTTTAAGTTTTGCCTCTTCTATGAAAGCTTGTCTCCACATCATGCCACACTGCAGTGAGTGGTCTCACACTGTGAAAATCCTCTCCACCTGTTGTTTTTGCCAATTATTTGGTGTATATTATATAACAATAGTATCTTGTGATGCAAGTTCAAAATTCAGGAAGCTGTGGTGCTAATAATTACCTATTCTTTCCTGACATTACATTCTTTTTTTTTAAGTATAACCTTTTTTTTAAATCATTATTTTTCATGATACAGCTCCTTAGGATCAGAGATTCCCCCACTAATCCCTCAAGCACTGTTTTTCCTTACATTGTAACAAGAGTTTTGCCCCTCAACAACAGTCACAAACCCATCACTCTATTAATTGTATCCCAATACTGCAGATATAGACAATGGTATAAAGTCCAGTGTTGTAGTAGCAAGATATATATAAAAGTTTCACTGGGAATCCATCTTTTATTCAGAAGTAGAGATGCATAGTGCAATGTATCTCCACTTCATAGTATACATTCTTTATTCTTAACCAGATATTAACTACATCACCAACTGTCAGCCTACACACACTAGTAGCTGCAAATGTTGGATCAGTTCTGTCTCCAGCTCTGCCTCTTACATAAACCAATGGTTACTGTGGCCCAGCCCAACCCTTCCCACCCCACACACATGTACATAAGCAAGAATTGTAGCCTAGTTGGAGCGACCCCCAATAATCCATACTAGGCCTGCCCTAAGCCCTGGCTCCTCTACTTGCCAATTTCATTAGCAGACTGGTCCAATGTGTCCCACATCCAATTCAGCTCTCATGTATGTGAATTGCATCAAAGCCTGGCTCAACACAACCAATCCCACTACCCAGCCCACACTGGTGCCAGCAGGTGCCACCACCAGTCTATCCAGGCTTGTCCTCAGCCCTGGTTGCCATACTCACCAGTGGGAATTGCAACCCATCAGAGAGGTGCCCACGGTTTCCTTAATGGGCCTACTCCCAACCCCACATCTTGCACTTTACAGGCGGTTCTGCATCTAACTTGACAAGATTTGCCCCCAGTCCCAGCACTTGTATAATGCTGCTGCAGCAATGTCCAACCAACTTGTACCTACTTTGGCTTTGGCAAGTACCAGTAGGTACAATTTGTTAGCCCAGCTTGGCTCTCCCCTTAATCCAGCCCACGTGAAGGTCAACAGGTTTTTGAGATTCTGCTCAGCCTGGTTGGGCCCCAGTTGCAATACTCACTTTCACCAGTGAGAACAGAGGCCCAGCAGGAGAGTCTGCTGCAACCACCCTACTGGACTCATATCCTTCCCATCTGGGGTCTCATGTATGCTGGTGGGTCCTGTGTCCCAATCCAGCATGGCCCACCTTACCTCGGCATTTGTTGGAAGATGTTTTAGTTTGGCCCAGCCCAGCCCGGTGTGCCCCCAATTCCAGCTCATGCTGGTGGGTGTTGCACCCTAGCCTAGCCCAGCCAGTCTTGAGTCCCAGCCCTAATATGAATTGGCTGGTGTTGTGGCCAGACCCAGCTTGTCCCATCTCCTGTCCTAGTCCTTGGATTTGCCATTATGAACTGGTCCAACCTTGTCTGCATCAGAGCTGACCCGTACATATGCTGCCAGGTACCATAACCTAGCCTGGGCTGAGCTGCTCCCAGCCTTGGTTCTTGCACTCACCTACAGGGACTGCATCAGAGGAGTTCCCCAAGCTCCTCTATCAAGTCTCCTCCTAGTGGCAGAGCTCACACATACCAGTGGGTTCTTAGTCCAAGCTCACTCAGTCCATCTCCTGTCCTGACAGGAATAGTGGCTTTGCCCAACCGGCCCATACTCATTCCAGTTCTTTTTGTTGGATGCTGTAGCTCAGCCATACCTGCTCCACATCAAGACACAGCTCTGTATGATTCAGCAGGGGCAGAAATCTAGCCCAGATTATCCTTCACCCATCCTGGCTCACAAGCACCAGTGGATGCTGAAATCTAGCCTGGTCTGCAGCACTCCAGACCCTGTCCACACCCATACCAAGGACGCTATAGTCATGTCCAGTCTAGATTGCCACCCCCATTCCAGCCCTCACACTCACCAGTAGGAACTATGACCCAGCCAGGGCATCCCCTTAGCTCCCCAACCAGACTTGTTACCAGCCTCAGATCTCGTGCATGCCAGTGGTTGTGCTGATCCAGCTCAGCATAGCCCATAACCACCCTTGGGCTTTGCCATCAGATGCTACAGCCTGACCTGTGCCTGTCCACCCCAAACCCCAACTCTCACTTGTGGGTTTAGGAGCCTAGCCCTGACTAGTCTGCTCCTATCCCTGTATCATTCAACCTGGTAGGTGTGATAGCCTAGCCCAGGATGACTTGCACTCCTGCCTGGATCTTGCTCACTTGCAAATGCCAGTGAGCTAAAGTTGCCCAGCCCTGCCCAGATTGCCTGCCTCCAGAATCAGCCCACACACTTGCCAACAGATGGAGCTACCTTTCAACCTGCTCACCACCCAGGCCTGAACCACATGTCCACCAGTGGGAGTTATGACCACTATCCAGCCCACACTGATTCAGAGGAATTTTCCAAGATCCCCTACCAGGTCCACACTCAAACCCAGGTTGCTTATGTGTTGGCAGGTGCTAAGCCCCTTCCAGGTATAGTCTGACCACTCTGTACCAGCCTTTATATGAACTGGAAGACGTTGCAGCCCAGCCTACTTCACATCTTCTTCTGAGTGCTGCAACCTGGACCCCCTCTTCAAGTAGAATGGCCTTGTCCTTTGAAGTCCCTTAGAAGTCATTCTTTACCTGCAACACAACTCCTCAGTGATCCTCCCTCCCCCATACCTTTCTATCCCTTTCCCTTATCAATCCACAGTTCCTGCATCTGGGAGTGCATGGGTTTCCCAGTTCATCCTTCCCGTTTGTGACATATGTTGACCTGGGTCTGTACCCTTCCATTCCCCCAAGATCCAGGCGCATTCAAAGTTCCCCAAGCCTGCTTCACCAGCCCACTGCGACAGCATGCTAACCTGAGGCTTTCCTGTCCCCTCACCCCACCTCATCAAGGACCAAGCCCTGGGGATATCCCCATACTTGCTCTGCCCACCTGGACATGAGCCCCCAGGTCCTCACAGGCCCCTATTAGTGCTATCCCCCAGTCACCTGAAAGCCCACATCCCCAGACCCCCAGACCCCTATGAACCAGTTGCCCCCACTGTAGCCAGCTCAAAAATAATAATGGCCTCTACAACACATTTTACATGCAATATTTTTAGCCAATATCCATTCTATTCCTTCACTAAATATTTCTACCACTATTATTCATGATTTAAAAGACTGATAATTTATACTTACTTCTTAGCTAACACATGAGAATTTCGCTGGTTGGTTGTCTAACATAACACCATTCTGTTGCACAAACTGCTATACAAATATGTTATACTGCAAATCCAATTGTTTGAGACACTTTTGAAGAATTTTAAGATAATCCTCATTTACGCATTTATTATTTTGTGTTCGTTCTAAGAATTGCATAGCTTGAGTTAAACAATGTACTCCTAATCACTTTGTGTTTAATATGAAGGAAAATATTAAATAAATTTAATCTTAAGCATTTTATGTATAAAATAGCTATGACAAACACATTTTTATAATCACGCATGATTTTTATACTGAAAAATACAAAACTTAAGGCTTAGAGATCTTCATGATCCTATTTTCAATATGACTTGAAGTTGCTGGTCTAAGCTTTCAAATTGTGAAATATTTGACAGTAATGATTAAGGAGACTATACTACTGCAGTAATAGCTTTTCTTCGATTTCTCAGATCACAAGGGCTGGTCCCTACTGTGCAGAAGTCTTCATTAGTCATTTTCTCTGCCTTCTTTAAGATCCTCTGTACTTCAGTCATCCCCTGAGCATGCTCCTTGTCCCCTTGCTTCAGAGCCCTGAACAGGCCTATTTTTGTAACATTGCAGACAGAAGGGTGAGCAATGGCTTAAAGACCTTCTCAGGGGAGGGAAGGCAGTGTTTCCCTCCCAGACTTAGCATCTTCCCAAGCTTTCCACATGCTTAATAGTTCACCTCACAATTCCACAGAAGGTTAGGCTGTTGATATGGAGACTGCTGAAACTGAAACCGAGTGGGTCTCAGAACCAAGATCAGAAATGACAAGTTTTGCAATGTTCCTTCACAGGCACAGACATCCCCACAGCATCTAACATTGCACTAGAATTTTCCTTCAGTAACTGCTTAAATGGAGTGTTTATTTCATCTGTGTTTCCCAAACAGCACTCTTAATCAGACCCATCTCCATATCCACTGTGAGTGAGACAGGCATAGTTCAGGCCTTCAGGCTTGCCAGGAAGGCAGTAAGCCACTTGTTTTTCTTGGCAGAAATCTTTGTCTGCATGTAGTTCCTTCTCTGCTTTCCTCAGACCACAAGACTCAGATTCCTTGGAGCCTACAGGACCCTTTGAATTTTCCTCCCGTTGACTACAGTCTGTAGTAAGTACCATATAGTTTAGCCCTTCTTGGTTCTTGGTTTCCATTAAAGCAATTGGTCTCACATCATCTGAATGCAAACAAATCATACTTACATCTTCACCTGTGGGAAAAATATCAAAGTTATTCTAGCATACATTTAGATTTTCACTTGTAAAATAGTGCAGATTGTATAAGAAATATAGTAACATGAACTGCATACATTTGTCCAGGAGAAATCTATGAAGATCTTCAAGTTCTGGAAATACAAAAATAAACGAGACAGGCATCCTGTCTTTGAAGCTTCCCACAGCAGGGAAGCAGGTGTGTGACTAGAGAAGGTGTGCTGACAGCACAGAGCTAATTAACTCTGTGCCAACAGATAGGAAAAAAACAATCTGTGGTAGAAGTTAAGTGGCCCTAGAATGGCCCTTTTTGTCTGGCACTCTCTTTGAATCTTCCCTCCAGGTGAAATATTTACCTTTAAGATACATTCACTTGGACAGTAGTGATGTGATCACTTTGTAAAATAATGTTTTATTGAATGCTTACTACATGCCAGGCTGTGTTCTTCATGTTGGTGATACAGCAATGAATGTGAAACAAAGTTGTTGATCTTTTGAGTCTATTTTCTAGTCAGGAGAGACACAGAATAAATTAGTAGAAAATTAAACCTGTGTCTGATTGTCATGAACACTACACACAGGAGGGGAGGAGATTTTTGGCAGAGGAACAGGCCGGAGAATAATGGAGGCCACTATCTTAGGGTATCAGCAAAATCCTCCTTAATGAGGTGAAATTCGAGCAGAAAGTCAAATTAAGTGAGGAGATCCACCATGTGGCTATCTTTGGAAGAACATTCAGGGGAGAAAGAATAGCAAAACCAAGAATTCCAAGGCAGGAGATTGCTGAATGTAGACAGAAATAGGCAACGAGCCTAACTGCTCCTGTTCAGTGATATCCCTGGAATAAATATCAAGAAAGCAGTAACACTAATTGATAGATTAGCTTAAACTTGCTTGCCTATGCCAGCAAATGTCTGGTAGGAGATAAATAAAAGCCTAGCAAGTTTCTTTTGAAAATAAACTTTTAATTCAGAATAGTTTTAAACTTTACAAAGCTTGTGTGCTCACAAGACAAAAGTTATGAAGTAGTACAGTTTTCATATACCCCACGTTCAGTTTCATCTACTATTAACATCTTTTGTTACTACTATTTATGATAATTAATGAACCATATTGAGTTTCCCGTTTCTGTTTCTCAATACAAACTCCCCCTTCCCACCTCCACCCATGTTCACTACTCCCTGCCTCCACATTCTAATTGGTTATGAATTTTTGATGGTACTGTTAAGGGAAAAGGAAAATGACACAAAAAAATAACTATCATTATGACTGTTACTGATGTTTTAACACTTATAGAGTATCTGCTATGTAGCAAGCACTATGCTAGGCTTTACACGGAGATTAACTCATTTTTTTCCAGTTGAGTAGGTACAGATATTATGCTATTTAGCATATGAGGAATGTGAGACACAAAGAAGTTAAACAAACTGCTCAGGCTCACCCAGCTAGAATTTAAACCCAGTTTGTTGGGCTTAAGTTTATGTCCTCATATTCTCCCTCTGTTAAGGGAGGGAGGTGTTAGGCCAAGAGGAGCCATGTACCCTACTAAAATCCCTGGGAGGACAAATAATTTGGCCCTCCATGTGTGGAAGACAAGGGACGGAAGCAGAAAAATAGGTAGACAAGTAACAGTTGGCCTTTCTCACAATAACGCTCATATTGTTTTCCTTGTGTACGAAAAGACTGACCTCGCACTGAGTAAAATAAGCAGCCTTGCAGAGCTTCTAAAACATTTCATAAGATACTAGTGAGTGAAACATGCAATGAAAATGCACAAATGTAAAAGTAGAAAGATTTTTGTTATCAATGCTTTCCAATCTCTGGATATTACTGCTTCGGTGAAAAATTTATGATCATAAACACTCATTTAAAATAGTACAAACATTTCCGTAAATAGATGTTCATCTTACCTTTCTCCTTATCCTTTTTCCCAACATGAGAATATCCAAGTGTGTACCTAACAGGTATGAGGCTTATTGGTCACCTTACCTTTTGTACTTACCTCTCCTGTATACCAAGCTTTGGTTTAATGTGAACGAACTTGAAATATGTGAAGAAAGAAATAAATTCACAGAATTAAGGAAAGCACTATTGGCCTATTTTTTCCCATAGAAATGTTTCAGTCTTCATCTTTCTCAAGTTCCACACTGGAACTACAAAATTCACCCTATTATGACACAGTGTAAAGACTGGAGCACATCCTTACACTGTATCAGCAGGTGCACATCTGTTTTGTAAAACTCTCCCCTCTAATGGAGGACATCGTGGTCAACTTCACAGACTTTTTGGTGTCATCAAACTTTCTCTTCATTTCTCGAAAAATAAAAAGAAACCCATAAAGTGAAAGTACTGCAAAATTTTGTGGGAAAAAGAATTAATAGATACATTTACTTGGATGTAAAAATTGTCAACACCCACGCATAGAACCCACAAATTTTTTGAAAATGCATAATATGAAAGCACTATGCATGAATTTTCAAATTCTTTTGAATCAAATGAACTTATATTTTAATATCTTTATCCATGAATTTTTGAAGTATTCTTGCAGCAAATTTCAAATTAAATAGATTATGTTGTAAAATATCTCCCCTATAGAAATAACTTTATTAATGTCAAGGTGGTTTGCCTAGTGCCCAATAGCTGAACATTTGTGAAGAATCCTTCTGCTAAAATTAGGGCCAATGTAGGCACTGAGATGCACAGAAGAATAGTTTGATATATGTGACAATAAAACAATGTTTGGGCCCTGAGGCATGGCCTAGCAGCTAAGGTCCTCAGCTTGAACACGCCGAGATCCCATATGGGCACTGGTTCTAATCCTGGCAGCTCCACTTTCCCTCCAGCTCCCTGCTTGTGGCTGGGAAAGCAGTCGAGGATGGCCCAAAGCCTTGGGACCCTGCACCCATGTGGGAGACCCGTAAGGAAGTTCCTGGCTCCTGGCTTCAGATCGGCGCAGCACCTGCCGCTACGCTCACTTGGGGAGTGAATCATCAGACGGAAGATCTCCTTCTCTATCTCTCCTCCTCTCTGTATATCTGACTTTGTAATAAAAATAAATAAATCTTTTTAAAAAAATGTTTAAAATGTTAGGAAGAAATATTTAAATTTGGTTACCCACATGATTGAGGACACTGGAAAAATTTTAAAGGAATTAAAGGTACTAAATGAAAAGGTTTGAATTTCAACAAAAACTTAAATCATGTTATCAACTACTTTATTGCCATAACGTTGGTTCATTAAATATTGCATAGGAAAACTTCTTGCCCAAACAAGATTTTAGTTTAGGAGAGGAGTTCTGGTTTTCCTGCCTATTTGTTGACTTGCTTTAGAATCTTTTCTTAGGAACTAAATACAGTCTTTCAGTAAATTCTGTTGCTATGTGTCAAAGCAAATCATTACCTAACTACTTCATTTGTTCACAGAACTTACAACAATATTTAGTAACTTGACCCTGGCAAGCTTTCAACAATTAATACATCTTCTTGTAGCATCAAGATCTTGGGAAACACAAGGACCTTGAGGGGAGGTTATTTTGTTTTCCTTGTTTACTTTTGCTTAAAAATTATTTATTAGAAAACCTGCAGGTCAGACCTTGAAGCAGATATACTAACCAAGGATAGCATGCAATTAACAACCTCTTTAAGAGGGAAATATTAAAATAAAGAGACTTCCAAGTAAGACGGGGTATTTACAGACTAGACATATGCCGGCTGACTGGCTATGTTTAGAACAGCAGAGAAGCATTTAGATTTGTTTCCTGTGGAACACTCTGGGACTGATGAGGTGATGCTTACACAAATGTTTGGATGAAGTCACTGGGATATTTTTACTAGATGCTCAGATATGTTACTAATCTCTCTCTCCCTTCTCCCTCTCCCTCTCTCTCTCTCCCCTATCCACCCCATTAGGTCAGTAGGACCATAGGATAAGCTTGGAATGATTGTTCCCTGTGGACTTAGGATACCTAATGTCAGAAAAGAAAAAGAACTCTGCCAATGACTTCTCTTTTTATTATATGTGTTCAAAAATAACAATGTGACATTTTATTGCTTTGCTAAATGTACCCACCAGTCTGCAAATCAGTAAATACTATTAAGCATTTTCTCAATTTAAAACTAATTAAGTTAAAAAGTAACTAAGGAACTGCAAATATGTAAACTGCATTTTGTTCTAGCTTTACTTTTCATCTGTCCCTCCTGTTCAGTCACAATCTCAATTATCACAATTTTCATATCTCTTTCCACTCCTAATCATTAGGATTTACATTCATAGTTAATAACAGATCATGGTTTTCCTTCCATTAAATTATGCTTCTTTCATGCCCAGAATTGCTTGTTTCTGTCTAAATATAAAAGTTGGAGGGTTTTCCGTTTAATTCTTACTCTATCACAATTTGAATATTTATATCAACTTCCCTATTTTTATAAACATTATTTAGAATCAATTTATTCTGCCAACAATTTCGCACTTCAATGAGTTTGCTACAAATAGGAGAAATGGTGTGTTTTTTCTTGCAGACCCTATGTAAAATGTAGTTGTGTGGGAATCTCCCTTAAACACTTTCATGATTGTGAACACTGAGAACAAAGTGTTTAGAATTGAGAATCAGATTCTAGCCTTACTTAACGTGATCATGGTGAACTTTAAACCTTGGTTCTTGTATCTAGAAACAATGACAGTAATTGCATTTCATGGAACTATTGTGATGGATGGCTAATGACACAAGTGGCATTTTCAAACATTCTAAAATTAAACTCACAAAGATTATAATTAAACACCTGTTACAAAAAGGATCCTGTTCTATATATTCTGAATGAGCACTGCTGGTGACCTATCTCAGCTTCATAGAAGAGCTATGTGATGCATCATAGTAAAATATTCTCACAGGCCCAAGGAGACTTCCATTAGAGTTTAAAGTAAAGCTAAACTCTCAGGAACACTGGTAGTCGTTAGGGCAGCCTCCGTGATTTTATGACACAGTTTGAATAATGGTAAAGGAAAAGATGCCTTGCACAAAGACTTCTGGAGATACAACACAAGTCCTGCATAACTCCCGAAGGCGGTACCTCTCTGTAGCATTAATCATGCCCTCCTTAGATTGCCAGGTACTGCTCTCCATGCACACCCTCTTCCTGTGTCAGTCCATCACAGGCCACTCCCTGGGTCGTGTTCTGTTCATCTTCTTCTCATTCCATTCTGACTAACTGAACCACGTCATCTATATCCTTGACTTCAACGGCCCTTATTTACAAGTTGGAATTTTTAACTGAATACAAACTCACATTTCAACTGTACCCTGGGTTTCTCCACTTGGACTACATGGTTAGCTGACACAAATAACAAGTGCTGGGCTGTTTTTCCTGTGTTCTTTATCTAGAATGGGCCCTACTTTTCAATCAGTTTCTCAAGCCTTGGATTTGGTCCCATCTCTTTTCCTCACCTAATTAATCTCCAGATTACCTCTTTGATGACTATGGATCCCTTTCCTTTTCTTTACATCTGCCAAAGTCCATTAATTTGGTTTTCATTAATTTTTATTTCTTGATTAGTGTGACCAATGTCCATTAATGTCATCACTTGTCATTTCTCACCCTCATATACAACAAGCTATATTCAGTTCTGGAAACGCGCCATTCTCTGCCATTCTCTGGCTTTCTACATCCTACTTCTATTCTGAGACATAATTTTCCTACCTCTTTGCAGAGCTCAGTTAGACGTAACATCTTCCCACCTGTCTTTCTTGATTGCTTCTACCACACAATGTGGACATTGTCTACAGAATGTAGATCCCCTCCTACAACAATATATAATTCTAATTTAATATAAAGTCGTCTACTCATTAAGTCTTTAAAGCTGAGATTATTTAAGAGGACAAATATGATAAAGAATCTACCATTCCTCAATGACTTTAGAATATGTAAATTTTATCTCTGAATCTGACCAGTATCTACACAAACATGCATAAACAAATATCTTTGTGTTTATATGTATGCACATGAATTATAAAAATACAACCAGATTATTAAGCAGTTAGCACTGGGGAATGAGTTAAGGAAGAATTATGAACCTTACGTTTTATTCTGCATAAGTAATTTTATAATGAATGCAAAGTACTATTGCAATAAGGATATGTAAAATGTTGAGGCAATTATAAAATAATTTAGCCGAAGTTATTACTATTAAATATAAATTAGAGTTGCAAAATAATATAACAGAAGATTAATTACTGGAAATGTTAAAAGTAAAGGCAGGAGTCATTTTAATGGTGGATATAAAAATATTTCAAAAATCTTTTAAATAGATAATTATTGTTTTTATAAGGTCTACAAAAAGAAATTTGTAAATTTGAGCCTTTTACTCAAGCATTATTTTCTAAACATAAGAATAGTGATTTAGTGAGGAAAAACAGGTTGTCAATGACAAGTAAACAATTCTACCTTGTCTTTTAGATACCTACACATCAACTCAACCCTATTATTATTTGTCTATCTTAAAGAAAACTATAAAATTTTAAGATTTCTTTACATTTATTTGTCTGTTTATTACTTTTCAAGAACACTTGTGTAGGCATAGGAAATCTTCCCTCCCCTTGCCCATCCATCCTCCCCATTTTTTTCTCCCCCCATTTCCCCTCCTATTATTATAGTAATATAGTCCTTTAATAGCAGTTACAAGTTTAACTTTCTGCTACTTACATGTTTCATGACATTGCAGATGTAGGCAAAAATTAGAACATCCAGAGAATGGATTCCACTTATATAGTAACAAATCACCCTGGATTATAGTTTCTCTCAGGTTTCCGCATGCCAAGAGATGAAAATGACTTGAGCAAAAGTGCCCTGATAACACACATACTTCCTCTGGATTGAATATCGTTCTATGAGAAAGACAGCTTTCCAAATCACCATTATAAACTGCTTCACTATTAAATTATGGATCCATTTTTTTAAAAAATAATAGCTTCTCAGGCCCAGCACAATAGCCTATTGGCCAAGGTCCTCACCTTGCACACACAAGCATCCCATATGGGTGCCAGTTTGTGTCTTGGTAGCCTTGCTTCCCAACCAGCTACCTGCTCATGGCCTGGGAAAGCAGTAGCCAATGGCCCAAAGCCTTGGTTTCCTGCAGCATGTGGGAGACCTGGAAGAGACTCCTGGCTCCTAGCTTCAGATTGTCTCAGCTCTTGCCATTGTGGTCACTTAAGGTAGTGAATCAGCAGATGGAAGATCTTCCTATCTATCTCTCCTCCTCTCTGTATAGCTGACTTTCCAGTGAAAAATAGATAACTTTTTATAAAAATTATAGCTTCTCAAGGAAAAGAAATAGTCTCACCCTTTCTTATTTTCTAAAACAAATCAAGAAACATCTTAAGTACTTAAGCCTAGCTTGCTAAAATTCAACACCTCTGTTGAAATAATTTTCCACTCAGTGAAAAAATTTCATCATAGAAATGTTTAGAAAATGATAAGAACTTAAGAGTATTTGGAATGACTTAAAGATACACTTTTCTTAACCGTATATGACTGGCATCTGTCAGAGATTAGTACCACACAAAACAGGGTTTACTGCAGTTTTAGCTCTAAAGTACTGTGCCACTGGCAGTGTTAGCAATCATCTCTGAGGAGGCAGCCTCATTCCTGCAAAATTGTAAAATACAAAATAAGAAATTTTTCTAAAATGTAAGACTTCTTCAACTAAAAAAAAAATTATTTCTGCTTCATGATGAGAAGGTAAGCAGAACCAACATGGGATCATCAGCAAAGCTTATTTTGATGAGTCATGATGCAAGGACAAGGCAAGGCAAGGCCTTTCCAGCCTGCTTATGTGAAAGAAGTTACGTGATCAGAGTTCATATCATACATCCAAAAGCACCCAGCATTAGTAGTCAGAAACAGAATAACCACAGCAAAAGAGTAATTTTCCTTGCACTCCTTATTTTTTCTCATATTAGTCAAAACCGTACTCGTGGCACCCAGTGAGAGTAGATAACTTCGCACATCCATCTGTTGTCTAATAGTCAATCAGTTCTAAAGACTAAAATGTCTTGTCACTGAAAGATTCTATTATGGCCCACTTGCTAGATTTATTTCTAAACAGTAATATCTACATTTAAATAAGCAATGGTCCTTGAAAACTTTTGAAAATGAGACAGTTCTAGAGCAGCTGAAAAGGAATCATTTAAAATTCATTTTTCCTACAGTCAGTTGAGGAAATGCATAGCCAATCTGACTTTGGAAATCAATTAAATGATATTATGATTTGATTGAATTAAATGAAGTAATCCTTTTGTTTTTGACCTATATTTAACCAAATGATTTAGCCTGCCTGTGACAACAGGATAGTTCCAGAATCATACTATCTTCTTTATTAAAATACTGAAGTTGAAGAATCAGACAAGATCTTACAGAGGCTCAGCCCACTACAATAATTAGTGTAAAATGGCTCAGCAGCTAGACATCAAGGGTTAGATATCTTGCAACATGGACACATCATAAAAACAGTGCTTGATGGAAAAAGGACAGAAACATTCATATGTACAAAACAACGTATGTTTTTCATAAAACCATGCAAATAGATACACAGGTAATAAAGACTTTAGAATGAGCACCTGGCAAGGGAAGGGAAAAACAGAAGAGGGGCATGAAGAAAGGAGAATTAAATAAACAAAATAAGAGAGAAGCCCTGCACAACCCAAATGATAAAAATACAACATACATGTAAAGTCTATAAATCACTCAGCTCTGCACTTGAAGCCCAAAGTAGTGTGAGAGGGAAAGAAGCAAAAGGAACACTGATTCACAAAAATATAATCAATTATGTTCATTCTCCTCCTTACCATCTTATATCATACGTTCAAGGAACATAGCACTCTCCTTTAAAAAAAATGTTAGGTACACAAAACAAAATAATTTCCAGGTGCCAGCACCATGGTATAGTGGATAAAATCACTCAGGTTGCCTGCAGTGCCAGCATCCCATGTGGGCACCACTTCAAGATCAGAAAGAAGTTCCTGGCTCTTGGCTTCAGACTGACTCAATTGCAGGCACTGCAGCCATTTGCAAAATAAACCAGTATATGCAAAAACAATTTCCCTCTATCTCTCTCTGCCTTTCAAAAAAAATAACCATTTTTAATAAACATTTGTAAAAGCTTTTTTAAAGAGGAATACAATAAATAATTACAAACATGGGGAGTCAGCATGTTATTCACTTTGCCCACCCCAAAATGCCCTCTGTGTGCATCACATTTGAACTTTTTTCAGCTCACACTGGAAGATGGAAAAAACAAAAAATCTGAGGCAAAAAGCTTACCTTCAAAGCTTTCATTTATGATTCCAGTAGTGGCTCCTTCATCTTGACGCTGAGAGATACTATTTAAGAAACACAGTTTGAATAACTGAAGCTGGTCTTGAATTTTATGGAAACTAGGTCTTTGGTCAGGTTCTTGAGCCCAGCATTGGCTCATTAAATTCCACCTGAATATGTGAATAAAGACAAGACATTGAATGATTGGATATTACTGCAAATGAACACCTGCCAGGTCACTGTAGAAGTGAAAACATTTGCTATCTTAGGTTTTCAATATAAATGACCCAGAACAAAAGCTTTGGTATCTTATTGAAGGGTGGCTTACAATATTACAATACAATATTACAACCTTTATTAAATAACACCTTTCCTTGAAAGAGTTAGTAGTTCTTTCATAATTATTAGTCCTGATAAATGGATGTCTAAGAGTTGACAATGTCTACTCAGTACATTAAAGAACGGATAGCTATAAAGCTTCTTGAAAAAAAAAAGATTATGTACATACTTGGTTTCTTAAACAAAATCTAAGGTTTATTCCATACTACACATGTTTAATGGCAGAACCAAAATAGAAGCCAGATTTATTTCCCATGCTTTATTCTTCACTATAATGTCAGATTAATTTAGAGACTTGATTTTAAGCATTGGTAACTACCTGATCAAGCATTACTTTTTACTTAATGGCTATCTAAGAAATATGGATGCAGATGCCAATGCTGTGGATCAACAGGCTAATCCTTCCCCTGCTCCTGCCAGCATCCCACATGGATGCGTAATAATAACAATAATACTAATAATAATACTTAAAAAGAAGTTTCTATGTGAAACTTTGTACTAGTATTGATTCACCTCCTCCATAAAGGTGTGTTGAACCCATTTTGAATAGAGGACTACAGACATGGAGTATGGCTCTTGTCATTACAGGTGATTTATAAGGTTAAGGTAAATTAAATTTAAAAATTTTTTTTTATTTGAAAGGCAGATTTACAGAGAGAAGGAAAGACAGGCTAAGAGATCTTTCCCCTACTTGTTCACTTCCAAAATGGAAACAACAGCTGTAGCTATCCAAAGGACTTGAGCTGCCAGGTCAGAAACAGGGAGCTGGACCAGAAGTGGAACAGCCAGGACATAAACTGGTGCCCATATGGGATGCCGACACTGCAGGAGGAGGATTAGCATGCAAAACCACAGCACTGGCCCCCTCAAATTTTTAAACACAACTTAACACACTATAACTCATATAAATGGGAAAAATTGTCACTCTTATATTATGTTACTAGTTAGGTCTCTCTTATATACCTGACTTAGCAAAAGGAAATTCATTTCATTGTGTACAATGCAATTTATTGCCTAGTCCAATTCACTAATTTAAACAATCTCTTAAACAATCAATCTTTTCTAGATAATCATTCAGTCCATATTATCTTCAATGCCATGTCTACCCGCTGTTCCCTGTCCTCCAAGATGTTATCTGAATAGGTGTCAAGTAACAGGCTTAAGTGGCTTATTGTGGCACAGTGAAGAATCTTCTGAAGTGAGCCAGGTGGATTTTTGCTAATGTCAGCAAGTGGAATTCAGTAAGAAATTACTGATGTGGTCCATCCTGCAGGTATCTGCTTCAATCAGTAGTCTACAAATTCTTTACCTCATCTTTCAGTCCTTCCATGCTGAACTGGTCTTTCCTGGTCCCTCTGTCACTGGAGGCTTCTCTGAGACCCTCTCAGATCCGACAGCAGCTTTCCAGGTACCCTTGTCAATTTCTATTGCATTCCCATTGAATGCTCCTTGGCAGATTCTCTGGCTTTCAACCATATGTTCACAGCAAATGGGAAACAATATTGTTTGGAAGTAGAAGCAATACATTCTGTCTCTGGAATTAACATTACAATTTCTTAATAATGCTATATCTCCCCATGTTAAATGATCCCTCTCAGTGACCTTGCTATGTTTCCAAACACAGAGGATGTGAGGCAGTTGCTTCATGGGCCTAGTGTTGTCCATCTAATCTACCTAATATTTTCAGAGGTGGGCTCAGGCTTAAGATAGATATTCTGCCCTGAAAAATCTAGCCTACCTATATCCATCAAACACTTTTTTCCCTATGTTTCTCCAACGGTTAGAAAGAATGACGTTTCTATCCACTTTTTTTTTAATTTGATTACCCTTATATAAAATTAGATGTCACAGGGGCCAATACTATAGTGTAGCAAGCTAAACCTTTGCCAGCAGTGCCAGCACCACATGAGCACCACTTCAAGTCTGGGTATCTCTACTTGTGATACAGCTCCCTGATAATGGCTTGGAAAGGCAGTGATGTGGGACCAAATCTTTGGCTCCCTGAATGCCCATGGGAGACCAGAAGATCTTGGTTCCTGGTTTTGGACCTGCCCAGCTCTGTTTGTTGTGGCCATTTGGGAACCAATGGACAGAAGACCTTTCTATGCCTCTCTCTCTCTCTCTCTCTCTCTCTCACACACACACACACACACACACACACACACATTCCTTTCCTCTTTGTAACTACACTTTTCAAATAAAATAAATGAATCTTTAAAAACATTAAATGCCATATATACTCAAATCTGAGTAATATACAAGCAGGAACCTCCAGAAAACCCTGTCTCTCTACTCCAAGCCCATATTTTAAGTCTACTTGTAAGAAGGACAAAAGCTTTCCCTCTTTTACAGTTTTCAAAAGCTGTACTGATACCTCAAAAATTCATGCGAATGGAATTTCTAGCTTTTAATGTAAAAATTGGAAGCCATGCATACAAAGTGTCATCAAAGTATTCACAGATATGTATATTATTAAAAGCTATATACATATTTCAGATTTTTACCTCAAAACATCTCCCAATCCTAATTTTCCATGAAACTTTTGGAGTGCCCCATAAAAGATAACTTGAAGACAAGGCATATGAATTTATGAATAAAAATTAGAGATGTTTTAAAATACTAGTGTTATATCAAAAATTGAATATGTAGCTGCAAATTATGATTAGTTTTTAAAGAAGTACTAAAGGAAATTAGCCTGGGTTCTAACAGAGATGGAGTATTTTTGGTAAATTGCTCATAGAAGGCCCCTCTGCAGGGCTGACATTTAAGCCAATGAACTTTGCAGGAAAGTAAGATGCTAGTCATGGGAAGAGACTGTGGTTAGGAGTCCCGGAAAACACTACAAGAGGGAAAAGCATGTGTAAAGTCCTAAATTTGGAAAGAGCCTGGCACATTTTAAATCTGAAAGAACGCCAGTGTCACTGAACTGTGGTCATTGAAGGGAGCATACGAGATGAGATCAGAGGGCAAGATCATGCAAGTTGCATACACCAAGCAAGGAGTTGAATTTTATGACACTGCAACAGAAAGCTGTTAAAATTTTTAGAGCAGGCAGTCTTTCCTTTTTAACAAATTTATCAGGCTGATATAGACAACAGATTGCAAACAGGTAAATTTGACACCATCTAACAGAATATGTGAGAAATAAGGGTGATTTGCACAAAGATAGAAGCAATGGAACTTGAGTAAAATTAGATTTCAATCACTAGGTGACAGTGTGCTAGAAATCATCACAGAGTATTATATTTTAAACAGTATCTATTTTAGGAACATAATGTAATTTGCCATCCCTTATAATGTGGCATTACAAATTCCATTTCCATTTATTTCAATTCTTAGTAAACATCTCAGATCAGGTTTAGGACTCAATATAAGGACATTATTGAAGACCACCCCCATAATGGATCTGATGACTTCTCAATATTTCTAATAAAGATTTACATTCTGGGGCCGGGCGCGGTGGCGCAAGTGGTTAAGTCCTCGCCTTGCACGCCCGGGATCCCATATGGGCGCCGGTTCTAATCCCGGCAGCCCCGCTTCCCTTCCAGCTCCCTGCCTGTGGCCTGGGAAAGCAGTCGAGGACGGCCCAAAGCTTTGGGACCCTGCACCCGCGTGGGAGACCCGGAAGAGGCTCCTGGCTTCGGATCGGCATAGTATCGGCCCGTTGCGCTCACTTGGGGAGTGAATCATCGGATGGAAGATCTTCCTCTCTGTCTCTCCTCTCTGTATATCCGCCTTTCCAATGAAAAAATAATAAAAATAAATCTTTAAAAAAAAAAAAAAAAAGATTTACATTCTGGGTGTAGAGAGCCAAACTTGAGTCTATTTTTAAAAAAAGAATTATAGCTGAAGAATAACTGAAGAACAATCTAATTTATTGACTTTTATATGCTTTTTAATATATTTTTGTAACAAGCTGTTCAAAACACAAAAACTACAAAATTCTCATTTAAGGAATATTGAACTTTTAAATAAAGTAATATAACTAGTATCAGATCATAAAATTCAAACCAGCAGTTCTTGATGGCTAATCTAAGGACATCCCTCAAAGTTGAGAGAAGAAAGTAAGGTCTTAAAATTTCAGAGAGCATTTGCTCTCTGAAAATAGTGTTGTAATTCATAAAATCACTCAAAACATTAATATTTCAAATTCAAGATACTTCATGGAGATGATGTCAAAAGAAAGAACAAAGAAAACAGAAGAAAGAAGGCAGAAGGATGGGCAAGAAGCAGGAATGGAGAAGGAAGCCATGCTGAGGAGTACAACTTAGCCATCTGCCCTTCAGCACTCTCCCTGCCCTTCAAAAACCCAGCCCCTTGCTTAATCTTTGGAATCCATTTAAACAAATCTTCATGATTATCTGTCTATGAAGGCTTTCATTTATATTGAATCCAATGTTTATTTTTCTTTGGTTTTCTGATGGCAAACATGTAACTCCCAGAAATGTATTTTTACAAACTTCAGGTATATTAATACCTGTGCTTTGGCACACGGGTGTGGGGAGATCTTCCTTACAAATATGTACTTTTCACAGTTCAAGACATATATTTATGCGAGAGTACCCTCCAAAAATTCATACTATGAAAACCCATATATACATTTCAAACTTTTTGCACAAAAATGGACGTATCTTCTAATTCCATTTTCCATGAACAATTTGAAGAGCTTTTAAATTATTACACTAAATTCTAATAAATAAAAAAATCAAGTGTATTAATCTAAATAAACTTGAAGCTGCTTTGAGTACATAAAAATTCATCTGGGCTATATGTTGTATTTTTAAGAAAAACACACATTACACTGAAGTGCCTCATTTGGCTAAGTATTCATTTAGGTTCTAACTCCTCTACTCACCAGGCAAACCCTTTATTCCTCTTCATCTCAATTTTTTTTCAAAATAGGTATGAACTTATTAGGCATGTTCAATATTAATCTCAGAGTATTAAATTCCTCAGATTTATAAAGCAATTTAAATTCTACAGAAGAAAACTGTATACCTTTGAACACCAAAGTAACAAGTTTCTATCAGTATTTAAATGCACATAAAATACAGATTTCAAGAATTCCCTTACTGCTCAATTCTAGAAAGACTCAATCAGCATTTAAGTGTACATATTATTCAAGAACTAAAAATAAGATGACAAGCCCAAAGTTCTCTCTACATCTGAAGGCTCTCCAGTAATTCCAGTTGCCACTCCAATACGTCCCAAAGGGCTCTCACTTGACTCAGTTCATCCTTTGATCCTGTTTCTTCTCAGGAGGAGGGTAGTTGTTGCACAAACTCAAAGCTGAACAGAAAACTGATGGCTGGTTTTCCACATTGCATTCTAGGTTATGCACGGCCAAACAGGCATGCTTTGACTCCTGCATTCCATTAATAGTTGAGGACAACGTAACTCTATGGACTCACCTGACCCAGGGTGCATCCAGGTGCTAAGTATTTAAGCAGTGAATAGAAGATGCAGGTTGGCTCTCTGCAGACTTTCAATGCCCCTAAGCTGAGCCTGTGATCTCAGAGAAATACTTCAAATAAAAACCAGATCCCTCAGTCCTCTAAGAAGAGTAGTTAATCTTTATCATGACAACTTAAGGCCATGGTCAGATTGAATGGCATTGCTGAGAGCTCCATTTCCTAGTACAGCTTGTTTTTCTGATTGGCAAAGGATCTTAACCCTTCCCGAGGCTCTGCAGCATCATGCAGTATTTGGAAAGCTTAGGGTGTTGTTAACTTCTTATTAGTGGTGTTCAAATGAACTTCAAAACCACCAATGAAAAAGTTTTGTTTCAAGGAAGTCACATCTTTAATAAAACTTGGAAAATAATGTATTCAATGCATTAATTAAAGTTCAAGATAAAACTATCATTTCCCCATTCATAATAAATACTCCATCTTCATCTTTCTTCATTTTTGCATACTGTCAGATAGAATAGAATTTAACAAACCTACATGTTTATGCTATGTAATAAAGAGATTTTGTTATTCACCTGCATTCTCATTAAGCAAAACAATTAAACAATCTGCTAAATATTTAATTGAGAGATCAATTACTAAAGTGCCAATCCAAAAATAGGATGTGATTATGAAAAGTCACATTATCTCTGCGGAAGGGGAGGATATAACAGATAAAATTCTAACAATTTAAGGAAATTTTGTACACTCAAAACCTTGTATGATATTCTGAACTTTTGGCAGATATGCAAGAGATGCAAAATTATGATTAGCTTGCTATTTAATTAAAATTGATTTTATATAATGTGTCCTGGGCTATGTTCCTCAACTCCTACATAAAAGATTTTCTAAGTTTTTCTAATTCTTTATCTTTAATTCACAGATATTCTTTCACACATGTCCCTAAAAAAAAAACCATGAATCATTTTTTAGACACTGGTAGCAAACTTGGTCAGGTGTGTGTATATCTGATATCCTTGTTAAAATCCTAGAGGCTATAAAAGCTAAATCAGAAACAAGCAGTAATTCTAATCTTCAACTAGCTAGAAGATTTAAATAATACAAAAACTTTTCAACAGTCAAACATCCAACTAAGATGCCCAGTTCTTAATCATCTTTTGGCTCAAGTCTGAATAATCCTCTAAATAACACAGCATGGTTAAGACAGTACAACCATGGTGTGCTTCCGCATACTGCTAATTCCTTTTGCACTTGTCTGTACCACACAGTTTAGCACTTTATTACATGTTGGCTTATTATCCATCTGTTCCTTGTGTGTCTCTCTTTTCATTCAAAATGCTTTCAAGGTTTAGTGTTGCTTGTTTAAAAGCTTTTGTAATTCATAAAACTTTATCATGAATCGTGTGTATAACAATTAATAATTGCTGATCATTTGTTCCTAGATACTTCCTGGGCAAACATCTGGAAAAGTTTCAAGACTTGACATTCCTGTTGACGTTGTCCACAAGGAGGCAGATTCATACATATTCTAACAACTTGACATTTCTTTTTCTTTTATAATTAGACTAACAGCATTTGCACTTCTGGGGATTGCCATTTCAATTCACTGCAGCCAGTGTGGTTTCAATAGAATAACTAATACTTAGTCATTCTGTGCTAGGCTCATAAGCAATCACAACCATAATGTTTAGTAAAATTAGACTCCATCAATTAAAATCAGACAATGTACATTTTTATACAAAATGTTACTATTTAGTGAAAACATTTCATTTGCAGGTTCAAATTTTAGTCAAATTGGATATCCCAAAAGAGAATGAATGTGTATGTGTGTATATCCTGAATTTATATTTATTAAAACTCATTCAACTCTCTAAAATTCTCTTCCTGGGGAAAATAGCATGCGTATATATAAAGTTTGTTAAAACCCATGGTGTTGTCTACGGCCATACCACCCTGAACGCGCCCGATCTCGTCTAAAACCCATGGTGTTAATAGGTTAAATGCTAGCATCAACTTACATTTTATGAGGGATGCAGAAATATTTGAGCTGCACTTTTAAAATGCAATAACAGAATAGCCTAAGTTTACATGAAGACAGGTTTTAGTTTTTTGGTCCTATGCCAATATATTTAACTTACAGATCATCAGGACAATTTCTTGGTGGTTCTAGTCTTCCTCCTGTTTGCACATAGTTTAAAACATCAAGGTTGGAATGAGCTGGATAAGGCTGATGCCCAAGAGTTAAAATCTCCCAAATCAGAATTCCAAAAGACCTAAAAATATTAAAGAGCTTGCTTTAATTTTATCTAACATCTTAGCCTGGGGCTAAAAGTCCTTATGATTGGCATTACTGTCTTAATAAAAGGCAAATAAGAGACTTAAAAACAAGTCGAATTTAAAAAAAAAAAAACACTAGCCAATACACATGACCAATATTTCAAAGACGGGCTTGAAAGGAAGGCATACATGAACACACATGCAGACACACCTGCACGATGCATGCACACACAAAAGTGTACATGCACCTACAAAGACTCCCTGCTTCTGTTCCTCCCCTGCTACAAATGTACTGTATGACTCCATACCAAGAGGTGAGCAAGAAAGCATCTCAACATCCGCCCCACCCCCACACCCCACTCTGAGAAGGAGAGGCAGTGCCGGTAAACACGCAGATTGTGAGCATAAATAAAATCTAGCAGCATAATATTATCTCCTCTCCATTTTTCCCAAGTGCCACCCCAGATCAAAAGTCATTCAACAAGTCTTTGCACTTTAAGCAGCCCTAATAAAAAAGTGGAGGGCAACAAACAAAATGAGAGGTTTTATATAAATAAAAATATGTTGTTCAAGCCTCTCCAATGCCTTATCTTTTTCAATTGATTACTTAAAAATCTATCTATAAATTATTAACCAAATATCCCCAAACAGTAGGCATTTGGATACATCCTTGCACACTAACTCATAAGCAGTACTTTCTATCAGTCTTACCCTTTTACATCTAAAATAAGTGAAGTAAAGTATCTAGTTCATATACATTAGTAAGATACAGAATCAAAACTGATGGTGAGAGGATATAAACCACTAAATCCACCAGCTCATACTTCAGCTTGAAGTAAATAATTTAACCTCTCTGCTTTTTCTCTCATTCTGCCTCTCTCACGTTCTCTATCTTGTTCTCTCTTTTTCTCATCCCTTCACACCCTCCCCTCATACTACAAGGTAACCTTTAAGAGCCCTTCTGTATCTGCTGTTTGATCATTCTGCCCACATTTCTTTGTGTCACCTTAAGCTCACCATACGTCAGATTCGGTAGTGAAGATTCCATCCATCAAACTCTCTGGAGCCATCCACCGCACAGGGAGCAGTCCTTCCCCCCTCTTTCTGTAGTAATCATTTTTATAGATGTCCCTGGCAAGTCCAAAGTCCCCAATCTTCACTATCCGCGAAGGACTAGTATAGTCTTTCACAGACACAAGACAATTTCGAGCTGCCAGATCCCTGTGGCAGAAGTTATATTCAGAAATATTAATAACTTTTCAGAGGTCAGAGGAGTAACACTAGCATGTCTGTAGAGAAGAAATTTTCTTCATGGAAATCATTAGTATTTGAAGGAATCAAGTGTTTATCTTGTGCGATTTATCCAAATCACAGACAAGTATTGTGCTCAAATCTGTAATAACCTTGTGTCCAGGATATTTACCTGTGAATAAAGTGCAGCTGCTCCAAGTATACACAGCCTTTTGAAACATCTACACACACATCTGTAAGGTCAACCAAGGTGAGTAAAGGACCATGAAACTGTAATAAATGAAGGAAAAATTATGCTATTTTTGTGATTTACAAAAAAGTACTCACATATTTTTAAAGATTGTTTGGATGTATATGCATTCAAACACATCATATTTTAAAGGGAATCTTGTTCTTGGAATCTACTTTCTGCCTTGATCCCTATAGACAGATTTCCATAACACTCCCTGTTTGTTTGTGTCTGTGTGTTATCTATCACCTCTTTTTGATAACTTTCTGGGGCACCTCATCACTCGCAGTTGGGCCTGCTAGAATCAGATGCTCTTATGGGCTACCATCTGCTGTCTCATACGAGAAATAGTAACACATAGTAAGCCTTGATCCGGACCTGTTCATAGCCTTTCCTAACTCAGTGAGATGACATTCAACCACTCTTCCATCTCCCACCTTATTGTGCCAAAAACAAAAGACTTCCTTCACAAAGACTTCTCAACTCATCTCAGCTGACAATGAACTCTCCTTCCTCTGTGCTTTTGCAGAAGATTCCCTATTCCACTCAATGGTCCCTTCTATTTTTCTGCCATAAGTGAACTACTTAGATATCTCTACCATGCAGCAAGTTCCTTGAGACCAAGAACCACATCCTTCACTAGCACACAATAAAGTCACTCCAAAAAAATTGATAATTTGAACTATATCTGGAAGGTAGAACATTGCTCGCTGCAATTTCCTTTCTATTCTTTGGGGGGGGGGTTTGTTTGCTTCTTCTGTTTCTGTCTTAATATAGTCCTAGAATACCAATGCTAAAAGCTGTCTTAGGAAGCCTTGCTTTAAATATTCTATTTAATAGATGAACAAACCAAGCTCCAAACAGTGAAAGACAAAAAAGCAAGTTTCCTTGTATAATTGCAGTTAATCTTTACATTTCAAATCAACAAACAGAAATATGAGCATGGACAGGGAAGAAGGCTGATTGTGCTGATTCTTCTGGAACAGTGTCCCTGAACACTGTCTGTGGTGAGGGCTGGCCTCAAATGAATTTAGCACAAGGGGAAGCTGGGTTGGGCACTACTCAAGAACCCCTCCCCCGTGGTAGCAGCAAATGAGATTAATCAGCCAAAGGAATGACAGTACAAGTACTTAGGTGCACTTGAAATCCAGTCAGTAGAACTCTTTGGATCCCAGATAAAGAACAGCTTTGGAAAAATAGATCCATGTTTTCTTTCAGAGTGTCTCACCTCCACACATTACCACCAACACAAAATGAAACCTACAGATACATTTTCTTGCTAAAATGGAAGACTTAGGGGCAGGCAGTGGCTCAGTGAATTAAGCCATTATTTGCGATGGCAAATCTTGTATCAGAGGGTAACAGTAAAGCCCTGCCTCCACATTCAATATTACTTTCTGCTAATACATCCTGTAAGGAAGCAGACTGGGGCTTAAAGGATTGATCCACTACCACACACCCGAGAGGCCTAGATGGAGTTCCAGGCTCCTGGTTTGGGTTTGGCTTAGACCTGGCAAGTGCAACAATTTGACAGATGAACTTCAGTGAATGAATATATCTCTAGTAGATAAACACACATTAAAAAAATAATAATAGGACCCAGCGCAGCAGCCTCGCAGTTGAAGTCCTCACCTTGCATGCACCGGGATACCATATGGGAGCCGGTTTGTATTCCAGTGACCCTGCTTCCCATCCAGGTCCCTACTTGTGGCTTGAGAAAACAGTGGAGGATGGCCCAAAGATTTGGGACCCTTCACCCACATGGGAGACCCAGAAGAGGCTCTGGGTTACTCCTGACTTTGGATCGGCGTAGTTCCAAGCCATTGCAGCCACTTGGGGAGTGAATCATCAGATGGAAGATCTTCCTCTCTGTCTCTCCTCCTCTCTGAATATCTTACTTTCCAATAAAAAAAAAAGAATCTTTAAAATAATAATAATAAGGGACTGAATGTGTGACTTGTTGGTCATATTCTCTCCTCAAATCTTACTAAGGAGAAAAATTTTTTGAATTTTAGTTATTTACTGAGAAGGAAGAGAGGGAGGAAGAAAGAGAGAGAGAAAGGGAGAGACTCCATCCCGTGGCACAATACCCAGAAGGCTGCAGCAGCCACTACTGGGCCAGACTAAAGCCAGGAACTAAGAACTCCGTCTGTGTCTCCCACAAGGGTGACAGGGATTTGTGCTGTATCTACAACCATCCCAGGCACATGAGCAAGGAGCTGCAGTTGAAGCAGAGAAGTCAGTGTTGTCACATGGAAAGAACAAATGTCAGAGCCTGGGAGGAACAAATCTGCAGGAACCTACTTTATACCCCAAATGTGAAAGCTTACTTCATTTAAGTTTAAATCTGCACTTTTCTATCAAAATGAATATTTGGAGCCCGACGCCATGGCCTAGCAGCTAAGGTTCTCGCCTTGAACGAGCCAAAATCCCATATGGTCACCGGTTCTAATCCCAGCAGCCCCACTTCCCATCCAGCTCTCTGCTTGTGGCCTGGGAAAGCAGTTGAGGACGGCCCAAAGTCTTGGGACCCTGAACCCGCATGGGAGACCCGAAAGAGCTCCTGGCTCCTGGCTTTGGATCAGCGCAGCACTGGCCATTACAGTCACTTGGGGAGTGGGCCGTCGGATGGAGGAGCTTTTTCTCTGTCTCTCCTTCTCTCTGTATGTCTGGCTTTGTAATGAAAATAAATAATTTTTTTAAAAAACATGAATATTTGGGACCAATAGGGTAGCTTAATAAGTAATCCTCCACCTGCAAGCAGCAGCATCCCCTTATAGGTGCTGGTTTGTATTCTATCTGCTCTACTTTTGATCCAGCTTCTTCTCGTGGCCTGTGAAAGCAGCGAAGCAGCTCAAGTCCTTGGAACCCTGCACCCATGTTGAAGACCCAAAAGAAGCTCCTAACTCTGCCTTTGGGTCAGCACAGGTGTGACTGTTGCAGCCATTTGGGGACTGAACCAGCAAATGGAAGACCTCTTTCTCAGGTGTCTCTCCTTCTCAAAAAAGTTTCAAAAATGAACATTTAATGGCTAACCACTTTAACATACAATAGAGCTGATAATAAAATACAGAAGTTTTGTGCTCTGCCTCATCCCAGTCATCCAACTCTGCATATACTATGTATCAACCCCCATGTTCCCTGAACCCTTGCTTTTTACTAATAATTATTCATCATTCAGTTTGGAGGGAAAGCAAGGAACTGGATGTATAAAGGAGATTATGAGTACTGTTTTGACCAAAGTAAGTTGGACAAGCCTAATAAAATCCAAATAGATATGTCGATGAAATGGGGACCTGCAATTGTAGTACTCAGTTGATGCATGAGGACTATAATTTTGGGACATACAGATGAAGGCCAGATATGTGCTTTCTCAACTCTACACAATCTCTGTGTTTCAAAAGATAACGATTGTTGTCTACAAAAAAACTATTCCTGGGCCTGGCGCGGTGGCGCAAGTGGTTAACGTCCTCGCCTTGCACACCAGGGATCCCATATGGGCGCCGGTTCTATCCCAGCAGCCCTGCTTCCCTTCCAGCTCCCTGCCAGTGGCCTGGGAAAGCAGTCGAGGACAGCCCAAAACTTTGGGACCCTGCACCCGCGTGGGAGACCCGGAAGAGGTTCCTGGCTTTGGATCAGCATAGCATCGGCCGTTGCACTCACTTGGGGAGTGAATCATTGGACGGAAGATCTTCCTCTCTGTCTCTCCTCTCTGCATATCTGCCTTTCCAATAAAAAAAATAAGAAGAAAAATAAATCTTAAAAAAAATTTTTTTTTAAATAAAAAAACTATTCTTTCATTAAACACTAAAAACAGGGTGGAATGCCAGATAACTAGCTCAGGATTTTAACCAACCAAATCATTATGAATGAAATACTAGAATTATTTTCTGAAAAACATCTTAATACATCAGCCATAACTGCAGCCCACTAAAGTTAAGTAAAATTTATAGGAAATTTTACAACATTTACATTAAGAAACTCATTACCACAGGCCCCTGCTGCCTACCGTAGTCATCCGAGCTTTGCGCAAATAGGTCAGAAGGTCTCCTCCTTCCATCAGTTCCAGGATAATGTACTGGGGTTCATTTAACAGACAAACCCCAAGCTGCTTCAGAATGTTGGGATGATTAAACTTGCTAGAACATGGACAGACATGACATGCATAACATGAAAATGGCAGGAGTCAGTAAAGGATCCTCACGTTAAAAAAAAAATTCTCTATCCATACTGTCTTTTAAAACTGCTCACTATTTTCTACAATAAGTGAAAACTTCATTTTGCAAGAATGGGTGAGTGTGTTGTCTAAAGGAGGTCACATGGCAACCCCTAGTGGTAATGCATATATATATATATGAATAGGAGGAGGGTAAGAAGAAATAACATTTATGTTAAGTACTTTGTGTTTTGAGGCAAACTAATTTTGGTTAATACTGTCCTTCAAAAGATATTTGAAGCATTATGTTTGGGGCTTGACAGGGTGAGAATCATTCTCCATGTTTCAGAGAGACAATTGCAACATGCAGTTTTGGCTACAGTGGTTCCTGAGGACATCAGAATCAGCCCCCAAACTACAGACTGCAACCCACAGTGAGGACTCCATCAACCAAGGCTTCCAGTCATTAGGCTGCATTTGAACAGTTTTACTGGCCATAAAGGAACTTAACTCTGCAGACAAAGTATACTTCCCGAGACAAGGGCTGTTTTCACTGACATCACCGCATTTAGAGAGCTCTTCCTTGCTACTTGATCCAAATAACCCATTTACAAATGAAAATGTATATTTAAAGTTGAACAGATTTTTAGAATCCATTTACAAATCACAGTCTTTCTTGAAGATTAAAGAAGAGTTTTTCTCCAGGTACAGGATTTGATAACTGATTCTATAGAATAGTGTTACTACAGATATACAGTGTATTTCTGTCTAAACTTTTCACCCATGTTTGCTGAGAGCATGATATGTGATGTTAGATCACTTTGGATGTTAAAATCTATAGTTTCCATCTCAAACTAAGAAAAATTATTTCAGAATTACCCTGATACCTCATCAGATGTGCCTCCTTCAGAAATTCTATCTTCTCCTGGTCTGTGGAACCCTTCTTCAAAGTCTGTGCAATGTAAAAAATAAGTCAGGAATTAGGGTGGCAGACGTTTCTGAGCTTAGTCGGTGAATGGAAACAGTCTTTGTTTTGTTTTGTAATACCCACTCTTAAAGCTGGCCCTAGATCCCAGACATAGCATGTGCAGGTGCTCAGAAACCCTTTCAAATGTTGGTACCTGTTAGTGCCAGTATTCAAGTCAGATAAAAAGTCAAGTAACATTTATACAAACTTCTCCCCAAATGCTAGAAATCTGAAGAAACTAAGTTTCATATTCAGGACACCAAATTCTTCATTTTCTACTACATCTGTGTTTCTCCCATTTCCTTACTAATAATGCCCTATTTCTTGGAGACAAGATGCCTAATCCCCAATCATTGTTTTAAATTATTCATGAAATTGCATTTTGAAATTCTTCACCCTCTCTTGAAACTATGTGTCTCAGTTTTGAACAATACAAATGAGAGAAAAACTGCTAAGGGAAGATGGTCACTTGTAAACAATTTCTACTTTTCTGAACTGTCCTTCCTCCTCTCCCTGGCCTTGATGAAGATGTGTTCCGATTCTTTGGCAGCCATTTTGGAAGTTGAAGTAATGAGCACATCGAGAAAATTTCAGACACTAGCTCTGTCCTAACACACCACTCAGCCAAAGCATCAGTTCTCCTGTATTGGAAGAAAAAAAATGAAGACTTGTTTAACTCAGTTCAGACTAGAGATAATTGTGACATCATTTGGAAATAGAATTTTGCAAACTTTTCTAATTGCACAGTCCACTCTCAGAGCAAAGCATTTCTGACAGGTAGTGATAGTTACATAAGTTACCCTCCTATTAGAAAATTTTATAAAAATAAGACAATATATACATATGTGTATATGTATGTGTGTGCATATATATATATATATATAGTATGTATGTATGTAGCATATACTGTGTAGTGTAGAGGCCCCCGAATTAAGGCGTGTAGGCGAAATCCAGCCCGTTCTCTGTCTTGGGGCAGAGATCTGAAATCAATTTTTATACTTAAGTGAAAGGAAGAATATTATTTAAAGACTTTTGAGAATTGTACAGAACTCAAATATCAGTTTTTATAAATAAATTTTCATCAGCACACAGTCATACTCATCAATTTATAAACCATGATTACTTTCAAGTTGTAACGCTAGAGAACAGCAGTTGTTATGGAGTAGATGGCCACCAAGCCTCAAATACTTGCCATCTTCCTAAGAAAATGTTAGGTGACCCTTCATCTCGTTCCTGAACGGTATGTTTTACATATTCTTTCATAGTAGTGCTAGTGTTTGAGGTAATGAATTGCTGAACATTTTCTGTTGGCTATAGCGTCCATATAGGAAGTGGGGGAGTGTGCGATTTCAGTAACCGTAGAGAGGATTATACATTCTACTAGTTTATTTTTTCAACCAGGATCACTCAGCTTTTATTTTAGTTGTATCCGTACTAATTCATGCAAATAGGGTGACATAAAAGAATCAAGAAGTTCAAAGATCCACATTACCTTCACTGCAACTTTGATTTCTCCACTTCCAATTCCCAAGATGTCTACTGCTGTCCCTTCATACACTTCTCCAAAGGCCCCACTTCCCAACAAGACACGAAGAGTTAGTTTTTCTCGAGGGAAAGTAGGAAGATTTTTTATCTCTTCTTGGGTTGGTAAAGTACTGTAAAATAATAATATTTTTGTTCTCTCAAAGTTTTTATGGTTTATAAAGTGTGCTGTTATTAGTGGTTGTGTTTGAAAGAGGAAGAAGAATCTCAGAGATTTGCAACATTGTATGCTCCATGTGATACAGTGAAAGTCTGTGCTCCTATCTACTGCCCTACTCCACCATTTTTTACTCAGACAGTGCATGTTGTGAGGTAGCTTCCTTTTAATACGAAAATGCTCACATGTGCTTTGCTTTAAGATTTCTGTTGTACAGCCAAGAGCCCTGAGCAGTCCGCAGAAACAGAAGAACAGTCCCTTCGGGACTAAGGAGGGGAGCTTTCTCTGGTCCTTGCTTGGTTCCAACTTTGGGTCCCCACCCTCTCTGGCAATCACCATCAGGATCGCTCCCGAAACCCCTCAAAACAAACAAACAAACAAACAAACAAAAAACCTAGAATAGATAGACAGAGAACAACAAGGAATCAGACAGGAAACGATCAGCGTGGATTCACTTATACCTCACTAGGTGGGACACAAAGATTAGTTACTCCTCACTAGGTTATTGACGATTTCTCTGCACACCCCTCCTAAAACTGTTCTGCACCTAAACTGTTGACATATGTCTTGCTACAGTTATAAGCCAGTCTAGACTACCCGAAAAAAAGCCAGGTTCAGCAAAATTATGCTTCAACACTATAAAATGCTAAATACTATATTGAAAATAGGCACGAGATAGCTGAATAATAAATAATCTATAGCCATTTTAAGGTGTATAGAACCCGGCTGTATATAAACTAAAATTGAAATGTCAATGAAGAAGTCACAGGTTGTGGTTAAGAACTTACATTTTTTTTAACATATTGGTTACTCAATACTATGTCAATTAATTCCATAACGTTATAAATTGTTGCTGATGTTATATTGGGGCTTTTAATCGATCGGGATGATACTCTGCTGGCTCTACCTTCAGACCAGAGATGGTCTCCCCAAGAAGTCTTGAAATTATCTGGACAATAAGATGCTGGACTTTATGCTTGGTATATGCTTGCAATGAAAGAATCTCAACTGAACTTGAACTGTAATACTGCAACAAGGTGGAGGAATCCACCAAGGAGGGAGGGTTTGGGGAGGGGCCAGGGGAATCCCAGTATCTATAAAACCGTGTCACATAAAATGTAATTAATAATAAATAAATAAAGATTTCTGTTGTAGACAGTTCTGTTAAAGTTTTTTGGTAACAATTTCAAGTGGCCATTCTATGTTGAAAACCATTGCAAATCAGCAATAAATACAACTGGATTTACATGATTTTTTAAATTGTTTTCACATCTGATATCTCATGGAAAATAAGATTTATGACAAAAATCAATTCCATCATCATATTCCCACATGAAATATTATGGGAAAGATATTTTTAAACGTTTGTGCTTAAATAGAGAATTTTTAATAAGCTATAGTGAGTATTTCCTCCTTAAAGAAGATTCACCTCCGAATAGCTGTTTATACAAGTCATCCTCTGTGTCTATTTCAAATCCTTTGCTTTTGCACATTGAATAATACCTCTAATTCCTTTTTACATAACCAATAATTTTGTGTCCCATACAAAGAGACACTTAAATATTTTCTTTAATTATGCCAGTGACAGTTCAGAGTCATCTATCTTAAAGAGCTTTTGTAGGCAATCATCTTACAACATCTGCAACGGACTAGAACTATCTTACTAGCACATGCACAAGACACTTGCAATTCTTCTTCAATCAGCCTACTCTCTTCAATATATCTGCTTCTTTAATTTGTTCTTCAGTTTGTGTAATAAAATACTCAAAAGGAATGAATTTTTCTCACTCGCTTTGCAGGACTGAAGATTTAATTTGTCATGTATGGTAGGTCACATTCAAGAGTGGGAGAGGATGGTGTGACCAATGATTCCCCAGTAGTGAAAATAAGCCAGTACAGTCCTGGACAAAACACATGTGCTGCCCACTCTCTGCCTAAATGCTCTGTGTTGATGCCTGGGCTACGTACTGTATGGCGTAACAGGCATTCGCCAGCCCCACTCCAGCTCCCAAATCTCGCAATTCAGTCAGTTCTTTGTCTTCATTTGTAAAAATGGCCAGTCCTTCTTTGGAAGTCTTTTGATTCTTTAATCTCCTCTGCCAGACTAGAAAAAAAAGGGATATAATTTAGAAAATAAATTATTGCTTCTTCTTCCTTTAGGAAATGTTAACAATTCATTTTGATTGCGTACATATAAGGACAAGTTGCTAGAACAACAAAATTTAATTGAAAATGTTTTTATAAATAAAACTCATTTACATTTATGTGAAAGAACAGATTAAAGACATATGTTACATCAGTCTTCATCTCACTTATCAGAATAAATTATACCCTGTGGACTTAAATGCATGCATTCAAGATTATGATATTTTTAAAATAGAGTATAAGAATGCATATCCATTATTGTTCACATACACGTACTCAGATACGTGGGGACATTATTGAAAGTTCACCAAACGGTAGCAGTGCCCCTCCATCTAGTTGTGGAATCATGAGAAATCTGTATTGTCTTTTCTGTATAACAAGCACAAGTCACTTTTACAATGATGTTTAAATACTGTTTTTAAACATGAAAATACAGTGATGTCAATAACATCACCCATTTATGCTGGAATGTTGATTAGTTCAAAAGTTGAAATTCCAAAAAGAAGTTGTGAGAGATGATTGTTGAAATTTGAACATTATTTCATGGTAGTTTCTGTACCCAAGAGGTTGGAGTTTTACCCTTATAAAGTTTCCTCTGAGGGAAGAAACAGAAAAGTCTGATGCAAAGGTTTTTCAAATTTGAAATGCTCTCTCCACTTCTCTTCTTTAAAGGCCCAGTATAAGCTCTCAACCCCAGCAATGCCTTCAAGAGCACTGTAACTTTTTGATTTCTCATCTCCAAACTTAGAACACGGTCCACACATTTCAGTGCTTCTCCTATAGCACTGTTGTGTGCAGTTCATGGACTATATCTCCATGTTTTTATTTAACACATATTTTACTATTTACCTTTTCACACAATTATGTCTTCCCTCCTTTATTCAACAGCAGCATCCTCGAGTCAACAACTGTATTTTATCACTTTATATTTCCCTCCAATGCTAGCATATGGCTACTATTGTGTATTTGCTATGACCACTCACCATTGCAAAGACTGTCAATGCTTCTTTTAAAGCCTTCATTTCAATTTTATATTTACAACAATGCCTGAGTAGAGCCCACAGCACAATACAATTTTTAAAACAATATGCTACTTTTCGTTACTTCAATGATTCAAATCTTTTCTCATGCATTCACACACACTACTAGCAAAACCTACCTGCAAAATCACATGCACTACCACTGAAAGCAAACACCCAATCAGCTTAGCTGTACTCAAAAATCCGTAAGTTGCAAACAGAATAAAGACCTTTAAGTCCTGAGAAAGTCGGATATCCACAGAATGTTTTGAAAGCACAATAATCCTGTCAAAAATTATCTCATGGTCATTCACTAGAGTTATAGATTTAAGCAATGATGATGAACATGTAGGGAAGCAAAGATCGGATGAAGGATTCTTTATGTACTACTCTTTCCCAGCAGGAGAGCAGACAAACCATCATGTCTATCTGCCAACTGCCAAGTATATTGCAGTCACATGCATAACTCTGGAGGGGCTGTCTCAGTGGCACAAATATCAGCTGTACAATGCTTAGATTTCATGGAACCACAAGTTAAAAGCCTGGCAGGGAAACCTGAAATTGTTAGCTGCCCAAGTTAGTTGAAGGCGTTCTACTCTTCATCTGCATATTATCTACAAAAAGAAATCATGCAGGTTTTAAAATTATTTACAATTTATGATTTCTGTCAGCTTGGAGAAAGAATATTGGCTCTCTTCATCCTGAAATAGTTTAGCCTTTTGGGGCAGGGGAGTAACATTCTAAGACCGAACTTTCTGAACTATGCTTGAGTATTCTTTTCTGTTGAGTATCATATCTTTCTCACAACACTTCGGTGTGTCATGAACTATTAATATCAGCAAAGGAAAGGGGAGGACATGCATTCACAAAGTTCGTGGATCTTCAAAATGTTGTTTTACCTTAAAACTGTTGATGTGAAAATACAAAACAGAAAGTTTGTGGGAAACACATATTATGGAAAAGTATGCATGGATTTAAACTTTGCATCAAATGAATATCTTTTAATTTCATATTTCCACAAACTCTCCTATCTTACAACAAAAACCAAGACTTTTAGGAGATTAAAGTGATATCAATATTCATGATGAAATAAGAAGCCGGTATGTATGATCACTATGATAACCCTGTCTCTTTTGGGGCTGCCCCACATTACCTCTTCACTAATATAAATCTTAAAAAGGCAGGGTAGGGGGAGGGTGGTTTAAGACTAGTAAATTGACACAACATGAACAATGGAAAATAGCCAGTTCTATATTTATCTTACCTAATTCTTCCACTTTCCTGGAAGTTTATAGGTGAACATACATTTGAATAAGCAGATCAGACACCTACAGTGAGAGCAGAGCCTATCAAACCAGAACATGGCAATTCTGCAAAGGAGGCCCTGGTCATTCTAAATCAGGCTGTTTGGAGACCAAAACTATCCTTACCACAGACTGTCATTGGCTTTCCCCTAATGCTACATGTTTTTGTATATATAGAGTCTTTTTTAATTATTACTCCAAATGATAAGCCATAAAATCCTAGAAAAATATCAGAAACAAATACTTATTTTTAAAAATGCTACATGTGTCCTGAGAAGTTTTTATTTTATAGGGCTGGTATAGTAGCTCAACAGACTAATTCTCTGCCTACATACTATTTGACCACTGGTTCTAGTACTGGCTGCTCCACTTCAAATCCAATTTCCTGCTTGTGGAATAGTAAAGCAATGGAAGACTTCCAAGTCCTTGGGCCACTACATCCACATGGGAGTCCAGGAAGAAGCTGCTTGATCCCAGCTTCAGATTTGTCCAGCTCCAGCTGTTGCGGCCATCTGGGGCATGAACCAGCAGATGGAAGCTCTCTCTCCCTCTCTGCCTCTTCCTTCTGCAAATCTGCCTTTCATATAATAAAATAATGTGATTTTTTATCTAAAGTATATCATGAACTATAAATACAAACCTATTTTTCATAATTATCCTGCATTGAAAAAGGTCACAAAAATTAATGATTATGAAAGTCCAGTAACATTTTGTCTTTTGTTAACTTAAACAGATCATATTTCATGTAAAAGACTATATAAACCAAGAGAAAGAAATTATTCAATATAACAAACAACTTATAACTAAATCTAGGGAGTAGATACTTGACCTAGCAGTTAGTAGATCTGTGTCTCAATCAAAGTGGCTGAGTTTGAGTCCTAGCTCCAGCTCCTGACTCCAGCTTCCTGCTAATGTACACTCTGAATCAACAACGAAGGACTCGGTAATGGAAATGCTGCCACTCACACAGCAGAACTGAATTGTGTTCCTGGCTCGCCACTTCATCCTGGCCTAGTCTTGTCATTTCTAGTATTCTGGAAGTAAACCCACAACTAACAGATCTCTCTGCATCTGTCATTCTGCCTTTCTGTCTCTATCTATCCATCTTCTTCTTTCTTTACCTCTCAAATAAATAAATGTTTGATCCTGACAGCCTCCTAACAGGAGGTCATATGCACAGAGCAGAAGGGGACCCCAGAGTGGAACAGGAGGACAGGAGGAGGCTTGTATCCTAACCCCAAAGACTCCTGGTACCTCACCAAGGACTATCAGCATGGGCGCCAAGGACTACATCCCAACTGCCAAGGAGATCACAGGGAATTGGAGTGTGAGTGCCCTCATGGGCCGAGAACTCTGAGGTCAACCATTCCCTATCGATCTCCCACACAGGATGGAAGAAGCCCAGATCCTTCCTCACAAGATCTCATGTCATCGGAACAACAGCCAGGAGCTCTGAGCCATCCTCAGAAACAGAAGAACAGTAAACTTCCTTCAGGACTCTGGAGAGGAGCTTTCTCCAGTCCTTACCTAGTTCCAACTTTGGCTCCCATCCTCTCTTGCAATGACCATCAGGGTCACTCTGGTCCCCCCAAAATTAGATCAAATAGACAGAGATCAATCAGGAAAGCTTAGAACAGACAAGAAAAAGTCAGTTTGAACTCCCATATACCTTTCTAGGTAGGACACAAACATTAGTTACTCCTCACTAAGGTATTGAAGATTTCTCTGCACACCCCTCCTAAAACCCTTCTGCTCCTCAATCACTAACATATGGCTTGATAGACTTATAAGCCTGTTTGGACTATCCTAAAATTCACGATGTTCAGTAAAATCATGCTTGAATACTATAAGCTGCTAAATATAAAAAAGAAAAATAGACACAAAACAGCTGAATAAGTATACTATAACCATTTTAAGGTTTATAGCAGCCAGTTGTGTATAAACTAAAATTGAGATGTCAACAAAGTAGTTACAGGATGTGGTTAAGAGCTTGCATTTTCTAACATTTTGGTCACTCAATACCATGTCAATTAACTCCATAGTGTTGTAAATTTCCGTGTTTCTTCCTGTTGTTGAAGTTGTATAGTGGCTTTTCACTGGATGGGATGATATTCTGCCAGCTCTGCTTTCAGACCAGAGATGGTCTCCCCAAGAAACCGTTGAATTTATCTGGACAATAAGATGCTAGACTCTCTTCATGGTCCATGACCTCAATGAAGGAATCATGGCTGGCTATGAACTGTAATACTGTAACAATATGGAGGAATTCAATATGGGGGGAGGGTTTGGGGGAATCCCAGAGCCTATGAAACTGTGTCATAAAATAAAATAATAATAAAAAAAACAATAAAATCTAGGATACTCACCAAATGTCAAGGGAATAATAACAACCAGAAATATTCCAACTATAATAATAAGCACAAAGCTTGTTTCTGGTATCCAGAAGCCATCTAGTGATATAAAAAAAGAAAAAGAAATTAATCAACAGAATAATTAAACCAAGTCAACTTACACGGAGTGAAATGCCAAAACCTAGCCAACTTTTGCAAACCAATTGTTATGCAGTAACAGATTGAAATCATCCACACTGGAAGTATTTATGTCACAGGAAAGCAAAATTAGAGTTTGTTTGTTTGTCTGTTTGCTTTTAATTTTTTAACCCAGAGAGGCAGTATACCAACACACCAATGAAACACACCCAATCTTCTACTTTAAAATGACTGGAGAAACATGCAAAATCTTTTTAGAGAATTTGAGATATAATGTGAATTGTATAGTTGAGAATATTTTTTGTAATGTCTTCATACACAGTTAACTCCCCGAGTATTACCTTCAGCAATGTAAAAATTTAAAAATGCCATTTGTGCTAGCTAGTTTGCAGTATAAAACACAAACATGGCAGCTTGTGTAGTCTGATTTCAACTTTGGCACCACTCAGAAACTAACAATGACTTTTATATTTTAAGTAATATTAAAAAAAAAATTAAAATGATATGCAATAGAAATCCCATAAGAACACTGTATATTTTCTATCAAATGTATATATGAAATGCATGATAAATAATTTTACCTACAAAACATCAATTAAGCCACATAGAAAGTTCACTGTATTAGGTTTTGAAGAATAAGAAAGTCAAAGAAAGGAAATCTCAGCTAAGGGACATAGGCTAGATAGCAGGGACAAAACACAAGACCAGAAAGCTAGGGACATAAAATCTAGCATGGCGATAACAAAGGACAAATGTTAGGAAAGATGAATTACATTTGGAAGACAACCTCAGAAGCTCTTACAGGCCACTCAATTGTTTATCACTAACTCTGAAGACAGTGAATGGAGTATAATTCAGGGTATGAGAGGTTAAGTGGTCCACTTTGTGTTTCAGCAAGATTAACTCTAAGCCGTATGATAAAACCAAAAGCACCAAGGCAACAAATGATACTTAAATTAGGATAGCCAAGGTAGAAATAGCAACATGGAAATTCATCAGAGAGAAAATTTAGACTGTAATGTCAGTAGAATCCAGTGACTGAGAGAAGTCTGAACTCCGAGCCTTCCAGCCTATGTGATTAGAAAGATCATAAACTAAATCCAGATGCACAATGGAAAGAGAAAATAGTAGAAAAGAGATGAGTAATAAACTTAGATCTCTTGTGTATAGAAGGAAAATGCTAGAACTATAGTAATAAACTGGAGAGCTAAATACTAAATTGTGAACAGCCTTCTTAAGAGCATGGAGATAGTACCCGATAGCCATTTTAAAGTGTATAGCAGCCAGTTGTGTATAAACTAAAATTGAAATGTCAATGAAGCAGCCACAGGATGTGGTTAGGAACTTGCATTTTCTAACATTTTGGTCACTCAATACCATGTCAATTAACTCCATAGTGTTGTAATTTGTTGTTAATGTTATGTTGTGGCTTTTAACTGGATGGGATGATATTCTGCCAGCTCTGCTTTCAGACCAGAGATGGTCTCCCCAAGAAACTGTTGAATTTATCTGGACAATAACTTGCTAGACTCTCTTCATGGTCCATGCTCACAATGAAGGAATCATGACTGAATTTGAACTGTAATACTGCAACAAGGTGGAGGAATCCATCATAGGGAAAGGGTATGGGGAGGGGTTGGGAGAATCCCAGAGCCTATAAAATGAAATTAAATTTTAAAAAATCCTAACACAAAAAAATAAAGCTGTACTTATTCATTTGAAAAAAGAGCACGGAATTGATCTAGTAACATAGAAGAGTAGGTTATCATTACTAAGAGGAAAGAAAACTATATGACAGTAATGGTGTTCTAGTAAGATCACATCAGATGTATTGAATAATTCAATAGTCTAATAATACCGCCTACTATACTTACTCAGGCTTCGAGTGTACCTACCAATATCACTGAACCTTTATATAATAAGTACATAGGCAGACAAGGTAACATACCTCTAGCTAATAAAATATCCTCACTGATTCCACTGTATTCACCAAAGCCCAGATTATTTGCAGCTACAACTCTGAATTGAAATGTTCCTTTCAGGTTTTTGGACTTCCATGTGCAAATGCTACTGCAGGATCCATTAAATGCCATCTTCCAGCTTAAATTCTGGTTCTGTGAATCATTTGAAGTTCCCTGTCTGTAAAGGCAACAGAAATACTACATGCAGAAAAAACCTTGTGACAAAATATGTTACTGCTAATTGCTCATATATATGTATATATCACTGTAACAAGCAGCACAGAGGGTCTCTTATTACAAGTTGTACCCATGATCTCCATTCATTTCACATGATTCGGTGAATAAACATGGCGTGATTTTATAAAGCCACACTAGTGATGCATGGAGCCAAACAACTTATCCTACCAACAAGTTTATAAATAATCAGTAATCAACAGAAGCTGAAGATTATTTTCCTACTGTTTCTAATTTTTAAATTTATGTTCTCTTTATTTGAAAGGCAAAGAAAAGAAAAGGAAATTCCTTACACTAATTCACTTTCTACATGACCACAATAGTCAAAGCCAGATCATGCCAAAATCGCGAGGACAGAGTCCAAGTCTCCAAAGTGAATGGCAGAGACCCAAATATTCCAGTCATCATCTGCTGCCTCCGCATCCCCACTAACCCCACCAGGGCACACATAGCCAAGCATTAGCATTCTATATTAGAAGCAGAACAGTCAGGATTCAAACCAAGCATTCCAACATAGAATACAGAAATTTCCAGTGATGTCATAACCACTGCGAAAAAAAAAAAAAAAACAAAAAAACCTAGCTCCATGGGGATAGTTCCATGGCATAATGAGCCAAGCTTCCACCTGTGGCAATGGCAATGGCATTCCATTTGGGCACTGTTTGTGTCCCAGCTGCTTCACTTCTGATCTAGCTCCTTGTTTATGGCTTGGGAAAGCAGTGGAAAATGGCTCACATTCTTGGGCCCCAGTACCCATGTGGGAGACCCAGAGGAAGCTCCTAGTTCCTGACTCCTGGCTTTGGGTCAGCACAGTTCCAGCTATTATAGCCATTTGAGGAGTGAACTAGTAGATGGAAGATCTTTTTCTCTGTCTCTCTTCTCTCAGTATCTCTGCTTTTTGAATAAAAATAAATCTTTTTTTAAAAAGCTTGCTCCACTTTTCCTAGTTTAAAATCTGGAAACTTTTTCATCATTGTAAACATGTAAACCATTATAATTTTAACTGGTAAATTTGTATTTTTCCTAATATTCATCCTCTTATGTCATTTGGGTTTTTTTTTAACTATGTAGAAAAAATACAGATTAGACAGCTGATAAGGAAAGTGTGATAGCTCAGCTCCCAACATTATTATATCTGAACTTCTAAACTTCATTATTGCCTTATATATTGTTCTTCGTTGTACTTCAGTGTCATTTCACACTGAGTTTTTGTTTTGTTTTGTTTTGTGAAATAGGGAAAGAGGACAAGACCTGGGTCCAGAAGACATGAATGCAGGTACTTTTAACAGAATCACTGACTGAAAGCAGGATCAAGGTCTTCTAGCTATGTCTTCTCTGACAATGAAAAAGTATTTCAAGTTTGAAACTTTTCAGATTGCAACAGTTTTAGAACATACCAATATGTAGTAAGTTAGAAACTAGTTCCGGTCCTGCTAACTGGGTGGCTGGCCAAAACTAGCAACAGCATAGTGAACCAAAGCAGCAGCAGTGGGTAGATGAGATCAACAGGGCAGCAGCAATGATCATCATATCACAACTCTTTACGTGGCTAAATAACTCCTTATCATTAATTACAAAGTAAATGGCTCGTTACTTATTGCCATTGAGGAAGAAAATTAGTATTTCAACCATTGGTTGAGCACCTTGTATTTGCAATGCTAAGGTGATTTATGCAGGTTTTATTTCATTGCATCTTCACAATTACTAAAAGGTACATAGCAATGTCTTCATTCTACCAATGAAAAGAACAACTTAAGCCCAAACATGGAAGAGAGAAAGTATCTATGCACTGTATTGAATAATGTGTCCCAAAATGTATACCCACTCAGACTCTGGGAATGTGAACTTGCTTGGAAACAAGGCCTTGGCAGAAGTTAATAAAATCATTATAGATTAATATGGCCCTAACCCAAATGACAGTGACTTTATAAATGAAGGGAAGTCCGGACATAGATGCACACATGGAGAATGCCATGAGGTTGATTGAGGCAGAGATTTGAGTGAGCATCTGTAAGCCATGGAGCACCAATGCTTGCTTAGAGCCAACCAGAAGCTAAAAAGAAGCAAGCAAGAATGTCTCTCAAGAAACTTTTTTTTTTTTTTTTTTTTTTTTTTTTTAAAGATTTATTTTTATTATTTTTTCATTGGAAAGGCGGATATACAGAGAGGAGAGACAGAGAGGAAGATCTTCCATCCGATGATTCACTCCCCAAGTGAGCGCAACGGGCCGATACTATGCCGATCCGAAGCCAGGAGCCTTTTGCGGGTCTCCCGCACGGGTGCAGGTTCCCAAAGCCTTGGGCCGTCCTCGACTGCTTTCCCAGGCCACAGGCAGGGAGCTGGAAGGGAAGCGGGGCTGCAGGGATTAGAACCGGCGCCCATATGGGATCCCGGGCGTGCAAGGCGAGGACCTTTAACCACTTGCGCCACCGCGCCGGGCCCTCTCAAGAAACTTTAAAGAAACATGACCTTACTGACACCTTGATTTCATAATTCTAACCTTTAGAACTATAATAAATGTCTGCTGTTTTAGGTCATTCAATTGGAGATACCTGGGGGAAAGGACATGCTGTATGGATAGATGGAGTTATACACCTAAGATGTGACTGAAGTGAACAGACTTAAGGCATCCTGGTAAGAATTACAATGTAGCCTTCCTGGTAAATAATTCTAGTCACAAAAAATTCTAGTCACAAATCACTAGGACAATTCTGCAGATTCTAATCCACTTCATGCTGCATGAACAACCTTAAGAGATATTGTAAGGTTTTACTTAGAAAGAAAGCTAAGGGAATTCTCTAGCATGAGCAGGAAAACTTTTTTTAAGGTTATGGGAATGCCAGAGCAAGATGAAGCAAAAATAGATCCAAAGCTCAAGTTGCCAGGATGATAATTATGGACGTGACTTTTGTCCTTGGAGCCTTCTTAAAAGATGGCTTCATAGTCCCGTGAGGCGGGTGTTTCGGAATTTGGAATTCTCCCCTCAAGCTGGCATGAAATCTGTCCTTGTGGGCCAATTTTGTTTCCCTGAGCTCCCCACACTGGCCAGGTCTAAGTTGCATGTGCTGATCAGCTGCTGGCTTTCATCGACAGCACATTTTCAGTACTAGGAACACAGGGCAAGCTGAGATCTTGACAATACATAGACAATCTTATGTGTCCTATACATGGCAGATCAATTCAGAATTTTAATCTAACTTCACATTCTGGGAAATACTGAGCATATTGATAGTTCTCATTGTAGAATATGTGCCTTGCTAAAACAGATTATCATCAAAAATTTATAGGCATACCATCATCTGACATCAGACATCAGCTCAGATTCTTAAGCAGAATAAACAGTAAGTAATATTGGCTGTCAGAGCCCAAGACTGAATTATGTCCATAAAATTGTAATGAGAATTTGCAGGTCTCTGAGAATGCTATTCTCTTTACAACTAGTACTCCAAGGCCAACCTTTAGCAACTGAGTAAAGGATGTAGTGATGGGCATTGGGTCCTTAAATCAGAGATTCTTTTAGTTTAAATATGAATACACTCCCATCAGCATTATAACATTTAAACATCTTACAGGTGTTTGTTCTTTGTAGTTTACAAAACACTTCTGCAGACAGACATACCTGATCTCAAGAATATAATACAAAAGTCTACTTCCACGATCCTCAGCTTTTTCCCATTGTATTGAATTTTCACTCCCTTCTAATAATTTAGGAATACCTGGTTTACTTGGAACTCCAGCTTTGAAGGGAAAAGAGGAAATAGTGATCCATATGTTAGAAGTATAATATTACACTGATTTATTTTTTATACAATTTGCTTAATAAGAGGAAAGACAAACACTTGAAGAATATTTGAAACATTCTAATATGGATACATATTTTAAATGAGTACCTGAACATTTGACTAATTATGGATTAGATGGACTCATGATAGAATTAACAGTAAAGCTCAGCTTTACACAAAACAAGGAATAAATCCAAATTAGTAAATAAGCAGGCTCCCCCCATTCTAATAGGGATCAAGCTGAGGTTAGTTTTAGAGAACTAATATAATAGCCTGGTTAGATTTTTTTCATTTTGAGCATCTGGAATATAGTAATCATGTAATAAATGTTTGCTGAAACACCAATAATCCTATTTTCTTTTTTTTTTTTTAAAGATTTATTTTTGTTATTTTTTTTTCATTGGAAAGGCGGATATACAGAGAGGAGAGACAGAGAGGAAGATCTTCCGTCCGATGATTCACTCCCCAAGTGAGCGCAACGGGCCGATACTATGCCGATCCGAAGCCAGGAGCCTCTTTTGGGTCTCCCACACGGGTGCAGGTTCCCAAAGCTTTGGGCTGTCCTCGACTGCTTTCCCAGGCCACAGGCAGGGAGCTGGAAGGGAAGCGGGGCTGCCGGGATTAGAACCGGCGCCCATATGGGATCCCGGGCGTGCGAGGTGAGGACCTTTAACCACTTGCGCCACCGCGCCGGGCCCAATAATCCTATTTTCACTGAAAAATAAAGCTAGATAGGAAATCCAAATACTGAAAGGAGAAATAACTGTTCCCAACTCAGATTACCAAAAAATCAAGGCAACATTAAGTTATTACTATCTAGAAAGCTCTGAATCTTCAATATAATCTTTCCTGCACTGGAAATAGAAATATACAGTAAACTTTTTTTTAAATCCCAGCTCTAACGTTGGCAAAATAGAGCATAAGAAAAGAATTTAATTACCCAGATGCTGGTAATTGTAGCACTCACCTTTTGTCTTAAAGCTCTCTGCAGGTGAGGTGCTGTTTTCTCCTGTCATATAAACAACCACCACTCGGACGTTATAAGAAGTGTAAGGTTGGAGGTCTGAGATGTTACAGACATAAGCCTGAGTGTGGGTACATGAGGTTTTAACATGGTAAAACCCATTGTCTCTCCACTAGAAAAATAAATCACAATTAAAATTTTTGTTTCTTTAAAACAATCTATTTAGAGAAACATTCAGCCCCAAGGCCAGTATTAAAATCTGAAATTTACTCTCTGTTAAACAATTCTTACCTATAGCTGCTTTACTTCTATGACAACTACAATAAACATCATAATAGTTCCTTGGATACACTCTAGGTGGGAAATGTCCTTCTAACTTTATGTCATAAGGGCAAATTTTGAGCTGTGATGTTCTTGTATCCCTAAAAGTAGACACCATGATGACTTACAAACACCTAACACTCTTTTCAGATATGTGACAATGTCCTTATTTTCACCCAAAGAAAGCCTGGATTCCTTAAAGAAGGAATATTTTGCCCATAATCATTCGGCTACTAAGTAGCAGGTGTGGAAGTTAAATACAGGAAAACTGCTTTCACTCCTTGAGACGCTACATCTCTAATTTCAGGTCTCTGCAACTTTTTTCAAAAAAAAAAAAAATCCATGCATTTTGATCCTTAGTAACTGGCTGAAAATGGTGATGGCTTTTCACTTAACATAGACAGAGGGTGTGTCATTCTGCCAAGAGTTCTTGGTGTGTTTTTCCTAGTGGAGTTTCCAAGGAAGGTCAGTTTCCATAAATAAGCTTTGCTTTACATCTCCTTTTTCATCTAGCATCTACAAGGTCACATCATCTCATTATTTCAAGACTTTATAATATTTCTATTCAGTTAGAAATTATCTTTTGTAGCACCTTCAGGAAGTAGACCACTATGTCTCAAATTAATAAGGAGGAAAGGAGTGAAGGGAAGAAAAAGAGAAGAAAACAGGAATGTTGATACTGTGAAAATTGCTTTGCCCAAAAGTCACATTTGTATCAATCTTAGACAACTCAATAAAACAAACTGAATCTGTAATATTTATTCTGAAACTTCACAGGAACAATTAATTCTTGACCAACAACAACAAACAGAAAAAAAACTTAGACCTTCTCAGTCTTCCCTTCTTAAACATGTTATAGAAATTTCCTCCTGTGGGTAGTATAGATAACCCGACATTCTACCTCATCCAGAAATTATCAGAGCTCCCGACCAAGGGTACTGCTTGAAACCAGCACAGTGTTGGCTTCACTACCACAATGAATGTTCTGGGCAAACCACCAACAGACAGCATTGCCATGGGCTAGAGAGTAAATCACAAGGAAGTCAGGATCTTCCATTTGTCACAGGCCAACAAGTCCAGGGGTGAATACTGCCCCAGGAGTCTTTTCAAATTGTTTGGATAAGGACTGGCTAAGATATTTCAGAGTGTAGCTTCAGTAGCGTTTGGGTTTGGAAAGAATTCTCTTGACCAGATGACCAAAAGGTGCATGAGAAAAAAAAATTTACCAAAGCACAATAAATTCTTTCTTTCCAATCAGAAATCAAATATGTTGTTGTTTCACACGCTGCTGTGACATTTTCAGCTTTTGGTAATTAAAATTTGAATTGAAATTCAGGCTTGTGCTCAAATTATTCATTTTCCAGATAAGGAAAGTGAAGGAAAAAGACAGACATTTTTTCATTTATAAAAATTATTAATTAAAGCGACAAATTCAGCCTCGTAACCTGCTTCTTGGAATTTCAACCTGGAGTTCTGGGATCATGTCCAGCTGTCTTGTCATTACAAAGCAGTTTCAAGTTGCTCAGAAGCGTTTTCTACATATAGGTCACTCACTAACCTCTCAAACACCACAGCCTTCATGGTGCTCATCAACTAACACTCGTAGATGGTGAGACTTGTGGAAATCACACCATTCTTCCATTTTTAGTTTCATAGTTTTCTAAACTGACTATCTGAACATGCAGTGAGCAAGTATAACGACAGGAAGTTTAGAAACAGAAAAAGTCCTGAAAGTTGTCCTTCCATTCAAATTTTGAACAGTGTAATGGCTGCCTTCTAAATCACACTCCCTCCTTAGACTGCACCCATTAGGCCAGCAAGGGTGAGTCAGTGCTGGGGTCCTTTTCTTTGCAGCTGGAGTATCTGCTCACCCATGGCCTCTGACTCTGCCTCACATCACCAGTGGATGAGAAGAGATTGGATCATCATCTCCTCTAAGCTTTTATCATCTCATCCATCTGGGAAATGACCATTATTTATTTCTCTCATTGAGTTTGGACTGAAGTGCGTTAATCTTTAAATAGATGTCTGTAAAAAGGCAATCTTCTAATTTTTCCAGTTTAACTTCACTTTTATAAGGTGACCATTTTAAAAAATAGGCAACAAATCATTAGAAACATAATTAAAAGCCCACATAAATTATGGCCTCTTTTCAACTCAGTGTAGCATTCTTCCAGATTTTTCACAGTTTTTTTTTATCTAAAACATAGAAGATCTTAAGAAATATCATACATAGTACATTTTAAAAACATCCTGAGGGACAACTTTCTCTCATGAAAATAGGCCATAAGTATGCTGACTTGTTTTTAAGTTATCACTAAAATAAAACATTCCTAATCACACTTCCCAAATGCATAGATATATATAAGCTCATGTATAACCCCACAGATACACAAAACACATGTATAGCCATGAAAATAACAAGCAGTAACTATTTTTTAAGTAATTTATTCTAGCTGTTTTACCACAAAAATCAATGTAGGTTTTTCCTAGCAGTGAATTAGTCAGATTCATTGATTCCTTAAAATTCCATATTATTTTTGTATTAGCTAAAGCATAGAGTTTGAGTGAAAAATCATTTAAAATTTATGAACATCAAATTAGTTCAGAATAAATTGGGTTTACATTTTTGTTTTATCCTGTTACTACACAGCACAGCCCTTAGATGTCTGAAAGATTGTTTCAAAACAGGTCTTGCTCTTTTATTCATTTCTTTTTTTAGTGTTTTTCATGGACTTGAATCAAGAGAAACATGCTGATAACATCTAAAGTAAAACATTACAAAAATAGTAAAATGTGACTTTCACATTTCATATAGAGCCTTTTAAGAGCAAATTAATTTCTCCAGGAATTTCTTCCATTAAAAAGTAGTCCAACTGGACACTATGCTTGGTATATGCTTGCAATGAAAGAACCTCAACTGAACTTGAACTGTAGCAATGCAGCAAGGTGGAGGAATCCACCGTGGGGGGAGAGTTTGGGGGAGGATTGGGGGGGAATCCCAGTACCTATAAAACTGTGTCACATAATGCAAAGTAATTAATTTAAAAATAATAAAATTAAAATTTAAAAAGGAAAAAGTCTATAAAAATTGTCAATAAAATGAAAAATAACTAAAAACTTAAAAAAAAAGTAGTCCAGAAAACTTATTGCTTCTACATGTCAAAACTAAATCAAGGAATATTGTCAGACCCATCATTGATTTATTCAACAGAATGCTCTAGATATATGAAGAAAAGATCTCCCAATTTACTCTAAATTATAAAATAGAATTTTTCACAAAAAGTCTACCTTCTGGAGTTCAAACCAAAATCGGACAAGCTTAACATTAGATGGCGCCTTCCACTCTAACTGCAGGCTAGTGTTCTCCGGGCACAAGGCATACGGTTTCTCTGGCGTATGGAACGTTTTGACAGTGATGGGACGACTCTCGGTACACCACATTTCCTCTGAGTGACAGGCCAGAACCTTTTTGTTTAAAAAAAAATCATAACCTTTTCAGAATTGTGTTCTTGACACTAGCAATAAATAGGGCTTAAAATACTCTGTACCTTTAATACATATAATTGTCCACCAGACAGTCCAGGAACTAGGAGAGTAAGCTTTCCACTTGGAAATTCACTTTGTCTTATAGGAGTCTCGGGAATTCTGGCCAGATGTGAAATCACCAACTGATAACGGACTGATTCTTTAGGTCCATTTGGCCTGTGAGATTCTCTCCAGGAAATAACGAGGCTGGTGTCTGACCATACAGTGGCATTAATGAGAAAAACTGCCTCTGGTACTGAAATAAAGAGTAATGAATGATAAGGGATGGTGCAGCTGTACTGAGATGTAGAAAGATATAAGGGAGTCTTCGTTGAGAAATAATCATATCACGTAAGAGGAATGAATAAGCACAGAAGGAAAGCTAGAAAGCTAGCCTCTCACAGCACAGAAAGATAACAAGGCACCCAAAAAGTTATTTTTGCCTAATGACTAAACATTCTCTGACTCCAGCTTAATGTCATGGCCAGGCATGAATAGCCTGATTCTGATGAATTCTCTGAATATTATCAGAGACTTCTAAAGAACTGCATGACTTCATAATGATCACCTCTTTAAAGGATTCTAGATGTTTTTTAAGGGAATAGTGTCATATTACTCTAGCTCTCAGTAGTCTCGGTACAATTCCCATGAAGTAAAGGCTTGGTTTTCCTTTATTACTTCTCACATACATGACCTAGGAGTGATAGGAAGAAAGATACTGTGTAGTGAAACCAAAGAATGTGTCTCTTGGTCAAACTTGACCGTGGTGTTTCATCTCCATGTTGATTCCTACTTTGGTAGACTATTATTTGTCACCTTTAGGACTTAGAGCATTGAGTCACCGAAATATTTTCCCACAGACATATTTTTCTATTAAATTTAAATAGTTTGTGTTCGTGTAATAGATTGCTTAACGTTTGTATACAATACACAGACACACATATCATATGAGTCTACTACTGAAAACAAGTCACACCAAATCTACAACTCACCTCCACTTTCAGTTTTTCCCCAAATCGCCTTTCCCATAGGTAACTCTTCCATAGGATCTGAATAATAATTCTTCATAGCTATCCTCATGATATATGTTGAAAATGGTTGCAAACCCTCAATTTGGGCTATCCTGCCCTGAAATTCCTGTAATTAATTTTCAAAGTCAATACTTAACAAATGGGTAGCAAGCATTTTATCAAAAAGAGCAAAATTTTAAAATTTCTGAGTCAGTCAGTCCTAATCAAATCACAACTGAATTGACTAATATTTCCAAAAATATATGCCCATATGCAACCCTCAGTCAGTTTGTGATATAACTCGATTCAATTAGGAAATTACAACTAAGAACACTAATTCATCTGCATTACAATGAAAATTCAACAAGATGATATTGTAAGGCTGTGACATAAGAGCCAGTACAAAAGTTCTTAAAAACAAAGATTAAAAGTCCAGTGTCGCAGCATAGCATGTGGAACCCCCTCTACCATGCTGGCATCCCATATTGGTACTGATTCATGTCCAGGCAGTTCCACTTCTGATCCAGCTTCCTGAAAATGGCCTGGGTAAGCAACTGAATATAGTCTAAGGTCCAACTCACCCATGTGGGAGATTTAGAAGATGCTACACTTTCCCGGTTTCAGCCTAGCACAGAATTGGCCATTACAGCCAAGTGGGAAATGAACCAGTACATGCAAGATTTCTCTTGCTTTCTCTCCCTCTCTCTTTGCAACTAATTTTCAAATAAATAAATATAAATCTTCCTTTAAAAATGAAGTTTAAGAGAGCAAAAAGATTTTACTTAGATCACTGGTTCTCAACCTTTACTGTAATTTAGACTAATCTTGGAAGTTTTACAGATTTTTTTATGCTTGGCTGGATTACATAACCAAAAATTCTGATGAGATTGCCTGAAGAGGTTAACTCTTGCTGCCTTACACCCATGTTAACCAACAAGAAAAAGATAAGATAAATCAGCTCTAGTAACAAAAATGTTCAATGCCACAAGCCCATTTTTGATCAGTTAAAATAGAGAAAATAAAGTTAAAAGTCACATACAGTTTACGGCAGAGCCTACAGAGCTTGGTTCCAATAGATCATGGTCAATTTTACCTTTTCAATAAGTTAATAAAAGGCAAAGAAGATAATGGATATAGATGATTCCATCACTAGTATAAATGAATCACCAATGTTACTCATGAATGACTAATGCCAGTTCATTCAGGAAATACCTAGTGAATACTAGCCGATGTCACATGCTGTGTGAGGTGCTAGGAATATAGTGATGAATAAAAACAGGGACAGTATTTTAATAACAAGGATCCCACAATCCATGAGGATTGCTGACAAGAAATGTCAGGCACAACTCTTAAATTAACACAAGGGAGAAAAAGCTTATGGCATTGTCTTCATCCTATTATTTATTTCTTACTCCTCATTCTTCAGTGTGTTGGTTGGGCCACTAAAGCAAATCTCTATCAGTCTCTGATTTTGACCATTGCGGATGAGACCAAACCCAGTAGTTTCAGAATACTTAAAAAATTGTCATCATGGCAGTCTGTCACCTTAGCAAAGCTAACCAACTTCTGTAAAGCTGAACTTAAATCCAGATATGAAGACTAAAACATAATATGTTCTGACAAACCACTGGCTGTATGAAGTTATATAATTCTGCATTTCAGAAAATATTGGAAATACTTCACTACAGATAATAATTTTGTATCCAAAAGTCAATGTGTTCTTATGAAAAATGACGGCTAATTCCAATCTTACCAGCACTCTATATCCCAGTTCAGAGCTGTTTTTCTCATCCTTAACTTCCGTGTAATAAACCAGATATGTTGGAGTAGGGTTGGTGATGCCATGCAATACGAGTTTTGTCTTGGCAGGAGGTAATCTAATGGTAATGCTAGTGTTAGTGGCATTAAGTAGAGTTGGTTCTGCAATATCTGAAGCTAGAGACAGAAATGCTTTATCTAAAAAAAAGAAAGATTAAATGTATACACCCACAAGTATATAAGGGGAACAGCAATTATTTAAACGTCAAAACAAAAATGGCTGCATCTTGATAGTTTTCACAGACACTGCTGGATTCTATCCAGTACTCTCCTGCTCTCTGTCAAGTCCACCTGTTTGACAGTGCTTAGGATGCCAGGCCCAGGGAAAGAGATTCAGTTTCCAGGGTTCAGGGGCAGCTGGGGCAATCATGTGACACACTGAGTCTGCTCAGTGGGATATGTGGACTTTTGGATATCCAACCCCATCCTTCCCCATCTACAGATCCTTATTTAGGGCTCAGCTCCTGCATCTTCTTAGCTGCTAGTGAACCCAGAAGAAGAATATTTCCTTTGTGTTCCAGCCACACCCCTCAAGTTCTTCCACCACATCACCAGTCATTTTGGTTCTGAGGACACTTGAAAGGCATGAGAGTTGGAGCAGAATAATTTCACTGAAATTTAAAAACAGGCTGTTCTTCAGTTCAAATAATACTTATTCAAAAAGTCAAGTTTGTGCTAAGTTCAAGTCTATAAACAGATGAAGGGATGGTCATGTTAACAATCAAAACAATAAGGTGATTCAGAGGTCATTGCTGTTTTCTACTTCTGGTTTTTTATTTAATGAATGTGGTATGACATGTTGAAATGTTGTAATATTATGATTAATGGCAGGAAATCCGTTTTGTCTTTTTTTTCATTTGCTTTTATCTTACACATTTGAAAGATGTTAAATGCCTCAGGTGAAAAAAAAAAGCAAAATAACTTGTAATTACTTAAAATTTCCAGCAGATGGAGGTAAAGTACTCCTAATGTACCTAGCAGGTATCAAAACTGGCCCTGTGCTCAAAGGGGTGTGACTGTATATGTATTTGAGTTTGTGTGTTTATTTGTGAGTGTGCAGCTGCTTGTGTGTTATTCAGCTTCAAACAGATGCTGTATGGAGTTTTTAAAACAGACTTTTCACATGTAGTGCCGTTTTAGATTGGCAGCAACATTGGGATGAAAGCACAAAGATTTCCTATGTATCTCAGCTCCACAGCTGCACAGACTCCTCCATATATTTATGCCTGAATATATTCAAATCCACCTTGCAAATTCTGTGACACTTAACATGTAATTAAAGTTATTTACAACAACAAAATGATCATAATTCTTCCCTCTTATCTCTTGCATTATTGCTGCCGTTCATTTTGCTTGCATGTAAACATACATAAGCCCTGCACACACATATACAATTGATTCCTTAGCTGTTATTATCATTATGAACAGTCATTTGTTAGATCAAGTAAGAATAAGAAAAATCAAATTTTTATTTTGCCTTCACTTTTTACCTTTTCCAATGTCATTCCCTTTTGTGCAAATCTAAGTTTTGACCTATATCATTTTTCTTCTGTGTCTATAGTTCGATAGCTGGTATTGCTTTGAGAAAATTCTGTTATTGCTGTTTCAAATGTTTATTTTCTCTCAGTACCCCAGTCCCTATATTAGCTGAAACAGGATGATCAGAACAGTATGAAATTGGATCTCTCAGGTCAATTAAATTCTAATAAAATCTTAGGAAGAAAAATTCTGGCTCACTTCCCCTGAGGAAAGAGCTGATTAAAATGACACTACGCTAGTGTATTTTCAAATGCTTTGCTTCCCCCTACCCACTAAGTCTTCAGTTTGCTCACCTTTCAACTTTCAGAAAGGAGTGTCAGCAGTCAAGATTCTTGGGTTAGAAGCCAGAAGCCACCTGAACTTTTAAAATATTTTAGATATCTTAAAGTGGAAAATGAAATGTTTTATGAAAAATATAAACTAAATTTATGTATAAATTGTTTTTAAATATTGATTTATCTATTCAAAGGTTGCAGAGGAGGGGAGTCAGAAAGAGAGACCTTCCATCTGCTGATTTTCAAAATGGTCGCAATGACTGAGGATGTGCCAAGCCTAAGCCAGAAGCAAGGAGCCAGGAGCTTCTTCTGGGTCTCCCAAACAGCTGCAGGGTTCCCTGCAGTTAAGCCATCTCCCACTATCAGTGACACATTAGCAGGGGCTGGATCAGAAGCAGAGCAGCTGGGTCTCTAACTGATGCTCATATGCGATACTGGGATTACATGTGTGTATAAATTCTTGCTTTTTAAAATACTTGCTTTATTCTTGCTTACATTTAGGCAAGTAAGTGGTTTTGTTGGTGGTAGTGCTGGTGTTGATTTCTGTCCCTCTTCAGGACAGAGTTATACGTCGTTTAGAATGACAATTTGCACTTTCATGGCAGTTTCCCCATGAAAGAGAGCGGATTACCCAACTCCCTACTAATGTACCTGAGAAATCAGTAGAAGAAGGCCCAAGTGCTTTGGCCCTGTCATCACATAGGAAGCCTGGATGGAGTTCTTGGATCCTGACTTCAGCTTGCCTCAATCCTCCAGCCACTTTGGCCATTTGGTTGTGGGCCATCACATGCAAGATCTCTCCCTCTATTTTCTTTCAAATTAATAATCTTTTTAAAGCATATATATTTACGTATAGTTATATATACATATACATGGCAGCAAAGATTTACACATCATATGTAATTACATGATGCTGCATATTAATACATAAGACTTCAATATGTAACTGACATAATGCCTACTACCATATGACACTACAACTAACGCTGTCACTTTGCCTTGAATAATACCTAAGGTTTATGTACTGCCTGTTGACACCACTAGGAGTACTAAAATGTCATCAAAAGAGAGACAAGGTATGGAAGAGAAGTCATGGGAGTGAAAGAAGATGAACATAGATGATGACGGGGCACAGATGTAGACATGTTGCTTGCCACAGTCCAAGCTGTGGATATGCATAGAGATGATTTGTGATCCAGGGCATTATGGCAATTTACTGAAGACTGACAAAATTTGGAGCAGTGCTGAGAGCCCAAAAAAGAGATTAGCAGAACAGCCTTGGAGAAAGATATTATAAGATGTTCTGACACTAACCTGGAGAAACAAACTTTTGTGAATGTGACTTCATTACCTGGAAAAGGCTGTACAGCTGAACTGTAAGCCAAGATATGTGTCCCTCTTAGGACCTTCGTCTGGGAGAGGATGGCCCCATTGCTTTTCCTTGCTTGATGAATCTGTGAGCTGTCCTTCTCTGGCATGATCCAGTAAAGAAACTCCCCATCCACAGTTAAGCTAACAATAGTTTTTCCTGTTGATCAAAACATAAATTAAAAAAATAAAGAACAACATACATATAAAAGCCTTTTTGCTATTATTGCAATTGCTAAATTCTAAATTTTGTATTTTAAAAAATTTCTTTTTTATTTAATTTGTTCATTATTTTGTCTCATTTGGTCAAATGAGATATTTTCAAAGACTCACTCCATATCAACTCAAAAGGTAAATAGTACTGTAATCAATCTCATTTTGCAAAAGTGGAAGAAGTCAAATAATCCACCCAAGACCTGAAGTTAGTAAGGGGCAGAGTCATAACATAAAACCTACTGACGTCGCTGAAAGTCAAACTGACAATCGCAAGAAGATATTATTTGATAGACATAGGACTCAGTGTTCTGTTCAATATTTTTTACCACTTGTTTGGAATGAATGTCTAATAAATTCATGTTTCTCCAATTTGTAGATAATACCTGATTTGTCAGTGCAACTAGCTTATTGGGATCAGCATTGAAATTCAAAAATGTTACTGCTGAACTATGGGTTGGATTTAAATATAATCCTAAACATAAATCCTAAATTCTGGGTTATTTATGATACCATTCCACAGGTTCAAGGATTTCCCCTTCTGTCCTCCAATTCCCACTCCCTCTCATACACACTGATTTCCTCGATATCATTACAACAGGATAGTGCTTCAGCAACAGTCACAAGTTCTACATTCTGCTATTTAACTGTATAATAACACTGTAGGTTTAGACTATGGTAAAAACTCAGGATACATCTGTTGTCAAGATACGTTTAACAGTTTCATTGGGTGTCCTCCTTTTATTGGGGAGTAGAGACAAACACTGTAATGTATCCTCACTTTCCAATATGTGAATTTCTATTATACAGTTCCCCTAGATGAACATATGCATATGTACATACCTGTTTATAATCTTGAACATATATATCTTCAAGATTATATATATATACACATAAAGATAGAGAGAATTTTGCATGAATATTACCTTGTATCAGAAAGAACATGTGGTATTTGTCCTTTTGAGATTGGCTTACTTTTTTAAGATTTATTTATTTTTATTGGTAAGTCAGATACACACACAGTAGGAGAAACAGATAGGAAGATCTTGTAACTCTGATTCAACCCCAAGTGGCTACAACGGCAGGAGGTGAGCTCCAGTCTGAGGCCAGGAACCAGGAGCCTCTTCAGGGTTTACCACATGGGTGCAGGGTCCCAAGGCTTTGGGTCATGCTCAAATGCCTTCCCAGGCCACAGGCAGGGAGCTGGATGGGAAGAGGGGCTGCCAGTGCACAAACCAGCACCCATATGGGATTGGAGAACATGCAAAGCTAGGACTTTAGCCACTAGGCTACCACACCAGGGCAAGGATTGGCTTATTTCACTAAGTATAATGGTCTCTAGTTGGAACCATTTGGTTGCAAATGGTAGAATTTCATTCATTTTAATGGCTGAGTAGTATCCCACAGAGTACATGTACCAAATTCCTTTAGCCATTCCTCTTTTGACAAGCATCTGAGTGTCTTCACTAATGTAGATTATGCTTTCTCATATGCAGATTTCATTTCCTTTGGATAGTTTCCCATTAGTGGGATAGCTGGGACATACAGCAGATCAATTTTCAGTTCTCTAAGCACTCTCCATACTGACTTCCATAGTGGCTTTACTAGCCTACACTCCCAGTGACAGTGAAGGAGGATAGCTTTCTCCCTGTACTCATGCCAGCAGGTGCTGTTAGTAGAATTCTGAATGGATCCAGTCTCACTGTAATTAAGTGGAATCACAACGCAGTTTCTATTTTCATCTCCCTGATGACTAAGGAACCTGAGCATTTTTCATATGTCTATTAGCCATTTAATTTTGTCATTTTAAAAAATGCTTGCTCATTTCCTCTGCCCACTGCTTTGCAGGATTATTAATTTTTCCGTCATTGAGTTTCTGAAACTCATTGTAAATCTTGGACATTAGTCCCTTATCAGTTGTATAGTGTGCAAAGATTTTCTCCCACTCTGTTGCTTGCTTCTTCACTTTGGTGATGATTTCCTTTACTGCACAGAAGCTTCGTAGTTTGATGTAGTCTCATTTGTTCATTTTGGCCTTGACTGTCAATGCTTTAGTGACTTTTCTAAGAAGTTTTTTCCAATCCCTATAACTTACAGAGGGCTTCCTATGTTTTCCTCTAGTTTGATAGTTTCTGGGTGCATATTTAGGACTTTGATCCATTTAGAGTTTATTTTTGTATAAGATGAAGTGTGAGAGTCTTCCCAATTCCCCATTAGCCATTCAAAATAATAGAACGGGAGGCAATTCTTCCAAACTCTTTCTATGAAGCCAGTATCACCTTTTTCTGGAAACAACTTGAGTTGAGCTCTACAAAAATATCTGCCATATGTTTCCCTGGAGGTGTACTGGTTAGGAAACAAAAATATCTGCCATGGTCCAAAACCAATATCATGTGTATTTTCTTTTGAGTATATATGGAATGCAATCCTTTTTTATTGGGGCAAAAGAGGCAAATACATAAAGAGCTAAATACATACATCAGCCTCTTACCTTGCATAAAAGGCACCATGATAACTCTCCAACATTGACATCCTTCCAGATCAGTGGCCCAGATCTCCTGTTCTTTGGCAAAGTATATCTTTGGGTATTTTAAGTCAGAACTATCAAGAGTCATTGCTGCACTTAACTCATATTCAGTGATATTACAAGTACATTGACTTCTTCCATCTTGGTTTGTGGCTGTGGGTTGCAGGATGCGATGCAAGCTGTGATCGATAATACTGCAATAGAACATCTGATAGCCAAAATCAGAAACTTCTGTCCAATACAGGCGGCTATAGGGGAGAAAAGACCCCCAAACTTAATGGGTAAAATACATATTTTTGCATGTTTTACGTCTCCACGTAAATGCAGCCTTTAGGTAGAGGAAATGAAATAAATAATAACAAGAAATCTAAATGATAGCATTTCCATGGATACTTCAATAAATCTATTTACCACTAAAACCTTGTTCTGTCATGGTCTTAGATACTGTGTAAAACAGTTCAACACTTACTTTAAATATTAATTTCTTCTGTATACTTCCTGGCAATACCTATCTGCACTTTCCTTCTTTTATGTTTGTTCATGCTTCTTAACACTAGCTAACAAAATACTCTGCACCCAGGTTGATGGCACAAAAAAATGTCTCCCGCCTAGAAAAGTGCTACTCAGTTGCTGAATGAAGGCAGAATGCTGGGTTTGTGGCTGTTGCTGAAGAACTATACTATTATAATAATATGGGGGAAATGTTGTGAAGCAGAAGAGGGAAATGAAGGGGAAATTCCCAATCCTACAAAAACATATCACAAATAATAATAATAAATTAAAACGATTTTTAAAATAAACTTTGCTTCTTCCATGCACCTCTACCTGCATATACTCCTTGGATTCTTTCCTCCACAAATGTGACAATAACCTGGACCCCAGAAGCCAACAACAGAATCATGTACCGTAAATTAAAATAGTCGATAAGAATCACTAAGCATCGTATTTCTCCATCAATGACATATAATATTAAACAAAAGCTATTACAAATGAGTCTATTTCACTGCATTTATACCTTAAAAGAGGATACACAGAAAAGGAAGCTATAGTTGAGTTCCTGTTGCAAATCTTCAGCTCCTTGGGATGTTTCACTTTGTGCTCAAGATCCACATCAAATATTTGTATTCCATTTTGTGAATCTTTCCATACAAAGTAGAGATGCCTTGAAATCCAGTCAAGTGCAATAATTTTGATATCATGAGCCAGAGCATCCCGGAATAGCTTAACAATAGATGGAGAAGACAAGTTAAAAAGATAGTGTACCTTTTAAATTTGAAGACTTTTTGGTAATCACCCATACCATTCATTTTCTACTAATCTTCTTTATAATCCAAAACCTCAATAGTTCTGGACATGGGTGCTCTTCTCACATTGTCCATTTTTGTTAGAAAATTTCACTTACCGTAGTTTTCAATCACAACCCACAGCTATTGTGAAAACTCCATATCTCAGGCACCATCCCCCATAGAACTATTGACTCACTTATCAAACTACCTACTGAATCTCTCCATATGAAGGGCCCCAGAGATGGAAGTCATTATCCTCTGTGTTTGTATTTGTATGGATTCCCAACACCCACCTATCCTAAGAAGAATTGTCCTAGCAGATGTAGTTGCTGCTTCCCTTCTTCACATCACTGCCTATACTGAACTAGTTCCTTTGTCCATTTCTCCCCAATTTGTCCCCCTCTTTTTTCACTTCACTATTAACTAAATCAACCTCTTATGTAACCTTGCCCACATGAGTGGGGAGCCATGCAGTTGGGTCGAATGGCATGGGTGTGTGATGAGCACCACTCCTTGCTTAGCAGGGCTACAAGGAGTTTCTGGCTGCAAGGCAGGGCCCAACAGAATGTCTCTGGTCACTTCATTGCTGCCTCATCCCATTGTATGCACACTCAATCACCTCTCTGATGTTTCATAGAATTCTCCTGAGGGCGTTGTTATTGTTTTTCTGTTAATGTGAAGTGATTCCTGTAACTGGTATGACACCTCAAATTGATCCATCATGTTATGATAAAAGCATCTTCAGCGAAGTAAGGCAATGACACACAGCTAAAAGTATACAGTAGTACAATTGAGCCCCCAATGTCTCCAAACATCCTGTTATGTGCCCACTTTTGTCCTGAAGTTTGCCCTAGTATAACTGATGTTTTCCTTAAGAAATGGCTTGATAATATCTTGGAACAGACGGCAATCATGGAGGTACAAAGAGTTTGTTTACCATGCGCCTCGAACTGTTATAACACATGATATGACACATTTTAGTGTCTCACCACAGAAAGCAAAAGTATATGGGGCATCTTCTAAAGGGAAACAAAACAAAACCCCCTCAAAATGGCTTAAAATCTCAATCTTATGCTGGCACTTATATTTAGGGAAAGAAAACAGTTTATAAAAACTTCCATCTTATATTGGCACTCATATTTAGGGAAAGAAAACAGTTTGTAAAGATAAAAGGAAGTTTCTTGTAAAGGCCCTTTGTAGATTGGCTGAGTTGCCTTGATCCCTTTCACTGCCCTTTCACAAAAGAACAAAAAACAATTGAATCAGCACTAGGTAAAGGTGATGGTAATTAATGCATGATTTGATTATAAGAATTAGCAAAGAATCTGCTATATGCTTTTATAAAATCCTTTCATTTATGAGCTTATAAATCTGAACTCTTAATATTTTAAGCAATATTAGTTAGTTTGCATTTAGTAAAAGTTGATTTTGAGTATAAGTAAACCACTTGTCACTATGTAACCACATGCACTGCCAGCCGTGGAGTTCCTGGCTTCAGCCAGGTGACTGCAGGTTTCAAAGAGTAATGGTTTGTTGAAAATGTTTTCTTTGAAGCAAAATTATATTTTCTTTAGGATTGTTTTTTGTATTCTCTTAACCAAGGAGTAAAAATGAAACAATTGGATATTGTGCAAAAGCTTGTCATGATTTGTGTATAAATAAAGAAGGCAACTTTTCTGAGTTGTCCATTATGAGCATCATGCCATAGTGGTCCACGTCTTATCTCTTCTTCATATCGTCTTGCCGATCCACGCATCCTTTGCAAGCTCTCAAGTCAGCCAGAACTGTATTTGTGTGATAAACTTTTATTTGTGTGATACATGTATTTGTGTGATAAACTTTTATTTGTGTGATACATGTATTTGTGTGATAAACTTTTATCTGTCTCACACTTAAACTTCTCATAGTCAACATGAGACAGAAAGGTCACTATAAATGACAGAAACTTCATCCTAAACACACAATTTGACCATGTGGGTGACCAACTGAATTTCTTTAATGGCTTATTGTTGGCTTCCAGATCGACATCTGACTCAGAAGGGAGGTCTGTTGTGCATAGGCTTCTTTCCACCTACTGAGCTTTAGCTTTTGAATTTCATTGCACTGTCACCATCACCTCCATTCCAAATCCTCTTTGTTTGTAGCTTACTGAATATACTCCGGCTCTTTTGTCTTCCTGACACTCATTGGCTCATCCTCACCTTCACCTGGTTCATCTTTGTGCCCAAAGTATTTTATCATCACCCCACCCTGACTTGGGTGTTCACTCCTGTGAATGAACATACACTGCTCTCAGGATAAGAGTGGAGTTACAAACGATGACTTATCTTTATTAGCTAGCATTTAGCAAATGTGTTCTATGTGCTAGGCATTGCACGATGTCTTTTGCATAAATTATAACAGAATTTTCATGGGAACCCTATGTTGAGCTACTGCTTTATCACAAGGGCCAAATAGCTTGTCCATGGTCATAGACCTAGTAAGTGGTGAGGCCAGAAATAAGTTCTAGATAGTCTCATTCCCTAAGCTCAGCCTCTTAATCACCATGAATTACTCCCTTCCTAGTACTAAACTAATACAACACTGATTGTTATAAGCAAAAGCTAGGGGTAAGTCACATCTGTATCCAGGATCTAACACAGTGCCTTAATCTTGATAACCATTTAGTGACTTAATCCTGGATAATATTTGCCTAAATCTATTCTGTATTTATTTATGGGCAAATGGTTTTATAACACCTGCCTTTTCAATTGTTCCAATTTTAATGGCTCAGCTGCTGGCCATTTTAATCAATAGGGTAATGTGATATGCAAATACTCTACTTCCTTCATTTCAATAGAGTAACAGGAGGAAATACCTCAGAGCTGGAACGGTTGCTCAAGTTGAGAAGGAAAAGCGTGTCTCCCTGAGTGTAATAGCCCATCTTGTCATCTGCTGTGTAGCCTACTGCACCCACGTCTCTTTCTGCTGAAAAGGTCCACACAACTTGATTTTGATCCATATCTAAAATAGCCATCTTGTTGCCAAGAAGAGTTATGATGTAAGGAAATGCGTTGATTTCTATGAACAAAAAACAAGTGGATAATATGGATGAGAAAACTAATTTTGGATTAGCAACGTCTTTTGGGCATAAGAAGCAATGTGCAACTTCAAGACCCACTTTGTGCTCAGCTAATACATCGGTTTCCACCAAGCCACTCTGCAACCCTAGGCTGTTTAAACATTTTTTTGTTGATTATAACAATTTATTATTTTATTTGACCTTAACTCCAACTCAAAGAAAGTGCTCATATGTCCAAAGAAATTAGTGTGTGACGGGGAATTATAATCCATTTAGGTTGCCATCTACACAGCTTTCAGATAATAAATACCTGATGTTTTAGATTTTACTATGTCAGAAAATGGTCCTGGCCCCTTAGATGTGAAGACTCGAATCTAAACAGAAAGAAACATAAAACTGTATTTAACATGGTTGTCAGTGGCAGTAAGTTTTGAGACTAATAAATTATGAAATATTTTATTTCATACTCAGATTATTAACAATTTCTAATAACCACATTTAAATATAAAGCAATACATAATTAGAGTGAAAGTAATATCCCATATTGATGTTATTGGATTTTTTTATCTAGAAAATATGAAGAAATTGCACCAATCTCTACTGCCAAATAATAAAGTTCCCAATAAAGTTCTGAGAGCTTTATTTATGTCATGAAAACTGATATATATGTTCATTTGTTAATAATCACAACATAATATATACTCATATCAAATGATCATGATATGCACCTTGAACAAATACAATTCAAATACAATTTTTATTTCTCAATTCAATATTTTGAACTAAATGTGTAGTTATTTCCAAAATTAATTTATATAGATAATTGAATAAAGACAAAATAGTACAGATCATAATATACTTCCATTTCTCCTGAATTATACTAGAAGCTTCCAATAATTAAATATACTATTCTATTTAAAAGGGAGATTTGCAAAAAAAAAAAAAATAAAATTTACAGTTAAAAAACATTCTGTATTTCAGAATTTTCATATACACTATTTCTTTTGATCCCTACAACTCCTAAACCTGGATCATAATTAAGAAAAGCAACTTATCTACAATGACACATGAAGAAATTGGCATCAGAGCCAAATTTTCCAAGGTCTAGACACTTCTTTTCCCACAACGCCAGGCTATGCTCTAATAATAAAACAATTTTAATTTTTAGATATAATTTATTATATAATAAATCATTTTCATTGTCATGCCTTGTATACATAAAATATTCTGCAAAAATGACATCTATTATAACGGCCTTAAAAATAGTTTCCAGTGTTCCATCCTTCAACAAAAATTGGATTGTTTGCATTATACTCCTAGTAAATTTGATTACATTCTTTATGCTCCCACTTCATGTATGATTTGTCATGGTGTATGTATACACTTATAGCCAGTAGTCTTCTCTTTCACACAGAAGTCATTAGTGATACTTATATACAGATCTCACTTGGTCATTTAGACAGGCAGAGAGCCAGACTATTTACCTACAGTAGTCATTATTCTTAGTAAATAGAAATATGTGTTATTTTTAACATTGACATTTTTATACAAGAATATGTAGATCTAAAATGATCAAATAGTTACTAAGTTAGGATTTTGTAAAGAGAAAAAAGATCCATAGGAAACTCAAATATCCAAACAGTTTCTCACTTTAAAAAATGGAAACTAACTCAAGCTTTTTAGAATATTGTCACAATGAGATGTTGATGTGGATATGAAAATCATCAAATCACCTATCATAAGTGGAAATGTGACAAAGTGGAAAGAACAGTAGAAGCCAGATGATGGCCTATCACTTCCCAGGCATACAGTTATTTCATTCAGGGACCTTCACAGTACGAGGATCAAATGAGATAACTAATATAAATTATTTACTACAGTATAAGACCTGTAGTATCTTTAAAAAAAAGTTCTCTTCTTTGAATCTGAAAAAAAAAATCTGAATGTGAAAAAGTTGTCAAAATATCTTTTGACTGCTTTGAGCACAGTATACCTCACGTATGCTATTACTGTCCAGCATATCAACCATACTCAATAGTACTCAAGTACTAAGGTATTATTACAGTATCCCAAGTGCCCTTATGATCACACTTGTACTTCAGCCTTCTTACAGAGTGGCGGATTCTGAACCTAGTCCTTTAGCTAAGTTGTTGCTGCACTACGTAATTTCCTTTATTCCAGTTTTCTCTCATACCTGGAAGGCAATTTTGTATCCAGGGCTCATGGCCTCAAGTCGAAACGATGTCACTGAAGGAGCGACATTAACAGCAATCCAGTCTTCTAACATTTCCTTTGTGTCACTTGGGTTCCATATTTGATAGAAAATTTCAAATCTTGTTAACACACCGTTTTCATGTAAAGGTTTGTTCCACCGAAACTCCACCACAACTTGAAGCTTGTTGTGGTGTTTTCCATTTGGGAATACAAATATTCTTGGCCTCTCTGGTGCTGATGGGACTGGAAGGCAGAGACACAGAGTGGAGAACACTAAGCTGACTTACCACTCATGATCTGAGCATGGACTATCTTAACAGAAATTATTTTGCATTTCAGACAGTTAAGGTAAATCTTTCTCATTCTTAATGATCTTCAGGAGAGGATACTTATTTTTTCAGGCTCCTATCCTGGTATTTCAGTAAATGTTAATGACAGGGAAGATTTTCTTAGGCCTAATTCAATTCCCTCTTGAGAACACTTTCCACGTGTGTCCTGCCCGGATAGGCAGCAGCTGGCTTTCTTAGTAAATTTCAATATTCACTCTTTTTTTTTAAAGATTTATTTATTTTATTTTTGGAAAGGTGGATATACAGAAAGGAGGAGAGACAGAAAGGAAGATCTTCCGTCCGCTGGTTGACTCGCCAAGTGAGCGCAACGGCCGGTGCTGTGCTGATACGAAGCCAGGAGCCAGGAGCTCTTCCAGGTCTCCCACATGGGTGCAGGGTCCCAAAGCTTTTTGGCTATCCTTGACTGCTTTCCCAGGTCACAAGTAGGGAGCTGGATGGGAAGCAGGGCCACCGGGATTGGAACCAGTGACCATATGGGATCCCAGCACGTGCAAGGCGAGGACTTTAACCACTACACCATCAAGCCAGCCCAATTTCAATATTCACTCTTATGTTGTAAGGTAATTTAGCTGGAGGTAGACATTTCAGCCATCAGGAGGAAAGGCAGTAGCTATAATCAACCTTGAGCGTGTTGATAGTGTAAAATACAATATGCTAGAGTTTTAGACCCTTGGGTCTAAGTCCTCTACATCATACTAAGCCCTTAGGGGGCAGGAAGTTTTGGAAAAGACTGATAGCATCCCAAGAGTATGGTTTAAAAGTCCCCATTCAGAATGGGGGCTAATCCAAGCCATTCAATGTCTCTGGTATTTAATCAAGGCAAATTTTTTTCTGCTTGATTTCCAGGTCATGTTATTCAAATGTGACTTTTCTTTCTTGATGCTGCCTAATTCCCCTATTCCATTAACTGCTTCTTTATTTTCAGCACTAACAATATTATTCAGTCTTACATTACGTTTCTCAAATCAGATACTTCTTTGTACTTTATTTCTGAAACCAGCTTAAAGTTTCTGTTCCAAAGATCTTTGTTAGGCACGCCAGTTTATGGGCATCTTCCTCTACTCTGAATGTAGTTTCGTACAGGAAACCACATGCAGGAAACAGGTATCTAGCCTAATCCACTCACTTGATATCACTGTTACTCAGTGTCTGCCATCTTATTTCTGTCACCATTAGCCGTGCAAGTACTTACATCCCTTCTGTTTTATGAGGTCTATCAAAGAAATCATCTTTTCTTATTCCTTGTCAAGTTTCCTCAACTCTAATGTAGGACTGGCACACAGTAAGTGCTTAATAAATATTGGTCGACTTGAGAAATTCCCTGACTAGTGTAAATTTCCTGAAGGCAAGGGCCAAATCTTAGGTTTAGTCCTTAGTGCCTCCAATATCCTCAGCTTTGAACCTCAGCTCCCAACAGCTCCCCTGTAGGATGCAATCAAGTCCGTTTCCACAGAACAATCCAGCCAATGTTGATATCCCAAAACAATCTCAAGCAGTGCATACCTGGATCCAAATGCTTCTCCAGAACCTGTCCAGGCTCCACTACGTTCCTGCCATGAGACTCATGGATAAATATTGTTGAAAGAATCTTAACAGGACAAAATGCAATGATGAATAGATCACTACATTTATTGAGCTCTTACCACCTGCCAGGTCCTGTGCTGGGACATTTGCATAAGTTAGACAGTAAGAAACTACCATTACCCACATGTGTAGAAATGACTGAATGAAGATCTGATAAAACTATAGTGAAAAGTCAGGGTGAGGTCCAAACTGTCAGGATTAGTAGTTATTTCGCGCTAGGCAACTACTGGGCTCCATTTTTTTTGCTGGCATAATCAACAGAAAAACAGCTATACTACCACCTCAAGGTGGTGTGAACATTCAAGAAAATAATATTTCTGACACATGCTAGGTATGCAGTAAGTGTTTAATAAAAAAAGAAGTGATACATATGAATGTGTCTTTTACACCATCAAATGATATACAGTGTAAAGATATTGCTAATGTCTTCTTTTAAACAGATTCAAAAGCAATCAGTCAATATAGACACCAGTTATTCACTCACAGATGAGTCTCACACATAACAGAATAGTTTGCCTTCCAAGAAACTGTCTCTGCTCTTAAATATCCGTTTCCTTCATGAAGTGTTTCACAATATGCCTGAAACAGGTCTCTATCTTACGTACCACCAAAATCAAATGACAGTCATTATAAAATCTTGAAATAGTCTTTTGGAATAATCTAATGCAGATGATTTTAACGGTATCATTCTAATCCCCAGAGAGTCATTGAAGGAGCATTGAATCAAAACACGTTTACAAAACTAAAATCCATTTTAAAATATTACTAGAAGCACATTTCAGATTATAGAAGATGAGATTCTGCTTTTTCAAGGAAAGATTTGAATCCTTGTACCTGCTTCAGGTGCTCGAAGCAATACAGATGTTTTGGGACCTTTTCCCCAGTAGGTGTAAGGAGTGACAGAAATATTCAACAAGGCATAAGGCTCCAGACCTTCCACAGCAAGTACAGGTAAAAGTTGTTGTTCACTCTCCAGGAACTAAAACATAAGCACAAAGCATTACTTTCTTAAGGAAATAATTCTAACTTACTCATTCCTAATTAGCTAAAATATTCAAACCTTGGTTCACAAAAGCTAATTTTGGTTAAGTCCCTTTTTACCACACAAACTAGTTGAAGTTCATCTGACCTGACAATTAGCACAGAACAATCAGAGATTAACTCTGAGCAAGTGTTCTCCTACTAACCAGGTCCTGTGAAAACTGTAAAAAAGGTGGACATGACTGAGGGAAAGAAGAGCAGAGATCATGCAGAGCAGGCAAGTAATCTGTTTGTGAAATGAAGTGACTAGAAATAATACATACCTTAGAAGGAGCACTAAATTCCACGTTGTAGAAAATTATACCCCAGTCTACTGCAGGGGGAGCAGCCCATAAGACTTGAAAGTTAGAAGCATTCCCTTTGATCCTAAATGAAGACTCTTGAACAGAATCAGGGATAACCTTAGGTGTAAAGGAAAAGTTTCCTAGGGGATAAAATAAAGAGAGCAAGAAAGCACATAGGTTAATGGATCCATAACTGAAAATCGTGAACAGCCAGTTACTTACAGCTAGAACAAAATTTTCCTTTCTTTTAATATATCTGGAATCATTTTTGAGGGTTTTTTTTTTTTGGCCTGTAATATTTCAGTTTGAGTTAAACTGAGTACAAACAAGCAAACAGGCACTACCGACTTTTTTGCCTAGAGTCCTAGAGAAAAAAAAGAGCTGCAATATTTATTTAACAAAAGGTGTCAGGGAAAGAGATGGTATACAACAATAAATCCTAGTACCTGGTAGAGGCTTGAGAGATGTCTGAATAATTGTGAATTGATTAAATTTGGCTGGCTCTGAAACAGACACACTGGTTCTCTGACCTATTTCCTGAGCTGTTATCATCCTAAAGCCGTTGATCCAGAAGAGCCGACCGCTATAGTACATCAAAGCATTCTGTGAAATTTCCGAAGAACTCCAGGCTGCAAATTCTGTGATGGAGGTATCCCCAGTGCCTCTAAAATATAACATCAGTTAGTCTGTATCTGCAATGCGAGAGGCACAAGTAACCGCAAGTCTTATGAGAAAATGTATTTATTAGTATGCTAATGTGTTCATGTACAAAAAAAACACTTTGCAATAGTAATGGTCATTGTTTATAGACCCACATGAAATTGATTTCTTACCTTTTTCTTTAAGTAATAATTCTAAACCAATTTGTTCAGGGGCTTTTCTCATTAGTGTGATGTTGTAACATAGCAAGTGTGTTTATGTAGCAGGCGGTTTTCAAAGTATTGGCATTTGGGTAATATTCTAAATCATTAGTACCACAGGATTTCTAAGTATTTCAAGGTTTCCAATACACTTTCTTCAGCAGAAAAAGAAATACGACAAGATGTTATAAGACTTGGAATAAGGTCACCACTCAGAAATAAAAAAAGCAAAAAAGAAAACTCATACTATAAATCTATTCTCTGAACCCATGTAACAGCTCCACTTCTGATTCCAGTTTCCTGCATACACACACCCTGGAAGGCGGTAGTGACGGTTCCAGTAGCTGTGTTCCTGCCACTTGTGCGTTAGGATTCTGATGGAGTTTCCAGCTCCTAGCTTCAGGCTGACCCAGTAGGCATTTGGGAAATGAATACAACAGCTGGGAGTGTGCGTGTTTCTCTCTCTCTCTCAATAAAGAAACAGAAATACATATGTACTCTGTCATCTGGCATTTCCACTCCTAGGTATTTATTCTAGTACTATAACAAAATTCCTTATGTACAAACACAATTTTTTTCATGATAAAATTAGGAAGCAATCCAAATGCTTAGAAAGAGAATGAAAAATCACACTATGATATATTTAGACAATGAAACATAATATCCAGGAATAAAAATGAAAGCAAACACATATAAAAACACGGAATCTCAGAAGATGCTATGCCAGGCAAAAGAAGCCATATACAAAAGCACATTATTTCAGAGGAGGGAGGTGGCAGTTGGGAATGAGCACAAGAAATGCTCTAGGATGATCGATTTTTTATTTTAAACGTACTTGTTAAAGCTGGAATGAGCACTTGGGATCTGAACATTACACACTACATATATTGAATCCAATTTTTAAAAGCAAAAGTATAAAAAAAGCATAGAAAAATTCCTGACAATACTAATACAGAAGATACAGAGATGCTAACAAAAACCAGTAGGATGCTTGCTTTGAGGACACAGAGCAGGAGTAAAATTTGTGTGGTTCTTTCTTCTCTCCAGTTCTCATCTGTACCATCACAGGATGATCGTTGTTTATAGAATTTTTTTAACATGTAATACCTTTACATTTTATGGGATTTAATGCACTGTTTCTACACATGTGTACAGCATGAGCTGATCAAATGAGGTAATTAGTATTTTCTCTCTGTTTGGAACCTAGAAGCTCCTCTTTTCTAGATTGTCACACAGGGATAATAAATTATCATAAACTGCAGTAACTCCTACAGGGCAGTGGAGCTCCAGAATCCACACTTTATCTAACTCTGGGCAGCATAATCCCATCTTTCTCTCTCCCCTCTTCTCCCACCATGTGTAGTACTTGCCCTTATAATTTCAGATTAACATTTTTTTTAACTTCCACTTTCGAAAGAGTATGTGATATTCAAATTTCTGTGTCTTGCTTACTTCACTTTACCTAATGCTTTCCACCTCCCTCCACTTTGCTATAAGTGTGAGAACTCCATTTATTTTATGGGTTAGTAATATTTTATTGTGCTTATATATATATATAATATATATAATTTGTTATATATATTATATATAATATATATAATATTTGCCTTATTTAACTATCAATCCCTCAAGGGATGTTCATGTTGCTTCCATATCCATATCTTAGTTATGGTGAAAGCATGGCAGTGTAACTCTTTATTTGACGTGCTGATTTCATTTTCCATGGATACATACCCAGAAATGAGATAGCTGGAACATTGGTAGATCCATTTTTAGTTTTTTGAGGAATCCCTAAACTGTTTTTCAAATAGCTCTAATAATTTTCATTCTCATTAGAAAAGGGTTCCCTTTCATCCACACAAGGAGTTTCTTTACCACTCTTTCATTTATGCTCCATTTTGTTATGATGCAGAAAAGCCCATCCTACATTTCCTGAACTCTTGAACTGCATTCTCTTTGGTGTCTCCACTCTACTCTCTTCATACCAGCACTCACCATGTAGTACTGCAATTAATTGTTTACAAAATTATCTTTCTCCATAAGTACAATGCCTGCAATGTAATGAGTGACGGTAAATGTTTACTGAAAGAATAAATCAAGTCTCTTGCATTACCACTTACAACCAAGGGGCAAGTTACTCTCTCAGTTGCCTTTCAGGGGTACTGCTTACCTCTGACCCCGAAGAACAGCTGTGTAAAGGTGAATACACTGACTATCTTGAACCAACCAATACAGCAGCCCATCCCTGAGGTCTAAAGTGAGGGCAATTACCTACAATGAAAACACAGTGAGAAAATGAACCAAACATGCTTCAAGCAAGTTTTGTAAGTGATGCATTTCTTCTTACTTAGCATGCTCTTTACAATATACTCAGTGATGCTTATTACCTTCTGTTGAATATAAAATTCTGTGATTTTATATATATATGTGTGTATATATAATGCTATTTAGAAAGAAGCACTAGTTTCAATCAATTCTCCCAAAGTCAAAATATAGCTTTTTTTTTAGCTTTTATATGCTTAGCTCCAGTGGTTACCAAGGCATGATTCTCATACTAACAGCAGCAGCACCTGAGAACTTGGTACAAAAACAAATTATTTAGATTTACTAAATCTCAAATTCTAAGCATGTGTCAATCCTTTCCTAAAGCCAGCCTTCACTTTGGATTTTTCAGCCACCCAAGACAATGAATTTTGTAGATGTTTAAATAGTTGTTCTCAAACATTGATACACATTAAAATCGTCCATGGAAATTTAAAAAGTTTTCATTCCCAGCCTCTACTCTATTAAATTATAATTTCTGGGAATGGAATCTGGTCTCAGTTATGTTTTAAAAATCCCTGTATATTTCCAGTATGTCGCCAAATTTGAGAAATCAATGACTTAAACTATTTTGAGTTGCCTTTTGTTTTGTTAACTGCACCCAAAAACATTCTTATACAATTCACAAAGATTATACTCAGAAGGTGTTTATAAATGAACAGACATGTCCAAACAAAGTTGTACTTCCAGATGACATCTGAAAATAACTTCTCACTACTTAGTTGTGTCTGTTTTCATCTGTATCTTAATTTTACAACCAGTTGTCCAGGTGAGTCCTGAGAAAGACTACTTTTACAAAATAGAGTGCATGTGAAAGAAGTTATTATGCAAAGGCCATTTTCTTTCTCTCCTTGACTTTAAAACATAGACGTAAATGTTTTATGGATATTTGTAGATTTTTTCCAAATTCATTGTCAGGAGCTTGACCACAGAGTAATAGAATTTAGGGCAGACTAAGATGCTGAAAGTTAACAGGTAGGATAACAGTTCATTATGGCTCAAATAATTGAGTCCATGCCATCCACATGGGACATCTGGATTAAATATTGTCATTCTGGCTTCGGTGTGACCTATTGTGACCACTGTAGGCATAGATGAATAAGATATCAGATGAAATACTCTGTGTTTTCTTCTCCCTCTCCTTCTCTCTTTACTTCATTCTATGAATAAACATCACAGTATACATCTCCGCTCCTGAATAAAAGATGAACTCCTAATGAAACTTAGATATTATCTTGACAATAGGATGCTGGACTTTCTACCGTTGTCTATCTCTACAATGTCATGATACACTTAAACAGAAGAATGATGGACTAGTGACTTTTGTTGAAAGACTATACTATTGTTATAATCAAGGGTACAAAAGTGTGGGGGAGGAAGGATGAAAGGGAAAACCCCTGAGCTTAAGCAACTGTATCATAAAAAATAAAAATCAATACCACATGTTTGCCTTGATTTAACCTGTAATTTTTTGTTTGGTTGTTTATTATTTTTTTTGAACCTGTCATTGATACTGTCTCAACCCAGATGTTTCGAAGAATGGAACTTGCATTATCTTTAACATATTGTTTACCCAATACTGTGTCAATTAATTCCATAATGTTGTATATTGATACTGAGGTTTTGTTGGGGATTTTATATGACCAGATCTTTACTCTGTTAGCCCTACCTTCAGACCAGAGAAGGTCTCCCCAAGAGGCCACTGAACTTATCTGGACAATAAGACGCTGAACTTTAGGCTAGGCATGTGTTTGCAAGGAATGAATCTCAACTGAACTTGAACTATGGTTATGCAGCAAGGTGGAGGAATCCACCATGGGGGGAGGGGTAGGGAGGGGTGGGGGGAATCCCCAGCGCCTATAAAACTGTACCACATAATACAACGTAAACAACAATAAAAAAATAAATAAATAAAAATTAAAACAAATAACTAATTTTCTTATACTTACAGATTGTGAAACTACATGATAAATTTGTGAATTATCTAAATGAAGGACAGTTCATTGAAGAGCATTGCTGAGTGCAAAATGTGTTGCCTTTAAAATTATCCCCTAGGGGTCAGCACTGTAGCATAGTTAGCTAAGCTGACCCTTGCAAGGCAGGCAGCCCATATGGGTTCCAGTTCCAGTTCTAGCTGCTCCACTTCCGATCCACTTCCCTGCAAATACATCAGTTAAAACACTGGGGTATGGCTGAAATGCTTGGACCCTTGCACCCACGTGGGAGAGCCAGAAGACATCCTAACCTCCATTAGCATTCATGGAAACATATGGATCAGACTTAGAATCAAGGAACATGAATACAGATTTGCAAAAGCAGCAGCAACACTTTCAGGCCTAGAGAGGATTCAGAGTAGTAATCTAAAGAAATTTCATTGAACGCACTGAGAAATGTAATGACTCACTTGTTTATGGAAATGCCCTCTGGCCACTCCAGAGCTTTTTTTCCTGGCTACCGAAAGTGCTCGAATGACAAGATCAGTAAGATCTGGCAATTGGGGGATTAATGACAAAGCCAGGAAGGTGGAGAGGAAGTTACTCTTGAGACAGTACTATATTCCACACTTTTACAAAAAATGAAAGTATTTTCCCCTAAGATTTACATGACACACAGAAAGTAGAATTTCTTTGTATTCAGGCTCAAGAGGTTACAAAACAGAATCATGGGAGCTTTTTATTATTTGTCAGGAGTGATTAATATTTGAATATGGTGCATACATTTTATCTCTATTAAATATCTGTTGTAATCTGCATATGTAAATCAGGTCTCTTTAAATATTTTAGGAGCTATAGCACATATGTAAAAAAAATAGGGGACAAAGTAAAGCAACAATTGACTTCTAATGATCTGTTAAAATAGTTGTAAATCTGTTGTTTCTATTAAGGAAAAAGGCCAAAATGATTATTTTAAAAGGGGGATTAATAAAGTAAAAATAGAATTAATGATTTATTTCTTGTTAATGTTTAATTTCAAATTTCTTACAAAGAATATATATCACTATGATGATCAGAAAAAAAACAAGATTTCAAAAGACACATGGATATCTATGCTGTAAACAGATGTGAGGGAAGCAAACTCTGCTCCTAAAAACTTAAGAAAAAAATAACATGTTTTAGAAATGCCACTATATCAGGTATGTTCTTTAGATTTCCAATAGTAAGAAATTAACCATTTTTTATTTCTTTTTTCATTATCCACAGTATTCCTTTATTTTATTTCTTTTTTTAATGTTATTTTTGATTGTGTTTATATAGTTGATTAGAGTGGGAAAGGTTAAGGATAAAGGGAAAGTGGGAGAAATCATTGTTTTCAATTTTTTTTCTTCTTTCTGTATCTTGGGGAAGGGGAGAAACAAGGGGATTGCCACACTCAACCTCTCAAACCCCCTCAGTACCCAGAGTTGGGGAACAACTACCTGATGTCAGCTCAGGCATCCCCAGTGTAAAGTATGCTCCGAGCATCCTGCTCAAGTGGTTTTGGTAGTTCTTAAATGCTGTCCATCTTGCTTATCCAAAGATGAGGAAATCCTTCCAAAATCATTGACTGACATTGGTCACCTTAGGGTCTCCATTCACCCAGGTATTTGCTGTCAATGCTTGACTGGGGTAGTTCACCAGTTTGTTCTGCCCTTCATCCTCTGTTATAGCAGCAGATGTCCTCTGCATGCTCTCATGGACTTCCATATCTCCCATGTGCATCTGGGCATGCTGTTTACTGCTCTGTTTAAGCCATTGAGGAGGCTCAGTTTTGATACATGAACTCCACAATCAGAACACAGCTCCTACAATTCTCCCCATGGTGGGAGCTCTGTTTCCAGTGGTTTAGTTGAAGGGAATCCCCAAAGAAAACTCATGTGAAGCAATCCCAGACTTGAACCGTGTGTGATTGCCAAGTAAGGACTCTGCCTCTGTCCATCACCCACATCAGCCTACCCACACACTAGTAGTTTCAACTACACTAGTAGTTGCAATTGCTTGGTCAGCTCTGTCACCAGCCCCGCCTCTTAAATTTATCCTCTCTAACTCATTGTTCATTTAGTAGCATGTTGTTCCAAGAATTTACAATTTTCCTGGGATACTTTAATTTATGGATCTCTAGTTTCTCAAGTGGTCCTGGAATCTCTCTGGAAGGTTCAGAGCACAGACCTTTCAGGTGGGCACAGACTCTGTTCTCACTCCACATGTCCCTCTCTCAGAATGTCCACACCCCAGCTGCTCTCCCCCCAGTGGCTCGTTCCCCAATGGTATGCCATCCTCAGTCAGGGGGCACCCAATCAGATGCCTGCGGGCTTCTCCTCAGACTTGCCTTCCTTCGCTAGTGTTTTCTCCTATGGGTTCATCTGCCTCCCACCGTCTGCTTGGGGAGGCTCCCACTGGGAGTCTCCGGGTGCTGGTTTGAGACTCACAGGTTTTTGTCTGTGGCCTGGTTTGCTCCTCTGTGCTCACACTTTGGGGCTGCAGGTGGCAATCCTGAACGTCATCATCGCAGCACCAGTTACCCTCTGGTGGACACGAGGGAGCCTTGGTCACCTCAGCTGGCAATTGTCTTCTTCCACTTCTCTGCTCCACTGGATCATGCCCTAAAGTTTTCTGCACTCTCAGCTATACCTGCCTTTTGCAATCAGCCATGTTTCTGTCTTCCATCAGCCCCGTCTCTTACATAAACCAATGGAAGCTGTGACCCAGCCCCACCCTGCCCACCACACACTCAGCCCTCACATACACCAGCAGGAGCTACAACCTAATCAAAACAATTCCCAATAACTACCACTAGCCCTGCCCCCAGCCCTGGTTACTGTGCCTGCCAGTATGTTCAGCAGATTGATCCAGTCTGTCTGTATCCCATTCAGCTCTTGTACTCATCAATGAGTGTTGAAGCCTAGCACAACCCAACCGAGACCCTACCCAACCTACACTCATGCTGGTAGGTCCCACCGAACAACTGTCTAGCTTGGTACATCCCCAACCGTGGTTCCCATGCTCACCAGTGAGAGCTGTAGTGCATCAGAGAGGTACCAACAGTTCCTATACTAGGTCCACTCCCAGTCCTGGATCTTGGTTCTGCATTTAGCTTAACAGGATTTGCCACCCGCCCCCTCCCCCGCCCCAGTCCTAGCACTTGCCAGCCTGATGCTGCAGCAAAACCCAATTAGCCTACTCTTAATCTAACCAATGCATGCACTAGTGAGTACACTCAGTTAGCCCAGCCTGGCTGTTCCCCTACCCTGGCTCACATACAGGCCAACAGGTATTATATCCCTGCCCAGCCTGATCTGCTCCCAGCCCCAGATGTTATATTCACCAGTGGGAGCAGTGGCCCAATAGGAGTGTCCCCACAGCCCCTCTAATGGACACACACAGTCCCCCCTCCACTGTCTCACGTGTACACTGGGTGCTGTTGTCTATTGTGTCATGGCCTGTCTCACCTCAGCATTTGCCAGTGGGTGCTATAGCCTGGCACAGCCCAGTCTGCCCTCAGTTCTAGCTCATGCAGGTAGGTACTGCAGCCTGCTCCAGCCAAGACAATCTCAGCCCCAGCCCTAATGTGAACTGGCTGTTATTGTAGCCTATCCTGGTCTGTCCTTCACCCCATCATGGTTCTCGCATCTTCCAGTGGGTGCTACAAAGTGACCCAGCCTGACCTGTCCCCAAACCTGACTCACATACATGCTGCCAGATACCATAACTTGGTCTTGTCTCCCAGCCTTGGTTCTTGCGCTCACTGACACAGGATTTCCCCAAACTCCTCTATCAGGTCTCCTTCCAATGGCATACCTCACAGACACCAGTGGGTCCTTGGCCCAGACTAACTTAGTCCACCTCCTATCCTGAAAGGAACATTGCCCAGCTGGCCTATACTCATTTCAGTTCTCACTACTGGATGCTACATCCTAGCCACATCTGGTTCACACTCAGACACAGCTTTCATATGGTTCAGTAGGGCCAGAAACCTAGCCTAGACCATCCTACACCCTTGCTAGCTCTTGTGCGTGCCAGTGGGTATTGAAGCCTAGCCTAGTCTAGCATACCTCAGACCCAGCCCACACCAATGCCAAGTGACACAGTAGTCATGTCCCACACTAACTGCTGGCCCTATTTCAGCTCTCACACTCACCGGAGGGAACCACTACTCAGCTGGGGTGTCCACTTTACTCCCCAGGCACAGATGTTGCATGCCAGTGGTTGCTCTGACACAGCTTTGCATAACCCATCCCCCATCTTGGCCTTTGCCATCAGATGCAGCAGCCTGACCTGCCCACCCCCATTCCCAACTCCTGCTGGTAGGTGTTGAAAACTAACCCTGCCCTGTCTGCTCCCATCTCTGGCTCATGCAGACTGGTAGGTGTGACAGTCTAGTCTGGCATGACCTACACTTCAGCCTGTTTCCTGTACATGCCAGTGAGTTAAGGTTGACCCAGGCCTGCCTGGGTCTCCCTGGTCCACCTCTTTTAGAGCCAACCCACAGACTTTCTGGCAAGTGAAGCTACCTTGCCCAGCCTGAATCATGGAGCCACAGCTGACTAGTGGAGTTTTCAAGTTTCTTCCACTAGGTCCACTCCCACACTCAGATTTTATATGTGCCAGAAGGTACTAGATCTTTACCTGGCATTGTACACACACCCCTCCCATCAAGGCCTTTGTATAAGTCAGTGGATGTTACCACCCAGCCTACCCCACACCTTATAATAGGGTATGACTGCAGGTGCTGTAGCCTGAACGGGCCAGCCTATTCCAACCCCAGTACCCGTGAGTGTGAATTGGTTCCATGGTTATGCCTAGCTCAGCCCATCACAACCCTGCCCCCAGCTCTTAAGTAAGCCAGAAGAAACTGCAGGTCCACAGGGGTGGGTCCACATATCCCCTACAGAATCTGCCAAATCATGCTGGTTAGTGTCATGGCCCAGCCTAAGCTGACCAGTCCCCTATTCCTACACTCACTGGTGAGTATTGTGATCTAGCCCTGCCAGGTGAACTAACAGCCCTAATTTTAGGGTACACCAGTGGGTGGTGGTTGGCAGTGGTCATTGTTACCTAGCCCAACTCAGGTCTCCCTCTTGGACAAGTGCATCAGTCTGACACAGAAAAGTACTTTGGCTTCCCCCTTCCAAACTGCTCCATTTCATCCCCCTTGCTTACCTGCAAGGACAGTGACTTTGTCAGTGGATGTCCCCCAGAAGTCATTCCTAACCTTCAACATACTCCATCAGTGCATCAATGGTCCTCCCTTCCATCCTCCCTCACATCCTCATACCCCTTCCCTGAGCACTCCATAGTCACTGTGCCCAGGAACACATGGGTTCCCCAGCCTGGTCTTCCCAAGTCCAGCATTTTGGCAGTATAGCATGCTGGCCTGGAGCTCTACCTGCTCACCAGAGACCCAGGATCATAGACAGGTTCCAAGATCCAGTCCTCTGGCAAGTATGAAGGTCTGGGACTTTTCCTCCCCCCACCGCACCTGGGACACAAGTGTGCAAGAAAGATCTCCGGGAATGGCCCATGGCCACACCACGCTATCAGTGGTCTTTCCCTTTCCTCTCCCACCTGTCACTGGAACCTAAACACATGTGCAATCCCAGGCCCACTCCAACAGCTCCCAGTACAAGTCCCAGAATGTATGCAAGAGAGTCAAGCTGCTGGTGGCTCCTGCTCCACAAAGGCAAGAGATTAAGTACTGAGCATTTACCATTATCCTAGAACTGTTTCCACTGCTTCACATGAAACCTCACATGAAACTCTGAGAGGAATGACAATTGTTAGTCTTATTTTGATAGGGAACCACACAGAACAGTCACATAATGTATCTATGGGTCACACAAGTTTTAGAAAACCTAATACCAAAATTAATCAATTAAAGATGAAAAATCTAATCATCACCCAAAAGAAATTCTAAAATATTAAAGAAACAATATTAGAGACTATAAAACAGGAAGAATTAAAATGTTTTCATGAGTAGGTTCATTTAAAATAGATTAAGCAAACTACAAAAATTGAATTTATGTAATATAGTATGACCATCAAATAAAGCTTCAAGAAAGTTTGGCTATACCAAAATCTTGATATAAGTTTCCTTTTGGATTCTATTAACTATTCAAAATAAGTGGGAGTAGTACTGCCACATCAATAGAGCAGTATCATTTAGCATTACTTAGTGTTCAGATATCGTTTTCTTTTGTTACCTTTTTCCCAGAAAACCAAGGCTGCGCCTGTAGTATAAGCAAACTTTCACCATTGAGTCTGGTGCTTTCAACTGAGTAGAGTGTGGTCCAATAGAGATATCCACCAACTGAATCAACCACCATGTCATTCACCAACAGCTTCACGTGAGTCACAACATCTGTATGTCCTGTCAACACTGACTGCCTTTGTATCTACAAAACATAGTAGTATGGTCAGTTCATGATTTTCAAATTACATTTTTTGTAATTTATTAAGTCTTTTGGAAACTCCTGCATTTATTCATTCAATCACAAGTATGTGCTCCAAATCGTTTATGGAGAGTAAGGCTGTATTGTGCACTGGGTTAAGTTGCTGCTTGGAAATCTAAATGGAGGTATAGCTTACATTACGTTCTGCCTCTGCATCTAATCCAACTTCCTGCTAACCTGTGCCTGGGGAGGTGGTAGATAATGGCTCAAGTATTTCAGTCCCAACCACACACATGGGCGACTCAGATAAAGCTTGTCTCCTGACTTCAGCTTGACCCACTCCTGGCTATTGTAGGGATTTGAGGAGTGAATCAAAATGTGCCTCTTAATTGCATGTTTCCATGAACTTTTTGTAGGATCCTTATATTTTATCAGCATCAGATTCTATCAGACAGAGCACATCCCCTCATGGAGTTCATCTGTTTTGGTGTCTATAAAGAGAGGGCAAATACATTTTATTTGAGTTAAAATAATAGCTATCCTTCTCTGTCTTTCAAATAAGCAACAAAATAATTTTAAATAAAATATATTTGATTAGACTCCTGAAAAGATATGTACATAATTGTAAATCATAACATCTTATTTTTAAAATATTAGCACCTGTAATTTTCATAATGGGCCTATAAGGATTTTTGTTTCCTACAAGGATTTTCATATGGGCTTATAAGGATTTTTTTTCAAAAGCAAACTAAAATAAATTAAATGAAGCAACTTATCCTGGAGTTAACAGCTTCATACAAGGCAAAGCAAATATACAAAACCAAGGTTTTGTATCTAATCTTCTACTTCCTCCTTCAAAATTATATGTAAGCTAATCCTTTTTAGGGAGTATTTTGTTATTAACTCCATTAAACTCTATTCTACCTGAAAATCTTTGCAACTTAAAAATTCATTCTATATCATATTGGTTTGTTTGTAATACATTGCTCTGTATGCTTCTTGCATTATTTTATATAAATATTATATACATATAAAGTATGTATGTAACAAATGTTGATGGTTGTATTAAAATCTCTGAATTCTGCATCGTACAAGTGTCAATTTTATTATGTTAACTGTATCTCAATAAAACTTCTACTTTTGTAAACAAGTAGGGACATGTATCTTATTTATCTGTTATACCTTCTCTCAAGGCTCTCCACATGTTGGTACTAGATAAATGACTTTGGACATAGAATAAATGTACTTAACAACTGCTCTCTGATTAGAAAGCAATTTTAGTAAAATCCTTAACCTGTTAGGTGTGTTAAGGTGTTTTAATTTTGTCACTTGGCCTACTCTCTACCTTACTCTGCTCCCTTAGGTTGACGTTTGTGGATTTCATCAACTGAGCTACCTTATTCTCCAGCTTCCAGTGAGGTTGATCAATGGAAACACAGACACAAGTCAACAGACAGGAGATAAGAAGGTGTAGATACTTGTCCCATCAGCTCACCCCTTGTCATACCCCGTATGAGTGGGGTTGGTGGATTTCCATGTCTAAGGTCAGAGTTCTACGTCAATAACTATCACCAGGTTCTTCCTGTCTTTCACACCAGGAGCTCTATCTTCCCACACTGCCAGCCCAGAGGATACATTGCCAGCCCTGGTCATATCTCCCACTCTTGTCCACACATTTGAAAACAGTGACTTAGTTTCCTTTCATTGTGCTTTGGAGCACACTATCTTCCTATCAGGACACTGATCCACTGTCAGCCTTTTAAAATGTTTATTTTAATATGTTGTTAAAATATATAACTGCTACAAGAAACAACAATATAGAAGCTTCTTTACATTGAAATGCACTTAAAACTAAGTATGTTTATAGATATTAAACGTATTACTTCATAGAGAGTGCACAAGTAAGAAAAAAAGTCACTAAAACACCATATAAGTCTCTGAGGTAAGCAGTGTTCTATAACACCTATGACACTAGAATATAACTTACCACATATGTCTTTCCAGCCCAGTAGAGGAAGTGGCCTAGCCACTCAAAAGCTAAAGCCCCTGCTCCTGCAATATTGGGTATGTGATAATTCTCTGAGACATCTGTTCCATTCATCAGCCACACGTAAACATCGCCTTTCATGTCACTGTAGTAGAGGCTGTTGTTATACCAATCCATATCTTAAAACAAAAGGGAATTGTTAGCAATTATTTTTCACATTTGTCAACAAAAACATGGTGAATCAGCAAATCACATGTGTACTTCCAAATAATAATAAGCACATACAGACACAGATATTCAGCAGAACTTCAAAGATCTCTCAAGAATGTTTTGAAAATGTTTTGCCAAAATCTTAATCCCGAGTCCTGCTCCGAGCATCTTCTTGCCAAACATTGTCCCACGCTCTATACCTAACTCATTTGCATCCCATGAAGTAGGAATTGTCCCCATGTTTAAGAGGCAGCAAGACTTAAGGAGATAATCCATTCTGCCTGAGATCTCAAAGAGATGAAAAGAGGGAGCACCCCTATTCAAGCCAACTCCAAAGTGGCATTCTCTCTTAGTATCACACTTCCTCTCAAGTCCAACTCCCATGACAGTCAGAAATGCAGCTGTGCTTTTAGTGGCCAAATAAGTAAACATTCTAGATAGTTGTAGATGTCTTCTTCAGGCACTATCACTGGTTAGCTCATGCTTCAATCTATTGCCTTCTAAGAAAAATCACTCACTAATTACTTAATACCCCTCTTTGTCAGCAAATCCTTTCTTACACCTTGTTAAGAAATCTGCGCGACAAGTGCTTGCACTAGTCTTACAACAAATTTATGGCACCTTGCAATTATAAGCTGTCTTAATGGAACATGACAGGCTATTACTGAGAGACAACACAGATTAAAACATGCAAGCTTTCTTGAAATGAGTGCAAATCAACAAATTCATAGTTTGTGAATTATCAAATAACAATTTTTGAAAATTAAATGCTACTAACAATAGATTTCAGTCAATATGTTTTTTTACTATTTATTGATTTACTATTTTTTTTTTTACTATTTACCATTTATCTACTTGATTCTTTTTGATTTATTGAATAACTTGGAAAGTCATGACTGCTAAATGAACAAGGGATTTGTGTTTACCTGACACATTTCCTATATTAGCAGATAAAAACTCTCCTGGCCCAAAGCTATTTAACGGTTTACTCCAAAGTCCATCTTCTTTCACAGCCATGATAAATGGTGGTTCAGTAGCTGTTCAATTATAAATAAATTAAAATAAACATCACAGAAAGCCTACTTTTTAGATATATGTCTTTTACCCTAAGGCTCCCTTTACAAGGTAAAACAATATCAGTACCGCAAAGTACTATGGAAAAATACATAACTTATCTGCATAATAGAATTTTCCATCATATTAAGGGGATTTTGATTTTTTTAAAAGTACTTGAAATTGAACGTGAAGGGAAGTGTGCAGTGATACTTCTTGTATAAGTGTGTCATGGTCATGATGAAACATATTTTTCTTTAATTAATATTTGCCCTACTCCCATTTAAAGTACCCAGAAAAACTATACTAACAGCAGTATAAATGGTACAGTATAATTGATACAGTTGTTCTTCCATTGTTTTCACCCAAAAAGATGGAATTCATCACAACTGATAACCCATCAGGTATTCTTACGAGGGGTTTCTGAGGTCAGAAGCACTACAGTTCAAAGAATCAATGGAGGTAAGAAACACAGGAAGTTGAATAAAATTGTATAATTTCCCCCAGAAAATATCTTGGAAAGCTTAAAACAGCAGATTACAAAAGCATAAAATAGATATCATACATGGTTGTACGTTTTCCTAATCTGAGATAAGACACATATTCAAGAGGACAACATACCTACATTATAATTTCTTTAGCACATTAGAGGCCAGGAATTTTAAACCATACTCAGGATAAGTCTCTGCCTCTAAGAATCAGTTCCTAAATCTGGAACATTTTCTCACCTGGCACCAAGGTAGTGCCCACCGAGGGCACTGACCAGGGGCCTGACCCCTTGGGAGAACATGCTCTCACAGAAACTTTGTACTTCGTAGCACTCTGGAGCTCAGGCACATTGAGCATGGTTTCACGGATGTCAGAGAAAACATGAGTGATTTCAGGAAGATCTTGGGTTGATATTTTCACCTCATAAGTCCAGTTCTGCCAGGCTGAAGGGCCTATTTGGAAGAATTCAACAATATCACAGTTCAAAATGACAACAACAAAGCCAAGGCAAGGATCAGCAGCAACTTCATGGGAAAGTTGCTGGATGGAAATCCCTGCCATTCCACAAGCAAGGTGCCCATTCCTGCCCTACTACCAATCTTGCTGCTTTGAGACATCATTCCCAAAACCTGGGGCTGTCCTCCAGTGAAAGCTGCACATGTGCCTATGCAGAATTATCAGAGGGGATCTCTTTAACACTACCAGGGTCACCAGGATCCTAACAAAAAAAAAATCTTAATACTGATTCTAGAATAGAATTCTCAGTGTCTGTACGGTACCTTCCTCCAAACAGCCTAGCTAATATTTTCAAAAAGCTGTTCATTTTCAGCTATATTTCAGATATGCAACAAATAGGCAGAATTACCTTGCCTTAAAGTAAAAATATCAATGTTTGTAAATGCCTATTATTTAGAGATAGAGAGTGTCCAAATGTGAAACTAATGAATGTGAAACAAACATTTTTTTTTTTTTGCTTTAGCTCAGTAGCAATCTCTTGTTAGTGACAATGTAGCAACCTGTAGGCTCTCAAAATTGAATCCCAGCATGAAGCCAATCCAGTCTTCCCACAGTCCTCCATATAGGCCAGTCACAACCCTGGGGATGATGCACTTACTGGCTCCTATGGCAAGGGCAGGAGGCTTCCACTGAACCAGGGCCTGGGAAGAGCCAAACAACACTGAGAGCTCCTGCGGCCGGGATGGCAGAGGATGTGTCTGGATGGATGAGCCAAAGATGGCCAAGTTACCAAACCCAAACTCTTCTATGTGACTCAGGTCACATCCCACAATAAACTCATTAAAAGACATTGAGTCCTGTTGATAAACAGCTTTGCCATCTGTGACAATGAAGGCATTGTTTTCACAAGCAAAGCTCTTCACATCAGTAAAGGGGACGTGAGGCAGAACAAGATGAGAAGCAGAGCCATCCAGAAATGTCGACATGAAGACTTGGGCAGTGCTGTTGAAGTAAATGATTCTCTTGGATTGTGGCTTTACTGCAAAGTCCTTTAAGGTACAACGCTCCACAATTCGCACAGCTGTCCCAAGCACAGTGTCCCAAGCAGATGGCATGGGGAGATCCACTCTGTAAATGCCATCATTCAAGAGATAGAAGATATACCTGGCACAAACAAAAGATGTCTGATGTGATTCTGTGCAAAGGCAGATGAGTAACCAACCTCCTGAGCTAATTGTTATCCTGTCGTATAGTCAGAAACACCTTTGGAGTCTCTAAGTACAGGATTCCCAAGGAGCAAAGGACACAGCCTATTAAGTTAGGAGTTGATGTTATCTCATTTCAGAACTACCCAAACCACTTGGTCAGAAACCTCAGAACATGCACTACAGTGGGGCCTTGGGTTGATACTGAGTGACAGTTCCCCATACCTGGGTACTAGAACATTTGGGTGTCTGGGTGTGGCTTCCCCCTTTATCTCTTCCCTTCCCCAGACACAAGGAGAAATAGAGAATTTGAAAACAGTGTCACCCACTTTTTCCTAACCCTCGATCCTTTCCATTCTGATCAACCATGTAATCATTACCAAAAATGAAATGAAATAGAATAAATAGAATAGAATAGAATAAGTTGGTGTTGTCAAATTTTAATCTCACCCAGTCTCTTGACTATTTTAAGAGATTTTTTAAGGAATTGTGAAATTTTAAGAACATCCTTTACAATTCTTAAAGGAAAGAATATCATATGAAAATTACATAGCTATACCTCTTATTTGCTCTAAAAACACTTTCTACAAAAACACACACTTTCTTTTCAAATTTTTTTAAAAGCTTATTTGAAAGGAAGCATGACAGAGAATGCTAGAAATTTCCAATCTGCTGAGTCACATAAGGCTGATTCTATCCATAAAGAAAACAAAATATTTAAATGTTTAATTATGCAGTATAACTACTTTTACTTGTAGTGGGCTATATTTTTTAAAAATACAAATGAGTCAGGCAACAAGGCCACCATTTTACAAACCATGAAGAAATATCTCCCAAGTGAGCCAAGTAGAATCCAGCAATTAGGAGAAAAGAACCAATGACAGAAGTTAAAATTAATAGCCAATGTGAAATCATACCTCATGGTACCTAGTAGGCAGGTGATCCTTTAATAATGAAAAGGAAAACACACCACCAAAACATTTCACTAACAAGTCTATACATAGAACTTCAACACATAAAACCATAAAATTGTACATACTAATTAAGAATTTGTGATCCTGGTCCCAAATGCCAAGAAAAATATATTTTGGCTTGGTAAGTTCTTCTGATCATAAACCCATAGAATAGTTGCATTCCATCCCTCTCATCATGTTTGTCAAATCATTTCCCGTTTCCATATTTGGTCCTGCTCTTATTCCCCTTGGTGATCAATCCATATTTTATCAACATACTAAAGCTCATATGTCAGAACAATATCCTCAGATCCAAACTCCATTGTAACACATGAATTTGTGTTCTATTTCTTAAGCAAAGTTTGAAGCAGGCAAAATGCAAAGCTATTCCTGGTTTTGTTTCCCAAGGTCAAAACTGAAAATGGAATTTGAGGGAATTTCAGAGTAGAGAGAAGAAAAAAATATTGAGAATAAAGAGTAATAGTTCTTGTGCTGAAGTGAGAAAGAATTTTTAAGGTTTTTTTTTTTTTGATACAGTTTAGTTGGCACTGGCATCTCCTTTCACCCTCCCACAAGTTTCCTCCCCTACTGTCTGACCTCCTCTCCAGTCTCTGAAGTGAGAAAAACTTTAATTCTGATCACCGCTTTGGAAAGGAAAGCAGAGGTGAAGGCAGGGGAAGACAGCAGTCACATGGCAGGATTAGTACTGATGGGGGAGGGAAGAGAGCAGACTGTGTGGACAAGGGACCAGAAAAAGGGGAAAAGGTAAGGATTGTAGCCAGCAGAAATCCCATGGTGCAAAAATAACATCATAATGGAATATATTTGTAACACCAGGAAAATGAACCAGAACTCTTTGGAAACACTGCATACAAATTGTTGCTAAAAGTTACGTGCTAATTTTTACAAAAACTCTCCCATCATGGAACAGAGAGATGATTAGAAGATGAGTTCTTTTTTTTGCTGGTTGTTTTTTTGTTGTTGTTGTATTTTTTTCTCTTTTTTTATTGATATTATTTTCCATGATACAATAGAAGATGGGTTCTAGGACAAGAAGTACAACACTGTTCCCATCACAAAACAGTTATGTGATTTTAAATAATTATCAACTCTACCTTTCCCTTATCTCTGGAACTGAGACAATAAAAAATATTGTCTAACAGGGTTTAACAACAGAATGAATTATAAGAAACAATACACATATTAAGTATAAATATTAGTTATCATTATTATTTCTACTCATATTTTAAAACTTAAGCATGAATAAACTTTTCTATAATGGATTGAAAAAGCACTGAAGACAACTTATTTACATTGATTGATTTAGTGGGGAAATTTATTATCCTCAGAATGAGTCATTTTATGTAAATGCCAAAAACAAGGTTACATTTCTTAGGCTTTTAAACCTTTACAAATGAAAAAAAACAAAATCTAGAGAATCTACAGGACTTGCCTTATATCATAGAATTTTCTTTAAAAAAAATTCTGTAATGTTGCAATGCATTCAAATCTAAGACACCAAAATAAACCTCTGAAAATTTCTGAATGAATATGAATAGAATGATCTAATATTAAATCAATAATGAGCAAGAAGGCCAAGTTGTGGAAAACAGAATGTCATTGGGTTATGTTTTTTCATTCAAAACAAAAACAATCTTATTCCTAAGTGAAAGAAAAAAGTTTATCTTTCAAACACTGGCTGTACTTGCAAGCTATGAGACAGCACTCTACCTACTGTACCAACAAAGCTCCTTCTGACTCTATTAGCAATTAATCAGTTCTTATTTGGTCATCTTTCAGAAATGACCTCAGAATACCTTTCTAATTTTTACCTTCACACACAGATACATTTGTAGTTTACATAAATGCTCAGTGAGTACCTCATTTCATCCTCAAAAACAGCACTGAATAAATACTATGATCTTCTGTATGTGGATAAGCCAACAGCAGCAGACATGACGTCACTTGCTCTATGTCCTTCTGCAATGAAGCCTCACGCTGAGCTAAATAAGCCCATTTTATTTGCAACAAAAAAATTAAGTTACCTGTAATTGAAATTTTTGAATCTTTACTAGTCATCAATTCTTCTTGCCTAAGGTGAACACTTTCCTAGTAAACCGGACTCCTAATGAATGTTAAGAACCCAACCACAGAGATGATTCAGAACTTAGTCACCCAGCAAAAGCAAAGGGTTCAAGGAACAGATTTCTCATGGCATGTGCTGAGGTACGCAAAGGCACAGAGACCCGCCACTCTGAAGAGGTAAGTCCTGCACTGAAATCTCTGAGTCCCAAAGTAACATCTTTCGCTTAGACCCACATTCTACTGTGCAGAAGTGAAAGGAAAATTACTCAGCTACAGGTAAAGTTTGAGAGAAACTTCCTCTTGTCTCTAAAGAATTAGAACTTGCCTGGATTTAACTATAGTTACCTGAAATAAAATACACATATTGGCTCTTCTGCTACTGCGACGTCTCATTAGCAAGCAAGCAAATTTCCACGTTTTTGCCAAAGGAAGGGAAATCAAATTCAAAGCTAACACTTACCCATTGTAGGAATCAACCACAATTTTTTTAGGTACATTATTAGTGGGAAGAGGATTTTCCTTAATGCTTGAACAATTCTCTAAATCACAGACACATATCTAGAGAATAAAAAAATATAAAAGTGGATTAATGTTTTCCTATCTTGTCTGGTTAGCATGTATTTCCTGATCATATAGTCTATGTCTAGAATTATGTTGGTCACAAAAATTTATCAAAACAAATAAAGACTCTAAAAGGGAAATTTATATCCTATCATCACAGTCTTATTCATATTGGCATCAAGGAAGTATACAAGAGCTTACCTTCCTGAATTTTGAATGCACACACTAATTTTTAATATTTAAGCTATATTCAAGGTTCTGGACTTCTAGCTAGAGAAATGCCCTTTGGTTACTGTGATAAGCTTGAGCCTTCTGAAGAAGTAGAACTTGAAACACAGCCACACTGTGTCTTCTCAAAGATCCCAAAACTTTTAAATTCTCATAAACCTACTAAAGTTACTCTTATGGATCATTAATAGAAAATGTTCACAGCTAACTTTGATCAGGATGGACACTCTTACCAAAGGTTACCACAAGTACCACCGCTTGCTTACAGAAGATGAATTATTGATAGTATACATTAATGACATTTAAAAAAATTACAATAAGCTAAGAGGTGACTTACGAGTAGGTAGGACTGGTAATTGGTAAAAAAAAAAAATTGACCATTCTGTAGAGCCAGACAGGAAACAGTCAGCTTGGACTCACATATACCTTACTAGGCAGGACATGAAGATAAGTTACTCCTCACTAAAGTATTGAAGATTTCTCTGCACACTCCTCCTAAAACTGTTTTGTGACTCAATTTTTAACCTATGCCTTGTTAGAGTTATAAGGCTGTTTTGACTGTCCTAAAATTCATCAAGTTCAGTAAAAATTATGCTTCAGTATTATAAACAGCTAAATATAAAAATGAAAATAGACACAAGACAGCTGAATAGTACCCCATAACCATTTTAAGGTGTATAGCAGCTGGTTGTGTATAAACTAAAATTGAAATGTCAACGAAGTAGTCACAGGATGTGACTACTAACATGCTGGTCACTCAATACCATGTCAATTAACTCCATAGTGTTGTAAATTGTTGTTGATGTTATGTTGTGGCTTTTCATTGGATGGGATGATATTCTGCCAGCTCTACTTTCAGACTAGGGATGATCTCCCCAAGAAACTGTTGAATTTATCTGGACAATAAGATGCTGGACTCTCTGCATGGCATATGCTTGCAATGAAGAAATTATGACTGGATTTGAACTGCAATACTGCAACAAGGTGGAGGAATCCATCATGGTGGGAGGGTATGGGGAGGGGGTCGGGGGAATCCCAGAGTCTATGAAACTGCGTCATGAAATGAAATTAAATTTAAAAAATAAGCAAAAAAAAAGGAAGTTAAAACGTGCTACATACCTACCAAAGATTAAAAAAGGTAGACCATTCTGTAGACTAGAATAATTTGTTGCTGATTAGGTATATAATGCATAATAAGTGTCCAATGGAAATTCTTAATGAGATAAATTCATGTTTACTTATAGGTATACCAATATGTACATATCAGTATCAACATGAAATGATCCACTTTCATTTCTTAGACTAACCCGCTCCTCCATAATGAAATACATTCTCTGATAAAGCCAGTCTACGGAGATAGAAGAAATCCGTCCTGAACCTCTATAAAAAATTCTCAGATCAGACACATCAGACATGTTGGCAGCCTCCTTCACCCATATGAGCTTTCCTTCAGAGAAATAAACAGCACGCTGGGGGACATTAACTGATATTCCTAGAAGAGTTAAACAAACACATGCATATTATTGTATAACAACCATGATGGAAACTTACATCAAATAATTTCTTTAATGTTTAATATAACAGAATTCCTTTTATTTTAGAAGAAAATATTCTAAATTCTTCTACTATATTAGAATTTTAAAAGGCTATAGCCCCGATGTACCACAATTCAAAATTCAAAATAAAAATATGTTTTAAAAAAGACTACAGCCCAGAAACATTACAAAACATTTTTCTAACTGGAAGTTTGAAACTTTTGTTTTCACATTAAGAAAACTTTTCTATTATACGGACCTGTAATATTATGGTGTATAGCATTTGATCTAAGGCAATGTGCTTCATCTACTAAATGTTTTAGAGATCTCTTTCTTAGAGAAATTTTTCTGGATAAAAAGAGCCACTGTTCTTCTTCCTGGACTGTAAAAAAATAAGAAAAAAGAAAAATAACTTGTAACCAGACAGACCAAGTATGTATGTTAAAACAAAGAAAGATCAAGGCTGCGCTTCAGAGCAAGGGAACTAGTACATGCCAGAAACTTGGCCAGATTTCCTCTTCAGGGACCTGGAATACATCTCCTACCATATATTCCACATTATTTCTTGATAGGTATAGGAAGTACAGTGGCAACCATATAAGACTTACATGTATAAACCCCTAAATGCCCCCAACAATAAAGGTATCAACAGTGCTGCCACGCAGAAACTCAGGTCATCATTCTTAACCAGGACAATTTTGTTGGTGGAAGTGATCCACCCCAGCCCAAAGTGGGTCATTACATAACACACATATGCACACTCACACACACAATTATAAGCTGACACTGCTTGTTACATTTTCTTCAGCATTATCTCTCTTGCAGTTGGAAAAAAGTTACTTGAGGAATAAAATATGAGAGTCTCATCGCTGTTTCATTTTCTGTTCAGCTGGGAACTGATGCATGGTGCATGGATAATATTTTCAGGATAATTAATGAATATTATGTAATAATCACAGTAACAACATCCTCAACTCTCTTCTATATTTAACTTGCCCTTTAGCCCTACTTATTATAAAGCCAACATGCCTCTTCCTTCCTAGAGTGTAAGAACAGCCAAAAAACTAGGCTGATGATAGATGACATTTAATATCCACTGGCAAGCGCATATGCAGACTAGAATAAAGAGTGGTCAAGCCAACAAATTGGGTTTTGACAAAAAATAGAAAATAAAGTCCAATAATTTAGAGTACGTGTGTTATTCAAAGCTCTTTCACTGATATCTCCTAAAAATTTTCGGTGCTTCTTAGAAAACACTTCTGTTTTTGCTTACATGGGCATCATACAGTAGTAATACTCAAGGAAACTGCTCAAATATTAAGCCAAAAAGGTTGCTTGAGCAATAATTGTGAGATGATTTGGAGAATAAAATATTCAAAATAGAATAATGTGTATTATTAAAGACCAGATATATTTAATATGTTTAAGGAAAGTGACAAAAAGAAATTTGGTGTGAATTAAATGACAGTACACAATGCAAAGTGGTATGTAATATGTTTCACAATTACTTCAGTGTTTAATGTGAGCCACAATTATTAGTGACTTCAACTGAAGACAAGGATTTGTTTGGGACCACTTGTTTAAGTCTTTATTTCCATTCATTTTCAAATTCCTAAATTCCAGTGTGAAAACTTTCTATCCACTCATTTCTATTTTTCAAATGCTAAAATTTATCAAGACTTGAAAACTTACTAAGTACTCCAAAGACACCATTCATTTGGGCAGAAGGGGTAGGATCATAAGGTCTACCTGAAGCCCAGGATCTCGGAGTTTGAAATCATTCTTGTCATCCCCCTTTCCTATGTTACACAAAGAGCAACCTAGGTTCATACCTGCTGGGGAAGAAGTCGTAATAGTAGATTTTGCTTCTGGCCCCTCACCAACTTCATTTACTGCTGCAACAGAAAACCTATTCCAAAAACAATTTGGAGAAATGTATTTCATATGGCATGGTGCGAACATGAGACAAAAATAGAAAGGGCAATAGCAATTCTATTTAAAGAACAATGTGGCAATGCTTGTATTCAGTTACTTGGTCCCACTGCTCAGCACTAAAATGACCATCAATCACATCCTTGTTTGCATTCCCCATAGAACAGCTCAGGTCACTGAGGTCAATAACTCAACTCTGGTATCTTCATGACCTCTATTCCTCCCCCAATTTAAAGAGGTCTTAGTAAACATGAGAAAAACTAACAGTAATAAAGCAACCCAAGTAGTGATTAATAAAAATACCATAATGGAACTTCCATTCTTATATCTTTCATGTTAGGTTACATAAAGAATAACCTTCTTGATGTTTATGATGTCTTCATTAGTCCATAATAGATTTACTTGTGGACATTTTGGCTTAGGATGGTGTAATCTAATCAGCACATAAGCTTGAGGAATACCACAACAACTGCAACCCAGCATCATGCGATCAGTGGCACTTCTCCAAATGATGTGAACAACTTTTAACTCACATGACGTAAGCATGCTGAACACATTCCTCTTTACACCGTTATGTCTCACCTGTAGGTGGTATTTGGTAAAGTAGAATAAAACTGGAAACTGGTTCTCTGTGTTCCAGAATCTAATTTTTGATTTTTATTGATAAGTCTTAAGTTATAACCCAAAATAGGTCCACCTGGGAATTGAGGTGGAACCCAGCTGACTTCCACAGTGTTGGGACTTGAACTCTCAATATTCGTAATAACAGGGGCAGTTTCAGGAACTGGAAAAAAGAATGAGCACACAGTAAACGGAAAAACATTCAGAGTTTGGACCTTCTGAAAATAGATTAGGAAATCACTTTTTTCTTTAAAAGTTAACAAATGTTTGATTTGGTCTTCTGTTGTTATTTACTGAAATGTTTTTCACATTTACCTTTGGTCAACAGAAGACCAAATCAAACAATGAACAACCAATTGTTAAAATGACAGGACCAAGTTACCACCTGTTCATAATAACCTTGAATGTAAATGGCTCAAATCCATCAATCAAATATCATGGATTAGTAAACTGGATGAAAAACAAAACCCATCTATCTTTTGCCTACAGGTGACATCTCACCAGCAAATATCAGCAGAAACTCTTATCTCGTGGATTTTGATGTTTTTCTTTTATTTTCATTTTTTCAAAACATGTTTTTCTCATATTAAATTCTTCACTGACTCAGGTCATACAGCAGCATCATTTTCTTCAAGAAGGTTCTTGATTTTGTTTTTCATTTCCTCATCAACACATTACTCAGTCAGTGGCAGGTTATTTAACTTTATGACATTATAAATTTTTATCTTTCTTCCTGTTGTTGGTTTTGTTTTGTGGCTTTTCATTTAAGAGGATGTGCAGTAACTGTGTAATAGAGACGCTCATATTCAAAAGTGAGGATTCAATCCAGTATGCTTCTCTACTTTCAGATCAAAGATAGACTCCCAATGAAACTGTTAAATTTATCTTGATAACAGGATGCTGGTGTCCATGCCCTCAAAGATGGAGTTACAACTGTTTATGAAGAACTGTAGTATTGGAATAATATAGGGGAAATCAGTGGAGAGGGGAGGAGAAGGGGAAGATTTTGGAAGGGAGTCAGGAAAATCCCAGAACCTATGGAAATGTATCACAAAGCAATAATAATAAATGGGAAAAAATTTTTTGATTAAAGTTTAAAAAGTTAACAAATGAAATGTCTTCATTAATATCCAAAATATGTGATAGAGGGAAGGTGATAATATGCCACTGAATTGAAAATTTTGATCCTTACAATATGTGTTTTGTTATATTTTAAAAACCTATAACATTTGTTATAATACATATATTACATTTGTTATATATTTTTCAGACAATGTTTTCAAGTTTTTCCTTGATTTTGATTTATGAAATAAAGTTGTCAAGGAACACAAATAGGATTTTTTTTAATTGTCACAAATCTCTACAGACCCAAATGAGTAAAATGTGGGATAGAACCAGGCCAAGAAGAGACTAGAAACAAAACTGTAGTCAATCAATCACAAGAATTTTAAAAGCAGGTGCTGAGATCTTTTCACTCTGCAGAGCACACTAGCCTGACAGTTCTAGCTGAACTGCAGACATACTGGCAAACAACAGTCTGCTTCACATTGAAGACATCAGCTCTTACACCCTGACAATACCCTCTCTATCCCTGTTGTCAAGGACCCCAGGCAATTCAAGTTGCCTGAGAATGGATGAAAGAAGCATGCGTTGAATGACTCCAGAAGTTACACAAGCAGGGGAGAACAAGAAGGAAAACAAGCAATCTAATCATCTATTTTTCATGTGTGTCTCTGCCTGCATTTCTTACTTATCAGCTCTCTGGCTCAATACCAATTATTTGGGGGCAAGCACTGTGGCAAGACCAGTTAAGCCACCACTCAGCGCCAGCATCTCAAATCGGATCCTATCCAAATTGCTGCTAATGTGCCTGAAAAAGCAGTAGAAGATGATCCAAGTGCTTGGGCATCTGCCACCCATATGGGAGATGCTATTAGAGTTCCTGGGTTCCTCCTGGCCCAACTCCAACTGTTGCAGTCATTTGGGGAGTGAATTAATGTATGAAGGAATCTTTCTAACTTCCTTCCTCTTGCCCTTCTTTCCTTTCCCTTCCTCTTTTAGTTCCTCCCACCGTTTCTATGCCTTTCAAACACATACATAAATAAGTCTTAAACAAAATAAAATTTAAATTCCTTTATTTTTCATTTTTAAAGAAATACACACTTGGCAGTGGGTGGGGAAGGAGCCACCAGTCACCCTTCTGATAAGAAACTAGACGGCCCATTGTGAATAAGTTCCTCTTTCCACCCTTTAATTCATATGTCTCCCTCTCTGAGATGGTACATAAAATACCACTTCCAGAATCAAGATGGCAGAATTGGGTAAAGACATGTTTAAACAGACAGAGAAACATTACCCATCGTGAGACAGAGAGGGCACATTCTAGGAAACAGGAGGGGACAGAATAATGGCAGAGGGGCACCTGGAGACTGACAAACATGGGAAAGCAGCGGACACAACAGTGTGGTGTTGCAGTGACTGATACCCCAGCAGCATTCAGCAAGCAGTGATCTAAACTGCACCAGCAGCTGGAGCTCCACCAGCAACACGATGGGAAGGGGAGCTCACCAGGAACTCGGAGGTGAACCCAAAGAACTACCCGTCCTGCTGGTTTGTCTAATTTGATCAGGAGCAGAGACAGAGCAGCAGATCCCAAACAGGCAGAGCAGGGACAGAGTGGATTTCAGAGCCCATTACCCTCTAGAGCCGAATCAGACACCATTTTGTATAGGGACGCAAAGCCTACGAGACAGGACTATGCATGCACTGAACGGGGAGTAATTTCTACCCCAGTGAACTGCAACAACGTGGCATCCTACATATTCCACGCAAAATAGGTCTGGTTAGCCCCCAGACCTGACGTGCAGCAGATCAAGAACTCTAGCGGTGGCACATCAGGCACCATTACATGTACAGCGTGGCAAAGGCTTTGAGACTGCAGAGACAACAGTGAACTGTGCATATTCTGAGCTGGGATGGAACTCACTGAGCTCAGCGCACTGCACTGGACCACAGGGAAAATAATACTGACTTTGTGGCATCTTACACGTCAAAATAGGTCTGTGTAGCCCTCAAACTTAATGACCAACAGCTTCCGGCAAGATCAGCACCACCATCAACATAGCTATGTAGGACACCTGGTGTCTACCTAATTCTGGGAACTGCTCAAACTGCAAGTGGGAGAAAGGTTGTACAGACAACACTGCAGCCTCAGCACGGTATCATAGGAGGTGGAGACTGGTGAGCCAGGAGCTGGGGCTACAGAGACTGTGGAGGAAGTCTAACATAAGAACCTAGACCTGGAACTAGCTGGAGGGAGTGGCACAAGTGACTGCAAATAAAGAACCACGGGGCCCAGCGCGATGGCGCAGTGGTTAAGGTCCTCGCCTTGCACGCCCAGGATCCCATATGGGCGCCGGTTCTATGCCAGCAGCCCCGCTTCCCTTCCAGCTCCCTGCCTGTGGCCCGGGAAAGCAGTCGAGGACGGCCCAAAGCTTTGGGACCCTGCACCCGCGTGGGAGACCCAGAAGAGTCTCCTGGCTTCGGATCGGCATAGCATCAGCCATTGCGCTCACTTGGGGAGTGAATCATTGGATGGAAGATCTTCCTCTCTGTCTCTCCTCTCTGTATATCCGCCTTTCCAATAAAAAAAAATAATAAAAATAAATCTTAAAAAAAAAAAAAAAAACAAAGAACCATGTACCAACCACAATAAGCAAAATTGAATTGTAGACCTGTTGGTGACACAGATAAGAAACCTGCCCTAAGGAGAAGAATCTGCTAACCAGAATTACAATGACCAAGAGCAAAAAAAAAAAGAGAGAGAGAGAGACAGAAGCGCAATGAATATCACTGAAGACTCTTCTGCAAAGGAGCAAAACCTTTTGCCAACCTCACAGTTAACTAAGCAATACACTGAGAAAATGGGGTGTACAGAATTCAAAAAAACTCATTGTCTCTTACCACACCCTTAGTTTTCCCTTAGGGAAAAATGAGCACCTGTTCCTGGCCAGCAGACACTGTGCCGTGATTCATTGCTTATCAGAGGTAATCATTCAGAGGACTTGAAAGAAGCAATTTAGTCACCAAATCCTTCCCTCTCTAACAAAACCACTAAGAGCCAGCAGGGTCTGTTCTGTAAACTTAGGCTGAAATTTAAAGTCTAATCTGGAGAACAAGGAATCTGCAACCCCATGCCATTTTTCTCATGCTAAGCTCCATCATGCATCTGTAGAACGACAGTACTGACATGCCCATCTGCTCATCCTTTTGGGTCATTTTTCACTGGTTCAGAATACAGACAGAAAGAAGGTGATAACAGTTGGCTTCTCTCACAACGCCCTCTTCCCCTCCCCCCACAAAAAAGTACTCTTCTTTAATAATTTGTCAATCTCTCCCAGCTCCAAACCCCATGATGGTTAAAACTTCATCATCTTTGGTACTTACTTTGAACATGATTAGTAGACAGCAAAAGCTGAAAGAATACTTGTTGAATAAGAAAAAAAGAAAGAAAGAACCTGATCTTTCCTGAAATAGTATTAAAAATATAACACAAAAATTACCAACTTTCAGGGGAAAAAACGAAGTGATTTTTTTTTTACTAATATCATTGTTAGGCAAACAAGATTGTATAACCTAGCTGCAAAATAATTTCCACAAATAAATACAGACTCCAGCACTCCTTGCCACATCCCTTACATCCTTGGAACACTGTCTGTCCCCCACCCCACATCCCACCGTCCCTTTTCCTTACAGGGGTGATCCCTTTAACAGGGAAGGTGAATCTCATTAGATCATGTGACTCACCCTCTGTAACCCCTGCAGGGATTCTTCTTTCACTTGGAGGAAAAGCTACAGTTCTCACAAGGGACTCTGAGGTTGCCTATGTGACTGCCACCACTTCCTGGACCTTAGCTTTTACTCTTTACCTCCTTCATTCTGCTCCAACCACACTGGTCTCCTCACTGTTCATTGAGCATTCCAGGGATGGTGTTGCCTTAGGAAATCTGCCCGGAATGATGTATCTCAGACATTTGGCCACCTCGTCACGTCCTTGAAATCTTTGTCCAAAATTCACCCAAGCAGCATCTGCTTTCCTCTCCACTCTCATTTCCAATCTCCTTCAGAACAGACCTCCCACTGTTACACTTACAATACACTGTCCTTTCCTATTTATATTGTGTGATCTTTCTCTCCCACCAATGCATGAGCTTCAGAAGGGCAGGGATCATCATCTGCTTTGAGCACAGAGATTCTGGAAGCATCATAATGCCATTTGGCATATAAAGGCACTGCATTATTGCATGGACCAATTGCTAAATACATGGATTTATTAAATTGTTAAGAGCAAAAAAAAAAAATCAAAGCTTTGGAATTAAGTCGCCAATTTCTAAACAATGTTTCCTGGCCATACCTCCATAAGGATGGGTCCTATAGGCAGGACTGGGTGGAGAATAAAGCTGTAGCTGGGCTGTGAAGATCCAGACCACTCGGAAAACATATTCAGTGAAGGGATGCAGGGATTCAACCACATACGAGAGCTTGGACACAGCCTAGATCCATAAGAATCAATAATGAGCTTTAGTAGCATTACCACCACACACTGACTCAAGAGCACAGATTAACTTGTGTAAGATGGGCGGTATTTTTGGTATTGGACTATCCAGGGCATGCCAGGCCAAATGAAAATGAGGCTTGAGCTTAGAGCTGAATCATGCAGATGTCAGTCTACATTCCCATGGAAATGCTCTCCTCTAAAGCAGCAAAATTATGGTCTCAATTATTTGGTACATAAGGATTTAATGAAATTTGTTATGCAAATATGTTTGGTATCTTGGGATTAATTCATTTGTTTTGTGAACTTGCTTATCCTTTCCTAAAAAGGATAACCCCAATAATCACCTGCAGGCAGCCATTCTGAATGGTGAGACTGTTTGTCCTGTACTATGCTTGTTGGAGTCACATCACATGACTAGGTATATGAAGCTAAGTTCAAGGAATTACAAATTTGTCCAATACTACACTTTCCTCAAAGAAGCAATGGGACATTAACATGTTGCAGAACAGCAGAGATTAAATTTCATGTCATGCTATAATGCTATTCCCATCTTACAATTGAATAGTTTCTAAAATGCAGTTATGTCTATAAATCATTCCCCACTATCCATGGGGAATACACTCCAGGACTGAGTGAATTCCTGAAACATCAGATAATATTAAAATCTCTGTGTAACACTGCAGTACTACAGTGCCATGATCATCAATCTGATACTTGAGAGGGCTATTAGATGGTTAATGGGCAGATAGTATACACAGCATGCATACGTGGACAAAGACAATTGTGGCCTTGGTGGGATAGATAAAATTTTACCATGCTACTCATAATAGTGTGCAATTTAAAACAACTTTTCTGCAAATTTACATTTAATATTTTTGAATAATTTTTGACTATAGGTAACTAAACCCATGGCAAATAAAACAGAAACTAATCCTGAATTATTGTAAGATTGTTACACTATATATTCTACCATATTATACATAATATATATTATGTCATATATTATCTTGTAATGATATATGGAATTTGGTACTTATAACAATTGATGGGAGTAAACTCACTTTTTAGGCTAAAAAGACAACACTGGAGCTGTATTGAATCACAGTGGGCTAAGCCATTACTTATAATGCCAGAATCCCATGTCAGAGTACCACCTATTACTCTATTTCCGATGTTTCTCCCTGTCAATATACTTGGGAAAGTAGCAGATAATGGCCCAACTACTTGACTTCTGTCACCCATGTGGGAGACCAGGGTGGAGTTTCTGTCTGCTGGCTTCAGCCTAGCCCAGCCCCTGCCACTGCAGCCATTTGGGGAATAAATCAGCAGGTGGAAGACTCTCACTCTAACTACACCTCCTTCCCCTTTCACTGTCACTGTATCAAGTGAATAAACTGGTTTTTTTTTTTTTTTTAAAAAAAAAAAGCATCTCTGCATACCTCTGTGTAAGTCCAGCTTCCTGGAAGTTGTGCATATTTCCACTGGACAATGTATTTTACTCCAGAGATGTTGGCAGATAACCATCGTAATGTCACACTGTGGTTTCCAATGGAAGAAGCAAAGGGTGCAGTGGGGAGGTCTGCATTTTCTGGGGAGAAAAGAAGAATTCACTTACTACACATTTCTATCTTTCTTTCAAAACAGGAGGGTGTATAACCAATGTATTAAGAGCTCCTGGAATTCCCTTGCTACAGCTGTACCACCTGAACAATCAATGATTCACATATTAAATTGGTTTACATTTTAAAATCTGTCAGTCAGTGTGATGTTTCTTCCCATAGAATTCATCAGTATCATTGAAGATAGTCTCTTTTATTTCAATAAAGGTATTGCTCAGAGGCTGTGCAGTATTTCTGAGGATCTCACTTCATTACAGGTGAACAGGGTAGGTGCTAACAACAAGTACAATGTAATCATCCATTTATTTATACAGGCACCCCAAGACATTTTCGAAACTTTACACTATAATTCTGATGTTACTGCACATCTTGCTAACAAATTATTTTTATATATGTGAAATAATTGCCTTTACCCAAGAACTCTATATTCAGTTATTATGTATTAAAAATACTCCATGACTCCTATACATTGATGATATTAAAATTTGAGATGTGCATTTATTAGGTGGTACTACGATTATAACAGGGGCTAGATTTGTGAAGAGTCTATACCACTGGTATGAAATTATTTTACTTAATTGTTCCATTTTTCAGAATTATGATGAAATTAACATGTAGATTTTCCTTTGCAGAAAATTGTCATTCTAATTGAAAACACATGGAAAAGTTGGTAAGAAACTGAAAATAGTTCAGCACAAACTTTCAGAATTTCATTCTTTCTGTTTAAAAGAAAATTGACACAATTGTAATTGCTACAGTCATGGACTAATTATAGTCTGCACTTGGAAAAATCTGAAAAAAATGAAATCATTCTCTTCTGAGCAACTGCCCCACAGACAGCCTTAGCAAAACCATTCTCTACTAATTATTCTATGTATGGTTCTTTTTTCTGCTATAACTTATAAGCAAAGCAAGCTCTACGCCCCCTACCCCCATCCCTGCCCTTTAGGGCGTAAGTCCTTCACTACTAGGCACCAGCATGTGCAGTGAACACTTTGGAAAGGACTGCCATAGTGAGCATGTCTGCAGAGTGAGGAAGGGTCTCCAGGAGACATCAGAAACTGAACACTGGGCAAAAATGACCAAGATCATATAAGCACAAGTAAATGTGGATTTCATAGCTACATATGTTGCAAGCCTGTGGTGATGCATATATCAAGGCAACCACTGTGCCAAATGAGAAAGAGAGACTGGACTGCACAATATTTTCAGTGCATGAGAATTCTTTAGGAAAAGACCCCGCAACCAGACAGCTGGTTTGGCATTCCAGTAATCTTCCTTACTAGTTGTGCATGTAGCCACATGTCAGTGTTTTAATTTGGGGCTTCATTTTTCTCTTCTGAAAATAAAGCTAATAATAGTATTTGTACAGCTGAGAACAAATGAAGCTATTTCTGTAAACTAATGAAAATAGTGGCAGACTCATAAAAAAACAATAAAAATAGATATTTGTATTTTAATTTTATCCTTAGTTATCATCATGGCCCACAGTGAGGAAAGGAACATGGATAATATCTGGGATGAAATAGCTCAGCAGACTCAAAGACAAAAGGACCAAGGACAAGATGTGTCAGAACAGACAGGATCTGAGGGACATGGGCAAGATCTTTGATTATGACAAACTAAAGACCCTACCTAGTGATACAAATGCCATCATTTGAATTTGATGCATCTCATTTGTTAGTCATACATGGACACTAATTCATAAGCAATAAGAAATTCACATAAACCACTGGTCATGCATTCCAGCAGAGTTGTATACTTAAGTTGGCAAACATAATTTTAGCATATGAGAAACCAATATAAATTACAGATTCCAGACTTTCTTGGTTTTCATGGTCTTGGCTGCACAGGTGCATAGATCTTAACAGTTAATAATTGCTTGAAACATGAAGACATAAATTGAAGCACAAAATCACACAGTTATTTAATCCATCGTTGTAGATCACATGTCAACCACCCATGCATATTCAAATTACTTTAAATACTTCTTGGCTGCTTGTGAAGTTATTGTAATGCCTGCAAAGCATTTCATTGTGCATATTGGAAATCACAAAATATAAATTTTATCCACCACTAACTTCTACAACAGAGAAGGAAAAAAGATAATATCACTACTTCACAGAAATGTCAAGTGGGTATGGGGGTTAGGAAGGACAGTATAAGTTGTCCTTCTATTTTCTATCACCCTCTGAATCAAGGATTGCAACATATAAATGAGCCAAGTATATCACAGTCTAGAAAGAACTATTTCCTAAGAAGGGAAACCCTCAGAAATTCCAGAAAGATAGGTGTTAACTTCCAGGCTATGATTTATTGAAGCATTGCCCACCCAAAAATCAATGAATACTTGACATGTTAAGACAAAGCCACTTACACATATCCAAAGCATTATGAAATCAGACAGAAGGAGGTTATACACATTCAGGTTCCCTATATACTCAAAATTTAGCAGCAAGAAGCATACCTTCTATGTATTTTCATGTTCTAACAGATGTTTGGAGGAAATCATGTACGAAGTATGTGCTACACTGAAAAAAAATCTTAGCTTAATAAGAAATGTATACTAAATAAAATATTTTTGTGCTTTCTGCTCATTGAAGTAATGATGTTCACTGGCAATAAGTCTGCTTAGGATGCACAATGATCTCTCACAAAGACAGAAGTGATTGCATCTTCTGAACTTGAGAGCAGCCATGTTTGAACATTAGTTGTGTGCAATATTTCTTCAGTTGTGCCCTAAAACAAGAATCTTACAGGGACAGGCATTTGGCACACAGTTATAATCAGATGTTGTTGGAAATGTCCACATTCAGTATTGAAGTCTCTCAAAGTTCTGGCTCGACTTCCAAGTCTAGCTTTCTGCTAATGCCCCTGTTGGGGGACCGCAGGTGATGGCCCATTTAGTTTGGACCCTGCCCTCTACATAGAACACTTGCATGGAGTTCCCAGCTCTCAGATTTCACCTCAGCGCAGGACCAGGTATTGTGGGTATTTGGGAAATGAATCAGCAAAAAGAAGATGGATAGCTCCCTCTCTTTTGTTTGTTCTCTGTGCATTTTGAGTACATTTAATTTAGTTTTAAAAGCTTTTTTTTTTTTGAGTCTATAATAATAACTATGGGTAGTAGTCATGGACCCGGACCTTCTTGACCTATGCCGGAGGTCATGAAGGCACAGCACACTGTGCTTCCAGGAAACCAACAAGGGCTTGGCAAACTGAGTCTCTGCTTTGACCTGATGGCGGACAGGTGACCCGAGACTGGACATACATACCCTGTTTTCCTCTGCTTGGAAGGACCCTACACCTTGCAGTCAGGAAATGAGAGAACCAATTAGGAGCCGCTGCTGGCAGGTCAGGCTTACAGATATCTCTAGTCAGGAGGGATTGTATCTAAACTCATCTTTAAGTGCAGTGGTAGCTATGGGAGGATGGGGGAACCAATCAGGTTACAGTCACTAACACTCTGGGCTTCCTTTTTATCAACCTATGTATAAGGTTCACCATTAGACTCAATAAAGAGTTTGACTGGATGACTCCTGGTCGTCTCCTTTCTCCAGTGGTCTTCCACAGGGCCTCTGTCACCTCACCTAGGAATCTTCCAAGAGAACTGCAGAAAGCAATCTCAAATGACCTCCACATTTGAAATAACTGAATATTCAGCATAATATGGATATAACATGCATATATTCAATCCTACTGAACTGCAGAACTCTAGATTTTTTAAGATTTCCTTATCCTCCAATAATTCAAGTCTCTAAAGTGGTTTAAAGTATCAAAGAGTCAGTTGGTGTGTTTCCTTACCTAGGACTTCCTCTTCATATGCACGTTTGGCACTGCTGCAGCCGACCTCACAGAACTCTCGCTGAGGAAAACAAGTGGCATGTGACAACAAAGAAGCCTTTGTACTTGTTTTACCAAGAAAATTTCAACTACAGTTTGGAAGCTGAATGCCTGATCCACAAGTATATCTTGGGGATCAATTATTTCAACTGCACTTGTAATTAAGTTTCCACTTACTAGCTGAATTAAACCAGCACTTCCCAGACCCACTTTAACCAGGCCCTAGAGCATATTGAAAAAAGGCTTCCTGAAACAACGCATGGTTTTCCCCATTGTTCAGCGCTTTTATTGACATATACTCACATATTGTAAAATTCACACATGGAATGCACTCAGTTGAATTACAATCTATTTGCAAGGTTAGGCAATCATGACCATGATTTGAATTTTAGAACACTTTCATCATGGCAAAAATAAACCCCATACTTGGTTTTTTTATATGTTTAATTCTATTCCATTCTATCCTATCTCATTTTGTTCAAAGTGATTTTTAATTCATTGGATTGCTTTAATGATCTTCTCACAGACCATACCACACAGTTTGAAGATACACTGAGCTCAATGATATAATTGTATGTTTGCATTCTTGTTTAAATGGTTGAGGACCTAAAAAATCTGGAATAATGTTGTGGAAATGATGCTTGGGCTGATGGTGTATATAAAAGATTAAGCTTCTGTGCTTGGTGCTGGTATCCAATTGAAGCAAACAATCAAGTCCCAACTGCTCCAGTGCTGACCCAGCTCCCTTCCTGTGCATTCAGGGAAGCAGCAGAAGATGGACTGAGTACTTGGGCTCCTGTTACCCATGTGAGAGTCCAGATGGAGTTCCACATGCCTGCCTTCAGCCTGTGCTAGATCAGGTCATTGTAGCTATCTGGGAAGTGAACCAGTAGATGAAAGAGTCACTCTCTTTTTTTCTCCCTCTCTCTCTTTCTTCTCTCTCTATAACTCTGCCCTTCAGCAAAAATAAATAAAATGTTTTGAAAATTGATTCTTTATCTGGACAATAAGATGCTAGACTCTATGCTTGGTATATGCTTGCAATGAAAGAATCTTGAGTGAATTTGAACTGTAATACTGCAACAAGGTGGAGGAATCCATCATGGGGGGAGAGTACAGGGAGGGGTTAGAGGAATCCCAGAGCCTATAAAACATAATGCAATGTAATTAATAATAAAAAGAAGAAAATTGATTCTTACTGACCCCCTATTTAATCTGTATATCAATGCCTTCATTTATATGATATAAAAGTTGATTCAAATTTTTATAGTAGATGCACATTTTAATGGATGTCACAACACCAATATTTTATTTTAAGATCTACAAAAGACTAATGTCAATTAACAATTAATCTAATTCATTGAAAATAGTTTATAAATAAATGACTGAAACACAAATTTCCTTTTAACAGATGCCTTAACATAGTCTGCATGAAACCTTAGAAACAAGTATATGTGGGCGCACCATAATGGCTCCAGTGGCTAAATTCTCACCTTGCACATGCCAGAATCACATATGTGTGCCAGTTCGTGTTCTGGCAGTTTCAGTTCCCATCCAGCTCCCTGCCTGTGGCCTGGGAAAGCATTAAAGGATGGTCCAAAGCCTTGGGACCCTGCACTGTATGGGATACCAGGAAGAGGCTCCTGGCTTTGGATCAGCTAAGTTCTGCCCTCTGCTGCCACTTGGGATAGATCTCTTTTCCCTCTCTTTCCTTCTCTCTGTAAGTCTACCCTTCAAATAAAAATGAAATAAATCTTTTAAAAAAGAATATTTGCTGACTATCTTTTATGTACTAAGTACTATCTCAGCCTGACAAGGTTCTTGCCTTCCTGGAACTTCAATTTTCTTAAAAGGGGAACAGACAATAACAGAGTTATTAAATTAAATTTTTTAAGTAAGATAATGGCAAGTGCTATGAAAATGAAAGCAGTCATGTGCATAAGACATGACTAATTAGGAAGAAGATTCCATTTTATTAGGATGAGCAGCAAGAACTATGTACAAGTGACCCTCCAGAGGGTAACGATAAGGAATTGGGCCTGCAAAGATCTGCTCTAAAGAGAAACAACAGGAAGGACAAAAGCCATGAGTCAGACATGCGCCTCCTGTACCCAAGGAAGCGGGCAAGGCCAGGGACCCACACAAAGAACAAGGAGAGGATGTCAGATGTGGTCAGACAGGCAAGCAACAGAGTCAACAGTCCTTGGTAATTTTTCCCAAACAGCAGCAAAAAGGAAGCTTTAAAAAAAAAAGTTATAGATGTGATAAGATCCATATTTCATCTTAGCCAAAAGCCAAGATGCAATAACATCTTTTGTGTTTTATCAGGAAGAAGCTATCTCACCCATAACTATCATTTTTTTTTCAAAGTTATTTTTTGCTATCACTTCCAAGACTGTTTTCACCAAGGAATACTAACTACAAAAATTCCCAGCCCTTGGTTCAAATCACTGATGATTAGAGTTGAGTGATCTGTATCTCCGACAGGTGTTTGACACAGCAGTTAGATACAACTTGGGACTCTCATCCCATAATGGAGTGTCAGAGCAGGAGTACCAGCTCTGCTCATCATTCCCGAGTCCTGCTAATGCACACTCTGGTGGGGAGCAGGTGCTAGCTCAGCTATTTGGGTCCCTGCCACGTATGTGCAAGGTTCAGATAGCCTTCCACATCTGTTTTTGGCCTTGCCAATCCAAACTCTTTCAGACATTTGAGAAGTGAACCAGAGGGTAGGAGATCTCTTTCTCTCTCTCTTTCTTATTATCACCCTCACCCTTTCAAAAAAAATAACGTATTTAAAGTATAACATTTGCAAGTATAAAAGAGTAAAGTATAAATAGAAGTGAATGAGATAAAATAGTACATTACACCTCACAGACTGGGGTGCTGTGATGCTTGGGAGACTCTCCTGACATTCCTGCCACTTGCACAATCCTCTTACTCCTAGAGGCAATTCTTAATCTCTCACTCCCTCAAAAGATAGGTATTTTTTGTTGTTGTTTTTTGTTCTACATTCCAAGCTTGTTTTTTATTTCGTTTTATGACACAGTTTGAAAGGCTCTGGGATTCCCCCAACCCCTCCCCAAACCCTCCCCCCATGTTGGATTCCTCCACATCGTTGCAGTGCAACAGTTCATATCCAGTCATAATTCCTTCACAAGTTTGGTTTTTAATCTTGTTTGCAGTTCAATGATAATTTAACATAGGCTCCTTCCTCAGACAGGGAGGTGCAAGATGCAAGGACATTGAAACAGAGCATACAGGTTTTAAAGTGAGAGAAAACAGCATGTCTTCACATCTTGTGTGATTAAACCACCTAATCCTGAGGGGGTAAGATGAAAGACAGGCAGTTACTCCTAGAAGAAGAGTAAGGAAACATCAAAATCCCACCTTGATGAAGAAAAGGATAAAATCAGGCACAACAGAGGGGACCAAGAGAAACAAAGATGGACAGAACAATTATACCCAGCAAGAGGTTAGTTACTGTCATAACAAATGGAAACACCAAGTTTAAAATATTGGTAAAGTATTTGTCAAATAAAAAGAAAAATGCAACTACAAGGTTCTCTCTTAAAGTGTCATATTTAATGATGGACTACTGTATACTCAGTTTTTAAATGCAATAAAAAGCAGAATCAGCAGGGATATCACTGGTTGTGACCCTCTTATCTCTCTTCCCCTTCTTTTCCCAAAAAAGCTCCCGTTTCCTGCCCACACCCCAGGAATCAATTCCTTGCTAACCAGATTAGTACAGCATACAGCTGTCTCCCCTATATCTGCCAAGTTCTACAGCTGTAAATTCAATCAATCCAAGATCAAAAGTATTTTAAAAATTACATCAGTATTGAATATGTTTACATTTTCCCTGCTTAAACAATAGAAGCACTTCAAAAAAACTCAGGGATGGGCCAAAACTGTAGCAGAAGTGAGTTAAACCACTGCCCACAATACTAGCATCCCATAAAGGTGCCAGTTCAAGTCCCAGCTGCTCTGCTGCTGATCCAGCTTCTTGCGAATGTGCTTGGGAAAGCAGGGAAAGAGGACTTAGGTTCCTAGGCCCTTGCCCATGGGAGAGCAGATGAAGCTACTGGCTCGTAGGGCCTGACTTTGACTTGGCCACGCCATTAGGGGGTTGAAATGGTGGAGAGAATCAATCTCTCCCCCCGCCCTCTCTCTCCCTCTCTGTACATCACCTTTCAAATAAATAAATCTTTTTTTAAAGTTCATAGAAAATGGAGTTAAAAATAAATTTATTTTCCTGTAAAAAGAAAGCAGTGTCTCTGCCCTGTGAATACATTTCCCATTCTTGTTTTACTAGCTTTTCCAAGAAGAGAAATAAAGACATGGAGAGTGAGGTCGTCTTTCTTATGAGCAATTGCCAACTTACCTCATACACAGTGATATAGGTTTCATTCTATATAGAAAAAGAAAAAGGAAAGAAAAATTATTTAAAATTTTGAAGCTTTAATAACACTAGATTATACATTTCTTCAGCATAAATGCATTGCCCCACCACCTACATTCAATCATGAAAAACCAAACAAGGGAGACCACTTTTTGAGCAGCTCTAAAAATTATGTTGTCTAGATCCATGGGAAAGTCATAGAGCATGATGTCAATTCAATTAGCAAGCCTCAGACTACTGGGAGGGCGTCTGAGACAGGCCAGCTTCAAAGATGAAACAACATTCACAGGTGCCCACTGGAGAAGAACTGAAATGCAAACTGCAATAACTGCCCAGACTGACCACTCCATCCACACTGCCTCCTGCATGGTCCCCCAGCAATAAATTGTGCTTCCCATTCATTCCCTTAGTAGGTGTTGACCCAGCACTCTGGTCAGCACAAGAGATACGGTTTGAAAAAGATATAGGGCCCGGCGCAGTGGCGCAAGTCGTTAAAGTCCTGGCCTTGCACGCCCAGGATCCCATATGGGCGCGGGTTCTATCCCGGCAGCCCCGCTTCCCTTCCAGCTCCCTGCCTGTGGCCCGGGAAAGCAGTCGAGGACGGCCCAAAGCTTTGGGACCCTGCACCCACGTGGGAGACCCGGAAGAGGCTCCTGGCTTTGGATCAGCATAGTATCGGCCGTTGCGCTCACTTAGGGAGTGAATCATTGGAGGGAAGATCTTCCTCTCTGTCTCTCTTCTCTGTATATCCGCCTTTCCAATGAAAATAATAATAATAATAATAAATCTTTAAAAAAAAAAAAGATATAGAGCACCTGCCCAACAGAGCTTACATACTTGCACAAAAGACATAAGTAGACAATTACTGAAGTTGCTATTTGTGACAAGTATATAATAGTACTATGTCTGAGTAGCACAGATCATTCCTTTTGCTAAGGGGCATTCTACAAGTGCATAACTGCAAACATGGGTGTGGGAAAACTCCTATAAAGCAGTCTGTCAGGGACCCAGCATTTTGGCACAGTAAATTAACCCATTGTCTATGACACCAGCATCCCATGTATGTGCCAGATCAAGTTCTGGCTGCTCCAGTTTCTTTTTTTTTAAAGATTTATTTTTATTATTTTTTTCATTGGAAAGGCGGATATACAGAGAAGAGAGACAGAGAGGAAGATCTTCCGTCCGATGATTCACTCCCCAAGTGAGCGCAACCGGCCCATACTATGCCGGTCCGAAGCCAGGAGCCTCTTCCGGGTCTCCCACGCGGGCGCAGGTTCCCAAAGCTTTGGGCCGTCCTCGACTGCTTTCCCAGGCCACAGGCAGGGAGCTGGAAGGGAAGCGGGGCTGCTGGCATAGAACCGGCGCCCATATGGGATCCCGGGCGTGCAAGGCGAGGACCTTTAACCACTTGTGCCACCGCGCCGGGCCCATGCTGCTCCAGTTTCAATCCAGCTCCTGATAATGTATCTGGAAGGTGGCACATGTACTTGGGCCACTACCATGCACATTAGAAACCAGAGTGAAGCTCTCAGCTCCTGGCTTCACCCTGGCCCAACCTTAGCCATGGCAGCCATTGGGGAAATAAACCAGAAGATGGAAGATGTCTCTCCTTCTCTCTGCCTGTTAACTCTGCCTTTTAGATAAATAACATGAATATAAGCATTTTAAATGGGTTTTATGATGACTTGTGAGAGAAGCTAATGTCCATGTTTATATCTAACCTGAACAACACAGGAATCTACCTTTGACTTTTTACTTGTTTATTTTTACAGGAGAAAGAGTGAACGTTCCCATTTGGCTCACTCATCTATGCCCACCTCAGCCAGAGCTAATAGCTTAATTTTTCACCAAATGACTGTCATATAACCCATTTCTATTTATTTATTTCAAAAGCAGATCTCCAATTGTTGGTTTTTTGTTTGTTTTTTTTTTTTTTAAATGCCCTTAGTAGTTATGACTGGGTGAAGCCAAAGCTAGGAACCTGGAACTCAGTCCACAGTTCATAAAAGCGGCAAGGACCTAAGGCTGCCTCCCAAAATGCCTAGTAGTTGAACAAATTAGAATCCAGCTCAGGTTTTCTGGTAGGAGATGTGTCATCCCAAGCAGGGACTTAACTATCAGACCAAAAGCCAACTCTGGGACCACTTCTAAATGACTAAATTTTACCAAGAAGAGTAGAATATCTACAATATGTCAAGCACTATCTTGAGAAGTGGACTCCTTTATTATCTTACTTTATTGAAGAGGAAAGCAAAAATCAAGAACTATGCACTAAGTGGTAAATCCAGGCTAAATGGAAAGTTAAGGTATCTGAAACAAGATGCATTTCTCCCATAAAGTGGAGTAAGCTACATGTCTGTGACTGGGTAAGCCTGTTACTAAATTCCCTGCAAACTGAATATGACCTACGGCTCTGTTATGCAATGTGGTCTGGGGACCAGCAACATCTTGTGACCTGAGTGCTTGTTACAAGTGCAGTCTCAGGTCCACTCAAGACCTCCTGAATCAGAATCTGCATCTTAGCAAGATCCCAGGACACTTCACATTAAAAGTTGATAAGGACAAGACCAGGAAATTTAATATCTAACATCTTATTAAAAAAAAAAAAACCTTTATAGTTTTAGAACAATTGGGAACAACAATTTTACTTCAACCTTCCCTGGCCTCCAGGTACACTAAGAAATGTTAATCTTAGTTTTTTTTTTTCCACTCCTAAGTAATTACTCAAACTGTGGGCTTTTCGGTTTTGTTTTGGGGTTTTTGGTTTTGGGGTTTTGAGTTTTGGTTTTGTTTTGTTTTTGGCTCTAGGGTCTAGCAAATTAGTTGAACGAGTAGAAATACAAGCGGGAATTCTTATGTAACTTTTAGGGAAACATCAGTATCAAAACAAAAATATAATTTAATACTTACACACTTTAAAGCACAGTTTTCCTGATCTACAGAGTTCCAAAAATGACATCCTTGGATAAACTGCAAGGAATAGTAACACACATTGGTAAATGAAACAAATGTGACTTGTCACTTCAAAGCACAACATAGTTAAAAAAAAAGTATCACCTAAAATTTTATTATTGGCTTACTATTCTCTTAATGTTCATTTAATACCTGTATACTCTTTCAAATTTTCCTTTTATTTGTGTGAAAGGCAGAAAAAGTAAAGTTGACATTGTGGCACAGCACATCATGCTGCTACTGAAAAGACTGCCATTTCATACATGAGTGCCAGTTCAAGTCCCAGTTATTCAATTTGGTTTCCTGCTTTCAATCTGGTTTCCTGACACCACGCCTGGAAGGCAGCAGAGGACAGCCCAGAGGACAGTCTGGACCACTGCCCTTCCTGTGGGAGATCAGAATGGAGTTTCTAATTCCTGGACATTTGCAGAGTGAAGCGATGGATACAAGTTATCTCTCTCCCTCTCTCTCTCTCTCTCCTCTCCCACTCTCTGTGTCAATTTGCTTTTCAGATAAATTAGTTAATTTTTAAAAAACAAAAGGCAGACAGAGATATCCCATTGGTTAGTTAGCCCCCAATGCCCACAAACTTGGGCCTGGGACAGGCTGAAGCCAGGAGTCAAGAACTCAATCATGTCTTCTACATGAGTGGCAGGGATCCAAGTACTTGAGCCATCACTTACTGCCTCCAGGAATGTACAATAGCAGCCAGCTAGGATCAAAAGCAGAACTAGAATTTCAACCACGGCCCTCATATAAGAGATCATCAGTGGCCCTGGCGGTGTCCCAGCTGCTGCACTGAACATCCACTCCTCATTTAGTGCTTTAGAAACAGGAACCTGAAACCAAGCTGAGGCCCCCTAAGGACCCGGATCTAAAGGATCTTTGGGATATTTAGCAGAGCTAACTGCTCTACAAGGCTTGTCATGGTTCCCTGCAGAATGGCAGAGTTTCTGAGCAGTCAATCCTCACATGAAAGATCTAGAATCTAGAGAATGTCCAGTTGTTGGAGAACACCCTGTTCCTGGGTAACTGACAACAAACAGAATTCAGAACAATGTGATATTACATGGTGTTACATGACAAACAAAATTCAGAACTCAGACTCAACCAAGAATCATCTCATCAAAATTTAACCTGGTGTGTAACTGGGAAACTCTGCTGCCTTCTAGCATGATTCACCCACTTCCAACCTGTAAAATTTCCCAACCCCCACCTCACCCAAGGCTGTCCTAACCTCCTACTCAGCTGATTCAGCAGCTTCTCTTACCTTACTTGGTTAGTCTGTACTGTTACGGGGTGCGAGCAAGATCACACCCGACATGTCCAAGGTTTTATTAAGGAGTCTTTATTAACCAAGTTTCGTGATAATAAAGCATACTAGAAATAGCAAATCACAAGTCCATATGGCAATCTAACCAATCATAATCCAACCAAACATAATCCAAAGGGGAACAAATGATCATTACCCTTAAATTCATCTGTGAAGCTGAAGACCTACGTCTCAGCTTCCCCAACAATATAAATTATCCTAAGAGACATGCAACGAATAACCTGGACACACTTATAAAGCTGCAGACATCCACCTTTCCCTGGCTTCTCTGCCCACATTCCATCACTGCTAGACCTCACCTCTGCTGGAACTCCTGATAGTACACAAAACAAAAACAACATAACTATACCCATTGTCCAATCTAAGCAGTGCACAGGGGCCATGCTCAGGGGATTACCTGTCCTGAGTCAGCCAAGAGTCAAGGTGCAGAGTAACAGAAGCACCTGACCAGAAAGAGACTGAACCCCACCCGGCTTCACGGGCCTTTTAAAGGGGTTTGTGAGGGGCGTGGTTACACAACAACGCAATACCATCTCCTCTCAGTGACTCACTTAAGTGTTGTGGGTTAAGGAGTTGATTAGTGTTGATTCGGATGGGCCAGAACAGGAACTGGGCTTGTAGCTAAAAAGACTAATTGAACTCATCTGTATCTAATATCCTGGCTAAACTGGGACATGGGGAGAAGAGTATACAAGGAGAGGTGAAGGAGCAATAAAGCGAGACTTCGCAGAGACTTCTACCATCACTGGCTGTGCTCCATAGAAGTGCCTGGGTCCATGTTAGCTGGTCTTCCATGACCACAGTGATATCAATACGTTGGCCTTCTTCTTTGTCCTGTTTTGCTGACTCTTTCTGCCTCTTCCTACCCCTCTGTGATTGTATCCTACCTTAAGCTTTTTCTCACCCTCAAATTTGCTATTTATCCTATGTTTCTAATTGACATACTATAATCTTTTGAATTGCCTTAGCCAGGAACCAAGGCACTGTCACTTTCTCATTCCATTCATCCCATTCCATGGACAAATCATCAGAAACGCTGCTGAATCCCTTAAGCATCAACCAGGCTCTGTTACAGTTCCTCGTGCATTGCATTGCCCCCAATTCTCTGCTGCGTCCTCACTTCTCATCAGACATTCACATAGGAGTTACCCTGTTTGAGATCCTAGTCCCATCCTTTTCTGACATTCAATATGCTGTGTCTCTCTCCTCGGAGAATTAGGACCAAATTACCAAACATGGCATACGACACCTTCACAGTCTGGCCTTACGAAATTTTCCAACCTTGTCTTCCACTTCCCTAGCTCCCACACATAGACTTCAGGTTCCAAGCAAAGGCAAAGCTTCTTGTTTTCTTGAACAAGTCCAGCTACTTCGTTATTTTGTATTTTAAGCCTCTGTGATTGATCTACTCTCCCTTTCTATATTCCTTTTGCAAAACTCATCCTTCTCTGGTTTTACTTGGAAGGCCCTGTGGCAAGTGGAATGCCTGTTTTTGCTGGGCATTTTCTCTAACCCTCACACACACCATTGCTTTTACAAATGTGTCTCCAAAGAGTTCTTTAGAACAGAGATCTGCTATTGAGCCTTGCATCTCAAATGTCTAGCATAGTGTCTAATTCACACACACAGTCACTAAACAGTAGTAGAATAAATATATACATGCACAGAAAAGCAATACCTCCATAAAAATGTCATGTTGAAAGAGTCATTGGAGGCTTGCTAGCCCCACCTTTCACATTCGCAGTAAAATGAATTCTCCGAAATATTAAGGAAACTTTCAAAGCCACACAGCCATGTGAAGTCAAAATTGTAGACTTAAGATTAAGCCAGTATTCTTTCCACTTCACATTTCATTTTTAAATAATTGTATAATTCATCCATCTCCCTAGTTTTGATTAAATTTGCTTAGGGACAAATAACTGAACATTTTTACTTAGCAATGATTCTTGTTATAATACAACCCACCATTGGCTACTTTTTATCAATGCAAACACTATAAAGTTCTTTGACAGTGGATGCAATTACTCACCGGCTCACTCAGGTTGTATGGTATGCCAACATCAAGCTGCCGGCCCTAAAATGAAGAAGGAAGCAGTAAACACCTGTTGCCAATATTGGTTTCAGAGTAGCCATCACAACTTTATTTTTTTTAAGCCTCCTAGACCAGTGTTTCCTTTTCTTTGCTTTTCAACTAAAACAAAGAGCCAAATGTTTTCAAGTCATTAAATCCATCACAAAACCAGACAAAATACTCGTGTATATTGCAGATATAATGCTACAAGAATTTTGCAGACATTATAAAGATGTACTGTGGGAGAGCTGTAAGAGTGGTTAAGAACAATGGAAAGTTTCACACAGAGTTAAACAAACCTGTGGCATTAGTCACAAATCAAGGCAAAGCATTCCTGGGTTGGACTAATTGTTTTCAAAGCTTTCTTTTGTAAAGTTACTCATTAAGAGCAGGGGGAAATGACACAATTCACAAAGTTATATGTAACAAAATATAAAACTACACTATCACATTTTCACAAATTTTAAGAATTTCCCTCTTGCTAGGAGGAAATTCTTTAAAAGAAATAGAAAATCTGCTCGTTCTCTCCTGGACCATTGCTTGCAATTCCTTCCTAAGCAAGAGGGTTTACAAAGGATAACAGCATAGACCTTTAATAATCAGTGAACCTCCTGAGCAGTGTCAGGTGATGCAATCTAATTCTTTTTAATGTTCATTAAAAACTTTCTTTTATTAATTACATTGCATTATGTGACACAGTTTCATAGGCTCTGGGATTCCCCAACCCCTACCCATGCTCTCTCCCCTTGGTGGATTCCTCCACCTTGTTGCAGTATTACAGTTCAAATTCAGTCAAGATTCTTTCATTGCAAGCATATACCAAGCTTAGAGTCCAGCATCTTATTGTCCAGATAAATTCAACAGTTTCTTGGGGAGACCATCTCTGGTCTGAAGGTAGAGCTGGCAGAATATCATCCCGATGCAATCTAATTTTCAAAACTCAAATGCTCCACTGAGAATTCTAAAGTAGAAGACTAAGTGAATATTTTTAGTAACCATCGTTTATGATCACAAACTCCCCTTAGAGGCTGGCTCAACTTAAGCCATTGAATTGAAAAAAGGCATTACCACAGCAAAAATAAACAGCTATCCTTGGCTGACCTACCACTTCAAAAAGGTAAGTCCCTGGAGACAACAGAAACTCGAAGGTGAAGTTACCAGGTGGTTTAGCATCCCCACACTTTCACGGGGCAGACGTGACTTTTTATCACCAAGTTTACCGTATCTTGTTCTTTGCATGCATTTTGCTCTTCACTGTATCCCTAGCATCTAAAACAGTGCCTGATGGATAAAGAAGTGTTTAAATAAATATGTGCCTAGGGGAATAACTGCATGAAATTAGAGTAGTCACCCACTTTGGAATGCTTCAGGATTCCTTGGAAACATCCAACAATGGCCTAGCATTGTGGGAGAGGCAGAAGAGGATGGTTGCTTAAAAAGTAATGAGATACCTGAAAGAAATGAGAACTGCACGTGGCACAGAGACTTCCAAAATGAGACAGAAAGAGAAACAAAACAGGCTGCTGCTGTGACCGCCAATTCCCAGCTTGGCTCCCCAGTGAGGAGACACCACCACCTATCCAGAAAAAGGGTTTTATATATAAAATACTAGAACTGGGGAGACTGAAGCGTAAACTTCAATAAGAAGTGTTGATATCTATGAGCAGTGCGATGATTCTGCAGGACAATAGAGATGGAAGCTGCACAACACCTGCTGTGCCCACAGCTCCTTCCTCACATACCCTGCCACAGGATGCCGCCTGGCCACTGTCACCTAAGCAGAAAGCTCCATGGCTCCTGCTTCTGTTGGATATAATGCTGTAATGATATAATGCTTAGTTAGGAAAACCCTAACTAAGTGAGAATTCCCCAGTTCTCAGTGACTTTAAAATCAAACTAGAGGACTGATTGGGATCCACATGACTACTTTACCCTGAAGAGGGTACCCACTTGCCTCCCTCCTTGAGTTGCTGCCAAGAAGCTACTGAACTTCACCTGTGTTAAGCAAAAAACAAGCAACCTCTCCACCACCAAAAATGCCTAGAGACAGCAAGGGCACTTTCCAGGGCAGAGAGCAAACGGTAGCAATCCTACAGCCACTGGGCATATTCCCTGGATGTACGCTTGCCTTCCCTGCCTTCCATGGAAGTTCCTCTTGGTTTCTTGGGGTTTGTCCCCAACTGCAACCCGCATTCAATCCAGAAGATTACACCTGACAAAGTGCTTCCACAGTTTTCATCACATGCACTGGAGGGCCAGAGCATAGACTCCAGGATTATGCTCTCAGGCCCTGTAGGAATGATATCCTATGACTCTTGGACTGTAACTGCTGATGTCATAACCCACAGAGTAACTTTAACTCATCTATGGCAACCAGAGGGTTCTGCCTACATTCCTCTGTTTCAGGCTGGGAATTGCTAGTCTGCAGTCTCTTGTATAACTGGTATTTACCTTATGAACACTGTGTAAGACCTTCACTGTATTCTGCAGCTGGAAGCAGTGACTGTATTATTAGATTTTTAAAGTAATGATACAGGAAACACATAATTGAGGTTTTCTTTTACAGGATTCCCATTAGGAGTGTGAATGAAAATTTCTCTAAATTTCACTCCAAAACCAATTATATTTGTAGAGAAAGGTGTAAGGTACTACTTACATGGTTTTATTTTTCAGTAATAGAATTGTATCTTTTAGAAAAAAAAATATGCAACCAAATATTTAATAGCACTCTGCCTGCATAATTTTCTTCAAAATAAAGTTTTGGCTTCCTTTTACATTGAATTAGTCATGTAAAATGAACTCACAACAGAATTTTTTTTCTTCTAAACGGATATGTCCCATTGGTTTAAATCATCTCTTACACACATGATTTTGTTTCTGGATTGTGCTTATATTCTGTTTCATTGACCAATCTATATCTATATCAATATAAACTGTGCTATTTTCTGGGTATTTGGTACATCATTTGCTTATGGTTGAGTTCAGTTGTCATTTTTCAGTGTTACAGATTGATATGCAAGAAAGGTATTAATGTTTACACATCGCTATTTAAAAAATAAGACAACTTTCTAAACACTATTTGTTGGTCTTTGGTTGATTCTTTTGAAGTGTTAGATGCAAATCAAAGTAAAACTATATTTACCTCACCTTCTACTACCGCAAAAACTGTATCTGGCTTCACATGGGCACAAATCCAACCATTAAAGCCATTTGGAGCAGCCCGGGGCAGTGGCCTAGCAGCAAAAGTCCTAGTCTTGAATGCGCCGGGATCCCATATGGGCACCAGTTCTAATCCCCCACCCCCCAACCCCCCGCCACCCCGCTTCCCATCCAGCTCCCTGCTTGTGGCCTGAGAAAGCAATCAAGGATGGTCCAGAGTCTTGGGACCCTGCACCTGTAATCATGTAGGAGACCTGGAAGAAGTTCCTGGCTCCTGGCTTCAGACTGGCACAGCACCGGCCCTTGCGGTCACTTGGGGAGTGAATCATCGGACAGAAGATCTACCTCTCTGTCTCTCCTCCTTTCTGTATATCTGACTTTGCAATAAAAATAAATAAATCTTTTTTTAAAAAAAAAAGTCATTTGGAGAATGAATCAGCAAATGGAAGATTGCTTTTTCTCTCTTTCTCACTAACTCTATCGTTCAAATAAAAATAATTTTTTTAAATTATACTTCTCACTGAGCATTTTCTTAACACTAGTTCCTCAGATGCTGTTATTTGTGTCTTGAAAAATTTCACTGCCTCAGTAGATAAGAAAATTCTCTTTACAATTTATTGTCTCCTGTGGATCTAAAAAAGAAGGTATAATGTAGCAAAATATACTTCCACAAATTATTTGACCATGAATATTATTTCATGAAAAACCTCACAAGACTAGTGTTCTGAAAAGCATTATTTTTCTTTGTTTCTACAGTACATAACATATCGAACTGAAAAATACTACATCAGCTTAATGCATTCAGATCCCTCAATAAATATAAATTATACTTGAGCATTGAACTACATGAATTTTTGGCTACAAATTCTAACATTCTTTTGGATAACAATGCTTTGTCATTTTTGTAAGAGAAAATGCCTTGACATCAAGAAGTAGGCAGTGATATCCAAGATGACCTTCACAGCAAATGTCCATGTTTAAAAAAAAAAAAAAAAGCAAAGAAAAATCCAATAAATTCTGATACATGGTGTAATTTCTCCCCTGATCCATGGCCGCGTTTGATTGTTCATGCACCTCACTTTCTTCCCTCCAGGCCTCATGTAGGAGGCCCTGATGGGGAACATTGATTACATTCACTGGTCAGTCTGGCAGACTGTGTCTCTCTTGTCGCCAACATCACATTAGCTGTGCCCTGCTCTGTAGGTGGCTAACGGAAGGCAACTCGTCAAAGGTACAAACTGTCTACTCTTAGTGCCAAGCCCTGAAATCAAGGAGCCCACACAAAGAGATCAAACAAACAATAAAGATTTTAATATTGAAAACCATGAAAATCAACTTCAGCAGTAGGGAAATTAATTATGTCGGAACACTAAATGTACTAAATATTCTGTTGCCAAAAAGACTTCAGAGTACAGGAGAAAATTCCCAATATAATGTGAAATGGAAAAGCTCAGTGTGCAACTGTTACTAAATTTTAGGAAAAGACACCAAAAGGAAATATAATCAGAAGTCAATTGTGGGGAAATTTAAGGTTTTTCTGTTTATTATTCTCAATTTCTTCCTTTTCTTTTTAAAAATGTATTTTTATAATCAGATAAAAATTGTTTTAGGTTGCAGCTGCAAAAAACAAGAGCTTACAGTTCTATGTTAAATCTACATATAGTTCTGCATATAACTCTTCAACAAGGATTTATATAAAACATCAAACGTTTTAAAGAACACTTCTCTCTGTAGTAAAGTTAAATAGTATTTTAGACTGTAGTTGCCATTGAACCAAAAGTGTGTAGTATGTTTCCTCTTTAGGTTTCATACTTCTGTGTTTAATGCTTTAGCATAATAGCAAATGTTATATTTGGTCCTTTCATTATTTTAAAATACCTAACTGCGGATGCTGTCATCATGCTGTTATTTCCCTTGTCTTTGGACAGCAAGAGGAAATATTGCTCTGTTAAGGAGCATTTGGCTTATGACTCTGATTTACTGACTTCTTCAAACAAAGCTAAATCACAATACAGAAGATATAATACTAACAATTATGTATCTGATGACAATGAGCAACGAGTATTGAAATTTCATGTTTTAAAAATTAATTAAATATAACAAATTCACAGATACAAATAAGGAAATTTACAAATAATTCTTTTAAAACAATATGTTGTTTCATATGACATTTGTGTTTGCTTCCTTAATCATACAGCTGCCTAGACAGTAATCCAACTACAACGTAATTATCACTGTAGACTGGAACGAGAAGGCACTCTTCCATGGCCAAAATTATCCCATGCTTTCAAACATTATGATTCTGTAACAAACAACTTGAAATCTAATTTTTAAGTGTACAATAATGATTTCATTTAAGTTTCCTTTACCCAATCCTACACTCTCCGCCAAAGAAATCTTTGACCAAATAACTTGACAAAATAAGCTATCCTGTCTTATCTCCACAAATGTATGTACTGCTAGACTACTTCCAAAAAAAATAAGTTACCTTATCTTGTGATCGCTCCTTCTGAAAACATTTCTCACAAGGCAAAAACCCTATCAGTTATAGCATGCTGAATTCTACTTGTTCTAGTTGTTGCAAACACAAATATTAAATGTTGAAACTTACCACATTAGTTACATGGTACTTTACGCAGCCATTTAAAGCTGTACACTGCACCGCAGAAATCCATATGCAGCCAAGAGTCGCAAAGTAGACAAGTGTCCAAATCCGCCAGAGAATGATCTTCATCACTGCACCAATGGTGGATCTTTAGGTGTCCAGTCTTCTAACTTTCTCCATGTTGCTTAATAAATACTTTGAGTTTCCTTACTTCACCAAAGCATGGCTATTGGATTTTTGGTTTTCTTTGGCAATATTAAAACATCTTTGCCTGTTGAAATAATATGCATACCCCTTAGTTTCAACCTCTGAGTCCTGAACAGCTTATGACATTCACATACCAGCTAGTTTATAGCTGAGCTTCCTTGGACTCTCATAAAGAACATTACGTTAGATATTAGAAAAACACTTTACATGGAAAGTAAGCAAAGCAGAAAACACAAATTATGTTTTGGCAAGCCTGAGACACAAGCATCACCTGAAGCCAGAGCGCTTTGGTGGATTGTCCACCACTTAACTTCCTTTCCGTTGGTTGAACTATGCAGGAAATGGGGTTGTGACCATCTGTGCTTTGCACACAGTTGCACTATTTCAATAAAGAATTATTGTTAAAAAGAAGAAGAAGCAACTAAATCAAATGATGCACTGGAGAGGGATAACAGAACCCCATGAAAACAAATACATATTTCAAAATTAAAGCACAAAGTTGAAATTAACAGGCAAATACCTGAGGGTAAATTACAGACCAGGAAGTTGGTTAGCTCACCTCATGACTTCACTACACATTAACTAAAATACTGCCTTATCAGACCTGGTGAGACAGAAAGTTGAAACCAGACACAGAGATCTGAGATGTGTACAAGTCTGAGTACCTTAAAAAAGTAATAATAATAATGCTCAGAATCCCAGTGAGGCCAGTGCCCAGATAAAGAGAAGCTGGAACTAAAAACAAAGAATTTGAAATCCATAATGAAGACAACTAAGCCCTTCGAGACCTACTTTTTAACTTTCCTGGATTAACTCCTTAAGGCCTGATATTTTATAGTGGTGATCCTTTTAACAGCCATTCAAGAGCCAAATAACTCTTGTTTTATTAAATAAATTGCACCAATGTAATTTAGCCTGTTCTTAATGGCAACACTTTTCTTTTAGGAACAATACATGTGTGAGGTCTTTTTGAGCTGAACGTATTTCTTTAACTACTGCCACAACTGGTGCATATAAGCATGAATAGATATTGACACCCAAAATTGAAATATAAAACTTGTTTTTCTTGATGAAAAAACTTCCTGCTATCCATATTCTCGTTGCTCATCTTCTGTATATTCAAGAATATTGGTTAAAGAATAGAAAGCCAGCTTATTTCTTGATCAAAGGAATATAACCATCCTTCTACAAAATACGACAGAGAATAAAGTATTCCAGCTAAAGGATTTCCTCAGCCCTACAATTCATATTCTAAGGTATTTGCCAGTGTCTTCCACCTTATTAACATGAATAAAATTTGTAACTTCTACTTCACTAAAAAAGGTGACACAAAATATACCCTTGAACATCCGTTTTTATTATACTTGATCTAGCTTTATTAGATGGGCTGTGCAAAAGAATGTCATTTTGTGTTTAATTTTTGGAATTTAATGAACACATACATTGACACTTACACAAGATAGGGTGTGCAAAAAGACATGTGCTAAAAATTATTTATATCAACAGAAGATTGAACCCAATCCAAACAACTAGTAATACAGAATCAATCCATTCCCAGAAACTCCGAGTGGCTTCTCCACGTGAGCTCACTTGAACTTTTTCACAGCAGGATGTGCAATCAGACTCTACATGGTGGCTTAGAACCTGGTGAACGTTCAAGCTGCAAAAGTGCAAGCCAACACAGCCTAGAAATCACAGTCGGTTCTTTAACATTGTGTTGCTTACCAGATGATACAAACTTGCCTAAAGCAAGGGTACAGGGATGCTAAACCACCATCACTTCATATGGAAGAGACAAGCTTCTAGAAATTCATGCATGATGGGAGACTTCTGCACCACTTTTGAATAAAGGAAAAAATCTTCCACTGTAGAGTACTCATTATTTGCATGGTTCTGATATGCAAAAATTTTGGTATCATAGTTTGAAGTAAATAATACCCACTTCCTAAAAATATATCACAAACTTTAATTACCACAATGCATTAACTGAATGATTTCAAAGGACAGCCTTCTCAGCTGTCGCTTCAGTCCTTGAATCAGATGTAAATAAGAGTGGACATCATGATCAGAGATCACTCCTGTCACTTCTTTCAAAGTCCATCAGTGATAGGTCATTGCACATTTATTCTTTGGTTACTGCACAAAAAAAAAAAAAAAAAAAAAAAAACCTGTGGTTCTGTGGCCTCCTTGCCTCTCCATGGTAAATTCATACGACATTTTACAAGTGATATTTATGAAATGAGATCACTGAAAATGGGGATTGGCCAATAACGATAAAACACAGCTAAGAAACAAAAAGCAATTGGAGCCAACGTTTGTTATGTTGAAAGTTAAGCTTTTGCCTGCAATGCCAGCTTCCCACATGGATGTCAGTTCAAATCATAGCTGCTCCACTTCCAGGCCAGCACTCTGCTAATGTGCCTGGAGAAACAGCAGAAGATTGCCCAGGTATTTGGTCCCAGCCACCCTTGTGGGAGGCCTGGATGGATTTCCAGCCTTCTAATTTCTGACAGGCACAGCCCCAGCTATTGTGGCCATTTGAGCAGTGTACCAGTGAGTGCAAAATTTCTCTCTCTCTCTCTCCCACCCCTCCTCGGTGTGTGTGTGTGTGTGTATGTGTGTGTGTGTGTGTGTGTGTGTACCTATTTTAAATAAATAAATGAATCCTTTACAAAACTGGAAGTGAAACTTGCATAAAAAATAAATCATGGTTTTCAAAGAAATTGCTGACGATGAGAATGTTTATACTGGGGCTATATGACAGATTCTGATCACAGACACAGGATTGGAACAAAGGTAAGTATATGGACACTAACAATGAAAGTGAATGTCATGAGAAGGACCATGCTTTAGAGGAAATCATACTTCAAAACTACCACATTAAACATATCTCTGGGGTATATTGCATGTCATCAAAAATACAAAGAACAAAATGTTGGAAACTGATCAAAATATGGAAAGGATTTGAGAATTGACTAAGGCATAAAAATCAATCCTGAATTAAGTTACAGGTCAAGAAAAGAGCAAGAAACAACGGTTTAATTTTTCCTATTCATTCCTAAGGTCACTCCACATGGTTTCCGCTTCCACAGCCTTCTTTACACTCCTGCAGTGCTGTGCATAATGGAGATCATTTGCATACTAAATCATCAGAGGTGAAGGCTGTCACTGACAGGCAATAGTGGCGACTGCTTTTTGAAGAAAAATTAAAATTTAATCTTCATGTACTATTCATTCAAAATATCTGACTTTTGTATATGGGCACATATAACAGATTAAAACAACATATTTAGGGGCCCAGCGCGGTGGCACAAGTGGTTAAGGTCCTCGCCTTGCACGCCCGGGATCCCATATGGGCGCTGGTTCTATCCCGGCAGCCCCGCTTCCCTTCCAGCTCCCTGCCTGTGGCCTGGGAAAGCAGTGGAGGATGGCCAAAAAGCTTTGGGACCCTGCACCCGCGTGGGAGACCCGGAAGAGGCTCCTGGCTTTGGATTGGCATAGCATTGGCCATTGCAGTCACTTGGGTAGTGAATCATTGGATGGAAGATCTTCCTCTCTGTCTCTCCTCTCTGTATATCCGACTTTCCAATAAAAAAAATAATTTAAAAAACAACACATTTAAAATAATAATCTTTAAAATAATCTGCTCTGGACCAATCATGGTAACCTAGTGGCTGAAGTTCTCATTCTACACACACAGGGTTCCCATTTGGGTTCCACTTTGTGTCCTGGCTGCTCCACTTTCCATGAAGCTCCCTATTTGTGGCCTGAGAGCAATAAAGGATAGTCCAAAGCCTTGGGATCCTGCACCTGTGTGGGAGAGCCAGGAGAAGCTCCTGGCTCCTGGCTTCAGATCTGCTAAGCTTCAGCCATTGCAGCCACTTGGAGAATGAACCAGCTGATGGAAGATCTTTCTCTCTGTCTCTCCTTCTCTTGGTAAATGTGACTCTCCAAATAAAAGAAAATAAATAATCTATCCTAAAATGTAAAAGAGTTTACAGGCCTGCAAGTTAATCTCAAGCTAGATGAACTCTAACAACAGGACAAAAGTTTAGGCCAAGAAAGTATTTCCTAAGTGTTTTTGAATGAAAGTTCAGGTGCAAGAGTTTTATTTAATTTTATTTCACCAGACAAGGTTGAATCTATTATCCCTTGTAATAAATCTAATTTCACATGGGATCGATTCTGCAGCAAAGAAATCACATTATAGAACAATGATCTGACATGCAGATTGAACCCATAAAATGGCATTGTGAAAGGAGAAATTGTTGAAATGTTCACCATATCCTAATCATGTTTCATTAGGATGATCTCTGCATAATTCATCTTATATCACCAGATCAATGTATGAGTGCTGAAATTACGATTTATTCAAAAAACCGTGTAAATCCTCAAAGTCACTTCCAATCATCAGCCATCATATAAATCAAAGAAAATAAAATTGGAAATTCATCAAACCTCCCTAAATAGGGATTTCCTTTTTTACTATTATTTGATGACGGGACCATGCCAACAATCAAGAAATAAGGATTTTCCATAGCAGAAAATTTCTATTCAAGCATACACTTCGGCCTTCATCTGTTAGTGTGTATTCAGTCCCACTACAAGTCTGGTCACGGTCTACTGCAGCACAAAGATAAGTCTTGAAATTGGCCAAAAGATAGAAACACCGAGCAACACCAGAGTAACATTTCTTCTGAGGAATGGCCACAACAGCCAGAGCTGAGCCATTCCGAAGCCACAACCCAGGAACTCCTTCTGGGTCTCCCACGCAGATGCAGGGTCCTAAGGTTTGGGGCCATCCTTCACTGCTTTCCCAGTCCACAAACAGGGAGCTGAATGGAAAGTGGAGCAGCTGATACATGGAAAGGCACCCATTTGTGATTCTGGCACTTAAAAGGCAAGGATTTAGCCACTGAGCCACCCACCATTCTGGGTCC